GTATTAGCGACGTTCTAAATACTTATTAATAACGCGTTAAGAAAATATTTAAATATTTTTTATATCGCTTACTTAGATAATATCTTAATTTACTTTAAGACCTACAAAGAATATATAGAATACGTTACGAAGGTATTAGAGGCCCTTTAGGAATATTAACTACCGGTTAAACTTAAAAAGTGTGAATTTCATAAAGATAACGTTAAATTTCTAAGATATATAGTTATTAGAGAGAAACTTAAGATGAATTCTAACTATATTAAAAGCGTACTGGAATAGCTAGAATCGACTACGCTAAAGAAACTATAATCGTTTCTAGGATTCGCTAATTTCTATCGAAAGTTTATACGGAACTATTCGCGAATCACCGCATCTCTAACAAATCTAATAAAGAAAGGAGTCGCGATCTTTACTCTAATAGAAGAAGCTAGGTAGATAATTAAGAAACTTAAGGAAGTCTTTACTAAGGCCCCGATCCTTACGATCTTCGACCCGGAGTAATAGACTTTTCTTAAAACCGACGCATCGAACGGCGCGATCGCCGTAGTCCTAATATAAGAAGAATAGAACGGAAGAACTAAACTAGTTATCTATTTTTTAAGAAAAATAATAGAACTAAAGCTTCACTACGATATTTACGATAAAGAATTACTCGTAATAGTGAAAGTACTAAGACACTAAAGAGTATATTTAAAAGAATTAAAATACTTAGTAAAGATCTATTTAGATTATAAAAATCTTCTTTATTAAAATATAACTAAAGTACTTAATAAAAGATAAGTACGATAAGCGGAAACTATAACCCCGTATAATTTTAAGATCTACTACGTTAAAAATAAAGAAAACGATAGAGTAAATACCCTAAGCCGACGACTAGATTATATAAAAGATATTTAGCTAACCCCGATATTTCTTCTACGGACGGAAGGAGACTATATAATCTACGTATAACTAATGTTAGTAATAGTAAATATTAAAGGTCCGATTGAACGAGATAACTACGAATACGAACTAAAAACCAACATTAAAGAATATTATTTCGTAGACCGAGTATATAATGAAGTCGCACGACTTAGAGTGATGAAACATTACTATAACGACCCACTAATGGGACATCTAGGAGCCGATAAAATAATCGAGCTTATCACTAAGTATTACGACCCTTAGAAATATATAAGAAAAGACATCTAAGAATTCATTAAATAATACGAAATATATATATAAACTAAATACGTAAGACATAGACTCTATGAACTATTATAACTCTTATAAACTTTAGAAGAAGTATAGACGTCGATTACATTCGACTTCATTACGAAACTACTAAAGTCTAAAGAACCCCTTACGGAAGTGACTTATAATAATATACTTATAATATATAATAGATTAATAAAGTTCTTCTACTTTAGACCATATCTAAAGAAGTTAACGGTAGAAGAATTCGTCTATAAATTTCTACGAACCGTGTTTACTAATTACGGAATACTAAAAGAAATCATTATAGATAGAGATAAGCTCTTTATATCTAAGTTCTAAAAAGCACTAATAGAACTACTAACTACGAAGTATAAGCTATTTACATCGTTTCATCTATAGATCGATAGATAAATAGAAAGAACTAACTAAATATTAGAACAATACTTACGGATATATATAAATTATAGTTAAATTAATTAGATACGACTACTATTAGTAGCGTAATTCTACTTTAATAACTATAAGTTAGTAATAGAAATAAGCTTATTCTTTATAAACTATAGATTTTACCTACGACTAAAAAAAATAATAAATAAAAGTTTAAACTCTAGAGCCTTAAGTATAACTCTTACTATAAGAGAACTCCATAATTAACTTAAATTAGACCTAAAATTTCTCGTAGAAAGAATAGTAAAATACGTAAATAAAAAACGAATCGAGGGACCGCTCCTAGAGAAGAGGAACTCCGTCTATCTTTTACGAAAAAATATTAGAACGAAACGACTAAGTGGAAAACTAAACTATACGAAGCTAAAACTATTTAGAATTAAAGATAAACTCGGAGAAGTTATATATTAACTGGAACTACTAAGAGACATACGTATACACAATGTATTTCACAAAGTACTTCTTAAACTAGTACTAAAGAACGCTAAACTAGTTAAGACACTACCGCTAAATGAAGAATTAGCACTAGAGAAATATAATATTGAGAAAATCCTTAAAAGACGCGTTATACGTAGTATTCCTTAGTATCTAATTAAATAATTAAAATACGACGAGTGTAAAAATAGCTAAGAATCGGAAACTAACCTTTCGAAGGAACTTCTAAAGAAAGTAAAAAAGGATTACTCTAAGTGGTTCCCAACGTCAATAAAGCGTTTAGCTACCTATCGTCGAAAGTAAACTCGCCACGAACTAGCGATGACTTAGGTTTATCCGGCGTATACCCCTTCTCCTCGTCGAGACGATTTAACACTATATAAGCCCGAACTATTATATTACTCTAAGCTTAAGTTAGCTTATCTAGCTAACGTTCTACCTAGTTTAGACGAGACTACTCTTACAATAACTCTAGAGACTATTATTATACTAAACGAGCTATCTTTCTCGTATACCACTAAGCTCGCTAAGCTATGCGGGCCTAAGCCTCTTACACCTTATTCCGTAACTTTAACTTTTTTCGTTTAATACTCTAGTACTCCGACTTAGAGTACTGACCATCGCATTTTATATTCTTCTTTAGGTACTCGGAATAGCGGGAGACTCTATATTTCATCACATAGATTAAGTTAGAGCGAGTGCAATTCGAATAAGGTGCCATGGCGCGATAACCAGTGAATCGGACGTTACGAGACTAACGAAGACGTTTAAAGGGACGGTCGCGGCTACGGAAAAGAAGCTTAGAAACTATAGCTAAAGAAAAAGGAAGAGAGAAAGAAGATATCTTCGAACCTAGATGAATTTAAGTTGAGTAGTGTTCCGCTTTTATATTATCATTAAGATAAATCCTTAGGATAAGGATCTAACCGGAGGGAGGATAGTGTTAGACATAGCCTTAGAAGGAACCGGCCGGGGGCTGTACGGGCGCGGCTCTCTATACTCATTAACTAAATGGAAGGGTCCGTAAGAGAGCAAGGCTGAGTTACGTGATATGCCCTGCTGGCTCTGTTGGCTCTGCTAGCCCTATTGGGACAGAGCGCACAGAGCGCACAGAGCGCACAGAGTATAAGCATTATATATATACCCTCATTACCCCTAGATAGCTTACACTCTCTTCGTAGCCAACTTATGTTAACTATTGGACTTATAGTTCTTAGTGACAAGTGACTTCTTATACCTTGCGTTCTCCCCAACCAGTTCATACTATCAGGATTGTTACTAGGAACCCTAACCCAGTTAGGCCCCGGTAGGAACCTTAACATTACTCTATCTCTTTAATCTTCTAAAGTTATCTTCTTTTAAGTGACACTACGTATAATCGCGTATATCGTTACTTAATACTTTTAATCTTCTCTTCTAATTCGTTATTAGCGCCTCGAGCGCTTATCGTATTCAGTTATCGTTAATTCGGCGCCATCGTATGGAGAGAGTGCTCGTCGGGTGCGTAGCGTACGCGTCTTAGGGGCTCGTCGAGGAGGTAGAATAGAATGAGCTTCGAAGAATTATTAGAGATGGCTTGGCAGCGAGCTATCTAAGAAGTATATTATCTATCTATAGGCGCAGTGCGACAGCGACTTCGAAGCTGAAGAGCTTTAAAGGGATGATCTGCGACCCCGTGCTATATATATGTGGTCTTCTAGTGCCTTGGCGTCTTGGCATTCATAACACTCATGGCCTAGTTAATTAGGGCGTAGCCTCGATATCGGGTCTAAGGACTGAGACAAGATGCTTTGAACTGTACGACGAGGCTGGCCTAACGGACGACGAGCTCCCACCTCCACGTGGTGTCCGCTGGGAACTCTTAGAGAAACAGTCGAGCTGTCTTTGAGTGCTAGGAGGAGCTCAACAACGCGGTGATCCTCTCATGAACGACGCGCCGAAGCCGCGAAAACCACCCTCCGCACCTCACGAAACACCAAAACATTATAGCCCCAGCGCGTAGAAGGGGGTTGCGCCCCTTCCATGTGCGCCCCACGATGGAAAACGGACTTGGGTCCTCCGTTTTCCTGCCCGACCACAGTTTACGGTGTCAGAGTGTAAAGAATATGCGACGAAGAGGCGGAGTCAATAAGAGACAAGGGCAAACGGCAAGCGGCGGTGTATCTCAGAGTCGGCTGTGGGCTCGTCTAGAAGAGAAGCGGAGATCCCTGGCCTCCTGGCGTCCACGCGACTACCAGCCGGCCGAGTGCAGAGGCAACCCAATATAACCTTATTACTAAGCTGGACTGCCTTCCCCTAGCAATCGAACAAGCAGGGTTGTACATGATCGACAACAACATGTTGATTGAAATGTACCTAGGCAGATACAAAAAGAAAGACAGGAGGGCAGATTTGTTGAAATATGGGCCGGGTTCTCGTTATTCGAAGCCAGTCATGAAGACCTTCGACATTTCATTCGACAACGTTTCAACCGATTCACAGGTCGTCCTTCAACTATTTACATTCTTCGGAGTGGACAGTATCTCCAACGAATTCTTAGAGCGGTCCGCGCAACATCATCCGGTTGGAAATTGGGAAGGAACAACGGATGAACTGAAAGACTATGATCGCGGAATTTTGCTACGGGAGAAATATCGCTCTATTTTGAGTTCTGCAAAGAGGAGAGATGATGCATGTGACGCATTGGTGCGAGTAGCGCTGCTGAAACGACAAGGACAGCGTTTGTCGATGCACTCGGTTAGTACTATCTCTGTCTAGCTACTAACCCTCCAATGTCCTCTCTTGTGGTTTGTTTAGCTAACATCTTCATTTCTCAATATCGCCAAATGGTTGAATTTCTAATTGCTCGCAGATGCAGAAGGAATGGCTGCGTGAGCGCTCAGAAAATGATCGACCGGATCTGGAGCTCGCTGTACTCTCAATCACCACGGACTATTTTGCTGGCATGACAGATCGAGAATTCTTTGGGCGGCCAGATGGAGAAAGGTCTCGCCTACTTTCCTTTTTGCGTTAACCAGATCTGTTTGACAATGTTCCGCTCGGCTATGCAGGTGATGGGTTTTCCGTTGGGTAGGATCGAGGATGACACGAGCCACGCCATATTGACCGGAAATGTAGGCAAGATGTGCCGGAGTGTTCTTGTCTCTGTCCTTCGCCATTGTGTCAGCGCCGATACTAATGAGATATTCAACAACCTCGCGAGCGCCGTTTCCAGATGCCACATGCAGAGCAGTTTCTTGGTTATTGTTCTGCAAGTCGATAAATGTTTTTACTTCTGCGACCGCAAATTGATTGACCAACAGCTCGACAACATGGTCTTGATTGAAATATGACGCTACATGGAGAGCTTCATGAAGCGGAGACCAGCCTCGTTGGGCAGCGGAGCGCAATTCAGGGTATGTTTTGAGCAAGTCAGTAACATTCGCAGTCATGCCAAACTCAGCAGCGACTTTGAGGGCTTTTACCACAGCCACGCCTGTATTTTTGATTAGAACTGTCAAGGCAGATGCCAGGGCCGAAGTCAGGGATGTAGAATGCTCTTAAAACATTTCCAGGGGAGATGCCTGTACCTTTTTCTCGGCCGGTAGCTTGAGATCCGCGCCCCGCGTCCTCATCTATTGCTTGAGGACCCGAAGTTTCCACTGGTTTTGGTTCCTGAATTCCTGGAGGGAGTCCAGTATCTGTGTGATGTGGCTGTGCCATAGCATCAACGCGAGGCCGGCGGCCTGGAGAGGCGAGCTTGGATCAAGCAAGCCGGGGAATAGCAATACATAATAAACCATATGGGGTATTGGTCATGTGGACGGACCTCTTAGCCAGCCGGAAGCTCCAAGCACTAGCTAACCAACTTGTGCTTCTCCTTGTTCAGCCCTGGCAGCGTTTACCGATTCCTAGCCTAACAGTATTTCTATCTCTCTGGCAGAAACGACACTGGTTCTAAATTTGGCCATCACTCCTCGTTGTCTGTTGTGAATTGATCATATTCTTCCAAATCCTACGATGCAACCGCTAATTGCTGGCTCGATGGGACTTGGAAGGGTACAAGCTGAATTATTTCCAGTTTACCAAGTAGATGTTAAACCCCCAATTTTCAGCAGCGTTTGGTTGAGTCAGTAGTCTTTGCCAGACTCCGGTTTGCGCCCGAGAACCCAGCAAATCAAAAGCCCCAGAGCAAAACTAGATCTTGCGCCGCAAACCCCGGAACGGCCCTTACACACCTTGTAAGTACAGTACCCCCTTGCTAGCTCCAACCGCCGCGGAAGCTTGTTCAGCGCAACGAGCTGCAGCTACAAATCAAGGGCACACGTAGCCCGACGGCAAAGAGCTAGGGCAAACCTCGCAGTAGTTCGTGCGGAATGCGAGCGACAATGTTATCAAAACGAGGCTGGCGACGATAATGCAGAACTTTTGCCAGCCGGGGCTCTCATCACTTAAATCATGACACGTCTTCAGGGCGGATGAACGGCTCCAAGAAGCAGTCTAGCCCAGTAAACCAGTCGTGGCGAGTTGCGGCTGAGGGCTAGAATGATAATCACAGTCAAGCACCAAGACTTTGCAATCAAGAGACACTTCTCTGCCCATATTTGCCATTAAATCTGTGATCAGGGCGGTCGACGGATCTGGTCAGTGTACCGTACACTCTGCATCTCTTGACCCAAAACACACTTGCGTCTCCAGATATTGAGGCTGCTCAGTTGCTTAACTAGGGAGCTAGGAACTACTGAGCCTTGTTTCCCGGATTCCTTGCTCCTTAACCACCCATAGCTAACTTTCCAGGTTCCGTAAAACCATTTGCTTTCTGGTCCACACTCCAAACAAAATGAGACGCTATCATTTGAGATATATTCCGATGATCGTCTTTTCTACCTAGTATACAATCTTCTAAACCGGCCCTCAGATTCATAAATGCTCTGATTTCATCCTCTTCAAACTTGGGGGGGGAATGTCCTGGTCAAAATCGCAGTTGATACCCGGCGCCCACAGGAAAGGCTCGTCCTTCAAGTTCAGACCTAAATTGACCTTGACCTTGCCAATTTGGCTAACGACGATGACCGGATAGATTTGGCCGCGCAAGTTTTGGAACCCGGCCTCCATCAACCTCTCTCCATTCAATGTCCAAAAGACCGTCCGCTTCTTCACGTCGACCCCACACCCGACCGTGTCACCATACCCAAACTTCCTCGCCGATCCCAAATCCTTGATTTTAGGAGGGTCTGCGACACACCATATCTTTCCGTCATCGCCGTGGTAAGCCCAGCTCGACGTCCCGGGTTTCGGCCAACCCGGGAACCAGTGCTTCGTGGATCCAGTGGGCTTTTGAGTAATTCCCATCACAAAGATGGGATCGTCAAGCTTGACCTCGCGATCCGCAATGGACATTTCGAAGTAGTAGCGGTCGGACGATGCCGGTATGGGGTGGTCGGTGATCAAGGCTTGATCTGTTGAGTAACATGTATCACTCGCATCCATCCACAACGGCACGCGCTCGCCGCGTTCAAGCAGCTCAACCTCCAGACCCGAAGGAGAACAGATGAGCACATCTGAAAAGCTCCCTACAAACTTAGATGGCCGGATACCAGCTGTGAGCTTGGAGTTTTTGATCACTTCAACAACATCTGGCCTGTCGTACTGCTCCGCCAGTTGGAGTACGTTCCAGCCATGTTCGTCCGTGGCATAAGGATTGGCGCCATATTCCAGGAGTTTTGCCACGAGGTTGGGGGAATCATTGATGGCCAGTGTATGAAGCAGCTCGATCTCCGTGATTGCTGCCTGCTGATCGTGGTCAATCAATGCTGACATCGCTTTTTCGCGGTCCTCATCAGGTTTTGTCCAGATCTTCGAGTAACACAGCTGCAGCGGTGTTTTGCCCTGCACATCCTTGCATTGACTGTCTGCTCCACGTTTCAGCAGGGTCATTATCGCTTCGGGACGGGCCCTCAGTGCTGCATAGTGCAAAGGCGACCAGCCCTTCTTGGACACGGTCATCAGAGCAGCCCGTGCGTCGACATGGTCAAGGATGAAGTCAATCACGCTCGACAGTCCTCGAGACGCAGCTCGCATCACCGGGGTCTTTCCCCAAGTATTTTGCCAGTTGAGAGGCTCAATCTCCCCTTTCTCCACCATGACTCTCCCGAGGAGGAGAGCGGACTCGGTGTCGCCATATTTGCAAGCCATTCCGAATGGGGTTGCTCCCAGATTGTTTCGTTTGAGAGAATCTGCTCCTCGCTCAAGAAGGACCTTGACCACTTCCGTTTTGCCAGCCGTTGCAGCAACAAAGAGTGCTGTTTCGCCGCCGTCGCCCGGATCCTCAATGTCGGCACCATGTTCAAGCAGCAATTTGACTCCCTCAGAATGTCCTGCCTGGGCAGCTTCGTACAGTGGTCTCTCCGATGCATCGTCTTCTGCTTCGATCTCAGCGCCTCTTTCGATGAAATACTTCATAATATCAACGCGGCATACATCCCGCCGGGCGAGAAAATGCATCGCAGTTTCCCCTCTCGCGTTGCGGAGGTGAATATCTGCACCAGCCTCAACCAGTGCCACCCCTATCTCAAGATCAGCATCTCCTGCAGCGAAGAAATGCAAGGCGGCGTTGCCAGTTTCGTCGAGCGTATTAACCTCAGCATTGTGTGCGAGGAACATCTTGAGCTGTGCCAAGGTGACCGCCCGACATCCGAGGAGAAAGTGAAAAGTCCTTCCCAGTAACTCGTCATCCCAATGGTTGTCGATGTTTGGGTCAGCGCCGGCATCTAACATGGCCTGAAAAAAAGAATCCATACTCTTTTCTGTGGTCAATTGAAAAATTACCGCAAAGCATAGAGCGCTCATCCCTTCCGGCACCTTCAGGTTGACAAACTCTGAGGCATTAGGTCGGGCCAAAAGTATTTGCGCCAAGCTGGTCAAGCCACAGCATGCGGCGAACACTAGAGGATGTAATTCTTCGGTGTCAGCGTACATTTCGATGGAGTCGATCGTCAGTTTCGCGGCGGACAAGGATCTGATCCAACCTTTCCAGGCCTCGGATTCTGGATCAAGAAATCTTTCCAGGAGTTCACGCAATCTACTCCATTGTTCGCCAGACCTCTCCTTGGCGGGATAGATATCTTCCAGCTGTGTCAAATGCCACCTCAGTCTTGAAATTTCGTACCGAGCTTGGTAGGAGGTATCTTGGTCTTCCTGAATGTCCCAAAGCCGAGCTCGATCCTGGTCTGTCAAGTCCACATTCTCGTCACTGTCTACTACAGACTGGTCGTCCTTTGCTTCCTCCGCCGGACGAGCATCGTTGCTGCTTTCACCTCCCTTCTCATTCGCTGGGCCATCCTTTTCTTGTGCTTGGTTAGAATCATCGTTGCTTTCGGCAGACTTTGGGTTTTGCTCGCCCGAAACGCCGTTAGTCAACGATTCGCCATTGGTAACCGACGGTGCTTGTGTTGCTTCCTCGTTGTCTTGCTTCGATGTTTGCTGCACACCATCGAAGTTCTCCGCCGTTAGCTCGTCAAGGTTTTCATCCTGCACTCGGACACCGTTGCTCTGAATCAGTTCGTGTGAGGCTTCCGCTGGTGGTGCATCGTTTTCACTTTGAACGGCTTCGGTCGGGTTCTCTCCATCCACAGTCGCTTGATCATTTTCCTCTCCGTCCAATTCGTCCCTGCGCTTAGCGTAGTATTTGCGCTGAAATGATGGAGATAGCAGATGTTGAAGGATTGTGGTGATGATTTGCAAATGGCCTTCTCTTTCTGAAACGACAAATTTTCTGCTGCGTTTCAACTCTCTTTGGCACCTAGCACATTGGCATTCAGCCTCACCCACCGAGTTTGTGCTGTCGTCAGAGACGCTTTGCGGTTGCAGGAAAAAGTCTCGCACAGTGTTGTGAACTAGGCTGACCGTATGGTCAGCGTTTACCCGAAGGAAGCCACTTCCAGCCTGTCTGATTTGCTCTTCGTAGAGTTCCGGATCCACGTTCTCCTCGTCGTGGTTATCTTCTGAGTTACCTTCCTCGTCCAAAAAACTACCCTTATATCCATCGATGAGTTCCTGAACAGTCAATTCCTCCCCGGCAAGAGTAGTCCAGGTAAGGACGTGGGTGAGCAGATCGTAGTACGCAGGGTTAGTCTGGTTTAGACGTTGAGCATAGATGTTATCAACACCTGAAGGTAAGGACTCGAGATGTGCTGATAAAGGCCTCCGCCACGGTCTCCGCATAAAGTCCATTGCCAGCTCGACGTAACGGAAGTAGCATCCGGCCTTTTGGATGATTTCTCGACAAGCCTCTTCACGCTCTGCTGGAGTGAACCCAGGTAATTTGGCCATCTCGGCTTGGACATGCTCGGCGATATCTTTTGAGTTATTCTCCTCCACACTGATTCGTGGACAACCCTCAAGCACAGCGGATATATCAGGTTCGTCTCTGCTGCTACAGTAGATATTCACCTTCAAGCCCGGTGTACCGGCGAAGTTCTTGATTGTCTGGATGAATTCTTGTGTTTCTCTATCGGCACACTCGTCCACAGCGTCTATCATGAGGTAGATTCGCTTATTGATGAGCTTGGCCAGGGCGATGTAGGTTTGTTCAAATCCAGCTTGACCCTCTGTTGCCTTCTTGGTCGTGGTTTTGGAGGTAGTGCTCTTCTTTTGATGTTCGATATAGTCTGAAACGGCCTTATTACACTTGTCCAACACGTCTAATGATTGAGCTGCCTCACGGTAGAGTTGTGCAAGAAGATGGCGCTCGATTTGATCAGCCTGGGTGGTGGCTTGAGAGCCCTTCGATATAAAAAAGTAGTGGACGAGAGAGTCGTGTTTGTGGGCCTTGTTCCTGAGATCTTCGATGGCAGCAGACATGAGGAAAGACTTTCCAGATCCACCAGTGCCGACCAGCCAGGTAACGTTACCACCTTCAGCGTTGACAAAGTCTTGAAATTTACTGTTTTCCAGAATCCAGCCACAAGTTCCCTCTTTGCGAGCAGCTAGTTTAGAATCCAGCACTTGTTGATTATCCTCGAGGGATGGCAATTCCTTCTTTTGCCTTTCCCAATTGGCATGCGTGATCTCAGCCGCAGTCATACGTTGGTCTCCTCTGTGAAGTTCGTCTCTCTTCATCAATTCCTCCATCAACTTGTTCTGCTTGGCGGCCTCCTCTTGCAATGCTTGTAACATTTCCATTTGTTCCGATAAGCCTTTCATCATTGTTGCGTCGTTGTCCAGGCCTTGCTTCTGATAATACTGCGAGACTTGCTGGTTTGCCTGGGAGGCATACTTATTCATCTGGGCTTCATTGTCTTTGATGGCCTTTATCTTGGGCTGGAACTTTCCCTGGGCGCTACGGAACAACCCCTTGATGACACGCACGCCGGTGTTGGATCGAGCATATTTCCACATTTGATATGAGAACTCGATGATGTTCACGTATGTATCTTGTATGTAACTCAACACCTTTTCATGAAGCTCGGTAAATTCAGGAGGACGGTCCCTGGTTGCATACAAGCGGCCATAAACTCGACAAGATATGAGGATTCCTAAGATATCTGCGCATGCTCCGGAGAAGAGGCTGAAGGTTGCAAAGTCATCTTGTACTGAATGAAGGCAGAGTCTGATACCGGTCCAGGCAAGGCCGACACTTTCAGGGGCAGACTTGATGGCAAGATCTCCCACTTTCATAAACTGGTCGACCTTGTCAAGAATGGCACCCAGTTTACCATTATACTCGGAATTGGCTTCTTTTTGCGCCTGGACGACCGAACTCCGAGCTGATTCGGGGGTGGTATAGTCTTTGAGAAATGGCTGGAAGTTGGATGGATCATGATTTCCAGAAAACACTGATCGTGCGGCATTCCAGGCCTCCTTTTCGAATGCTTCATCTCTGGTCTTGTCGTAATTGCTCATTGTGAATGATGTGTATACTGACTTGTAATTATATGCTCAATCAGACTGGCGTCAAGCGGTATATAGAGAGTGTTGATGATTATGGGAGCCTTGAAAACAGGTCACAAGGTTCGGTCAGCAACAGGTCTGCGGTGTCATCAGGCTGACTTTCAGAAAATTCATGCTGCACACCCGAAAACAAGACTACCTGGTAGGGATTAGTAATTGAAAAGCAGTTGAAAACAGGCTGATGTTTTTGAAGGCCCTTAAATCTCTTCTTATACCGAGCAAGCTGAACCGTGGGCTAATTGAATGCCGTGAATGTCCCAAAGGAATGCCATCTAACCCTTGACACTCATGCTCTCGTGGATCGGTTGCCTTAGGTTGTTTTCGTGCATATTTCGAAGGACTGGCACGAAGACTAGGCAGCATCTGGCGCATGGGTTGGTATCTAGGAGAGTGTTCGAGGAGCTAACCAGCAGCTCTTCAGCTTTGGAAAGTGTTGCTCGCCTCCTGGTTTGGGGGCCGTTTCAGCCCACCAGCCCCGTAAAAAGCCCCTGATCATTCGGAAGCTGCAACAGGCGGAGCGTTGCCGGTCAGCCTACTGGGTACTTGGTAGTAGTGCTATCGAGAAGCCGCCGAACAACGCCCTCCCTAGTGCGGTTGAGAGACCCGAAGCTGCATCCTCTTCGAGCTGCTGTGCTGCATAGCGAGCGGATGTCGTACCTCCAACCTGGTACCCATCCAATTGACATAGGCGTGATGGCGTTGCCTTTGATCACATGGGCCATTCCTGTCCAATTATTGGGATGCACCTCGAAAAGCCCGAGAAAATAACTCATCTTGCTGAACGTAGGAGCAACGTCGAACCCGGGTGGTAACAATAAGGCTATCCAACAGCAGGACTTGGCGACAAATAGGTGAAGGAATCTCTAAGGACGCTGCATAGATCGACTTCCTCCGCGACCAAGTATACAAGTGATAGTAGCAGGTGTCGCAGCGGAACGTCCTGAAGTTAAGGGCTGTTAATCGGGGTTGGCACGAAACCGGGTCGTCCCGAACTACAGGGTATGGAAAACGCCAAATCTGACACGAGCAGCATGAGGTAACACCAGAAGTCAGGTTGTGGGTCGCCATCAGGACTCATCACTCTACCCACGCAGGTGCTTAAGGATGGTCAGCGGCGAGGGAGACAAGTTGGTGACTTGATGTGTGGTCAATATTAATTGGGAATTTGAGACGGAGATTGTTGCCATAATTGTGGTAATACCATTTGCTCTTGCCTTATTGAGACACTTCTATACCTCTATCTTGGCCCCGTATATTCATACAGTGAGCGCCCTGGTCTTCTCGGGCTCACTAAAGCATCCACCTCACAAAAAGCGCTGTCACTGTGAAAGGAAAAGCCGCGCTTGAGTCTGTCGTCCACGCATCCACATCATGAAAAGCAATGCTCTCACGGTGCGAGGGGAAAAAAACCCCACCAGAAAGGAATCCAGAAAGCCGAGCCCAAAGACATCAGCCTTCCAACTCCGCCAAATCCCCGTTCCTCGAGTCATTTGGTGTAATTCCTCTCCTTCTCCTCCATTCCCAGACTCCTCGATCCACCTCTTCCCTGTCGACCCCGTCTGGCACCAAATAAAAGGTAACCCCCAGTTCTGTTTCCACATTACGATTCCTTCCTTCATCGTCAAAGAAGAGCATTTCCTCGAACGGTATCGTTCGTCCTCCCTGGCCATGACCATGTCCACCGACATCATTTGAGAGTTGCGTTTGAAGACGGCGAAAGTGTGTCGTTTTCGATCCCGGGTATATTTGTGGGTGGGTAAATAGGTCGATCGCCCTTGACAGCTTGCTCTCTCGCGTCTCCTTGGATTCATATTGTGTTGGAGCAGGGACGTGGAGGCCTTTTAACATATCCCTTGCCAGGTCGGGCGCGTGAGTTCTACTCGCCAAACTCATAACTATGCCTTTTTCCCGCGCAGCGGCCAGTATGTGAGGTACTTCGGAGTAGAATGAAAATGCCTCTCCCCAGCGGTCAAGCATGTGAGTATTCAGCGTCCCAGGGGTTGAGGCCTGCGGTTTAACAGGAGCAGAGACGTGGGTGTCCACCCAGAAGGGCCAAAGCGTGTAGTCTAAGTCAAAGACTATTATCGTAGGGAGAGGAAGGGAGTCCGTGAATGTTGAGGGGATCGAGGATGGGCTAAATACAGGTCGCTGGGATGAGCGCGATTTCCGCATTTGGAGGACTGGTGCGGGAGGAGACAGCGGGATGTGGATGGGGAGAATGAAGAGAAGACAGAGATAAGTGACGAGAGGAATAGGGCGTAGAAAAGGAGAGGAAGGAAAAGCCAGCTTCAAAGACAAGAGAATCAATACTTCAATTGTCGGCCTTTGCGGTGGCAACGCAGTCGTGGTGGGGGACTGTGACAAGGCTGAGAGGCAGCCTGGTGCCTGAGAGCATTGAGATCTACCTGTTAGACTTAGTCGGGGCAAATCGGGCTAGTCTCGGCCGTACCTTTATCAACAACAAATCCTTGCTTCCGTTCCGAGAGCCCCATGCCCATCATCTGCAATTGTGACTGCAACTCCTGTCTCTTCCTCTGAAGAGCTTCTTCTGGTCGAAGTCCGGGGACGATGGCGAGCCTTCCCTTACACTGGCCATGCTGATCAACCAATGCCTGCGCCTTCCATTCCGCGCAAGAATTGCGTCTTGTCAAGTCTGCCGCCGCACACTCACTTTTTCTTTTCAAAGGAACTCCACTAGTGATGCAGCTGCAGGACACAATGGCAATGGACCTGCTCCTACCGTGGCCATCATCGGCTCCGGGCCAGCGGGCTTCTACACGGCCCAGAAGCTGTTGCGAGAAATCCGGGGAACGAGAATAGACATGTACGAACAGCTTCCTGTACCTTTTGGACTCGTCAGGTTCGGAGTCGCTCCAGATCATCCAGAGGTAAAGGTCATACTTTTCCTCCTCGCCCCACGAAATGGTGCTCTGACATGTCTTCTAGAACGTCCAAGAGACCTTTCAAGCTATCGCCGAATCCCCTAACTTTACCTTCATCGGAAACGTCAATCTTGGCCACGATCTCCCGCTCCCGCTTCTCGCTGGACACTACGACGCCATTGTCTTTGCGTACGGCGCATCCAAAGACCGCAAAATCGGGCTAGAAGGGGAAGACAAGCCTCACATCTACTCCGCTCGCGCTTTCGTGGGCTGGTACAATGGCCTTCCCGAATACCGAGATCTCGGCCCTAACTTAACGGCCGGAGACACCGCCGTGGTTGTTGGGCAAGGAAATGTAGCATTGGATGTGGCCAGAACACTGCTGAGCAGCGTTGATGCGTTGAGGCAGACCGATATCACAGAATACGCTTTGGATGCGCTTTCTGCTAGCAAGATCAAGCATGTTCATGTGGTTGGTCGACGAGGTCCCATGCAGGCCGCATTCACAATCAAGGAAGTGCGGGAGCTCTTACACCTCGAAGATGTGAGCTTTCGGTCTATACCAGATGAACTCTTCCCTCCCGACCTGTCAAAGTTGCCCCGCCCAAAAAGACGCCTAATGGAACTTCTGAAAAAGGGTAGTCCGTTGAAGGAGAACGCCACAAAATCGTGGACTTTGGACTTTCTACTTGCCCCAAAGTCACTGAAATGGTCCGATTCAAACCCCGAGAAACTGGAAGGGGTGGTGTTCTCAAAGACGAAACTCGAGAACCCGGCGGATCCAGAATCTAAAATCGGCACTACGAATGAAACACAGCTGATACCCACATCGACACTGTTTCGATCGATTGGATACAAAGCCGCAGCGATCCCTGGAATGGCAGAATTGGGCGTCGAATTCGACGAGTGGAAAGGAACGATTCGGCATGATGGATTCGGACGTGTCGTGCCTCCGGAGAACAACGACGCATCGGGACACGGAGCAAGCATATACTGTTCTGGCTGGGTGAAGCGCGGTCCAACGGGTGTGATCGCCAGTACCATGACCGATGCTTTCCAGACTGCCGAAGCGATCGTGGAGGACTGGAAGAAGAGGGCGCAACACTTTGTGGGCTCTGCTGGGAGTCAAGATGGTTGGAATGGCGTCCACGCCGAGGCTGTTAGTTATAGCTTGCCGCTCAGACCGATCCATTGGGACAGCTGGGAGAAAATCGACCAGGTAGAGAAGAAGATCGGGAAGCAAAAGGGGAAGCCGCGGGAAAAGTTTGGGAGCGTTAAGGAGATGTTGGCTGTGAGCGGCAAATAAAATGAGTAGGGGAAAGGTCGACTGGGAGTGCGTACATCTCTCGCAGAGACTCGCCGGTAGAGCAGACGAGGAGCTTCCCAGCCCGGTGCAGCTCGGGTTGGGCATCTGTTCATCTGTACATTATTGAATGTTATATACATCACCCTTCCCTCTGACTCGCCCCAAAGTCTCAACTACCTAATAATATCCCAGAGTTCTCCGCTCCCCGAACCCGAGGCGGTTTAGTAGAATGTTTCGGTGGAAGGAAGGAGGAGAGAATCAAAAGGATGTGTGCGTGATATCAGTCGCGTGGTTCAGAATCACCAGTGTGTCTGCTGGCACTTTTCAAGATAGCTTTCACCCGGGTCCGTCGATCGTCCTCGAGGGAAAGGTTGCAGGGCCTCGGATGAAGACAAAAGCCACTTGAGGAATAGGAAACTCGACTCGGGAATAGAATCCCATATTTCGTTATGTTCAATTTGAACGGAGGTAAAGCATCCATTCAGGTTCCTTCCCAAAACTATCATGCCTCATTGCTGCTGATTTACAGCTCCATTGAGTGCCATTCAGCCTCAGCTCTTTCTGCATCCAATATGCTTTGGACATCCATCTTTTTCGTGACATCGTCATTGAGGTACCTCAGACCCTCCATAGCTCGACCGTTACACGCTTGTCCCAGTGTCAAAAATGCAAAATGTCCTCCAACAACGGGCCTCGCGAAAAAGTTTGGACCGGGAAATTCTCCTCTCCCTTCTGTCATGTGTAGGTCGGTAAATGGTCGATCTGTCACTGTTTCGTTCACCCATTGCGCGACAGATTGCAAGATATTGGCGCGGACTTTCGGGGCGGCGACGGCCATGGCAAAAAATTCCCAGTCCGTCTTCGTGTATAGATGTCGCGAGTCAAGAGGCAAACCGTATTTCTGACGTACGGCATAGTACCAATCGCTCTGCATCTGATATATGTGTTTCGGCACGAATCCATCTTTGTCCCCAGGAATGTGGTGTTTGAGGGGTTTCTGATATTCATAACGCCCAGCAATTGAGGTCTTTGTCGTCGACGAATTGTCCGAACCCAAGTGGAAACAGAGCAAACTGTCCGCGTACAGATTGTACGTGGTAGTCCACGAGCCATACCAATTGTAGGCGACCTTAGCATGGGTTTTATCTCGAGAAATACCATATTCTTCCCACTTTTCAATATAGACTTTAGAGATATTGTTAAACACTTTGGCATCTTCGTAATTATCCGTGAGCTCTGCGAGGCCAGCCATGGCTTTGATGCCAATGATGCCCTTTAGAGCCAGGTTTGTTTGCAAGGCCAGCCAGCCAGCAAAGTCGTCGGTTGATAGCTGATTGTGAGGTAGCAGGGAAAACTCAACCAGATAACTTGTCCACTGTTTCCACAGCCGATAGCTCCTGCGCACCCACCTTTGGGCGCTCTTCACACTCTCAGGTCGACCCACCCAAGCGTCGTCAATGTAGAGAATGCCGCCTTCCTTACCTACCGACAAAGGAGCAAGGCTATCCGACGAGGGGGTCGGGCTGGGGACACCACTCATCGGCTGCCACGGGGCGGAAGCAGTCCAGCCCGCATCATTCTTCAAGGCATTCGCCAATGCCAGTCCCATGATGAGTATATTTCCACACTCCTCTACTGGCATGTACTCATCTTGTCCGAGTGGGTGGCCTGTGGCATTTGGGAAATGAAAACCAAGGTCATGCATTGCATATTTATTTGGATATTGTCCACTCAGCATGTGCTCAATTAGCGGTTCAAGCAGATATCCCAGCCATCGTGCATTCGTGTACAGAAAGAACGGAAAGGCGGGGAATATAACGTCAATGGTTTGGAAGTTTCCGTTGGAAGAGATTTCCTTCAAGAAGAGGATCGGATCATCTGGCGTGCCTGAGAAGCTGGTGGCTCCCAGGACCTGACGAGCCGAAAGAGCAACGATGTCGACGTAGTCCTCGGCACCGGATTGGAATGCGTCAATGGCCAACTGCGCCGAGTAGTTGGCCGCCAACAGGCTGGCATGGTCAAAATCGAGGTAGTGGAAGGTGAGCAATTCTTGGACAGTTGGGAAGTAGGATTCCCATAAGGGACGCATGTAAGTAAGCCCCCGCGCCGCGGCAAACTGGACAACGGGATCCTGAACGTGGGCAATCGTAAATGTGATGCTCTGGTCAGTGGATTGGGTGCTGTTGAGGTCAAAAGACTTGGAGAATGCGAAGACAGGTTCCTGGTCCATGATAGACCGGAATTCGTGGTCGATCTTGTCTTGCAAATTCCCGTGCCGGGCAAATTGTTGCCTCAGCCGAGCCGAAACACCGGCCTCATGTCGCACGTCAGAAGGTGCAGAGAAGTAAAGTGTACCCCATTCAGCACGATCTTGAAATTCGGTGAAGAGTTGTTCCACTGCCCTCTGGACCTTCCAGGTCTTGAAACCGTGAGACATACCCTCCAAAGCTGTATGATCAAGACCCCAGACTATCTTGCTTCCCCGGTCACCGCTGACCCATTGGCCGTTGAGGTCAATATAGATATCCACGGGCACATTGCCCGAAACGTAAACAGTGACATAGCTCGCAGGGATAGATTGTCTGACAGTCGACGTGGGAGTTATAGGAGACAAAAAAGAGATAGTGATGTCAATTTGGCTAGATTCGGGGTAGAGCGTAGGAAGCGGTAGGGTGTAGGACAGATTCGTAGTCGAGGCATCATAGACGGCACCGCGGTAGATTGGCGAGGAGATAGTATAGCTGCAAAGAGATCAGTTTCCAGCCCCCAAACAGAGAGCTACAGTATTTACTTGTCATCGTCCTTCCGGAGCGAGTCGTGGGGTCTTCCCAGCAGCGGGTATGCGGTCCTTTTCTCTGGGACACTGGCGAGGATTGAGAAGCCAATTTCTTGACCGGTCCAAAACATAGGCCATTTCTCCCACGGTACATCTCTTGCGTTACCCAGCCAGGTGCTGAGATAAGGGTTGCGCACGATCAGAGGCAGCACGGGGGGAGTCAGGCGTGAGCACTCGACATGAAAGGGCAAGGCGGCGGCCAGGACCGCCAATGCGGAAACCAGCCGCATGACGGGAAGCAAAGGACGGACTTGGTTAGAAGCTCAACTCAAGGAGAGAAAACATGAGAGTGTCAGAGGGAGAGAGCCACACACACATACAAACACAATACACGATACACAGAAGGAAGAGAGAGAAAATCCGGGGAATTGGAGAGGTGCAAGAGGTGGAAGGAGAAGGAGAAGCTGCGACGATGGTCAGCCGACCAATCTGCCTCCGCCTGCGCCTGCAACATAAGACACCTGGGACACCACCACTCCAACCCATCCCAACCACCAGCTTTCTGTCGACCTTCTCCGATCACGCAATGACAATGACGGCATCTGATCTCCGTCAGCAGAGACACCAGAGATGCTTGTGACCTTCTTCCTTCGATGTTCCTCCATTCCTCACCGTCGCCGCCAATTCCCCCCTCATCGCCATCTCGCACTATGCCTGTTCCTGTCATGCTCCGAATCTTGTTTGCTCGCCAGTGAAGCTGCCCATATCGGGAAGCTGGGGTGAGATGAGGAGGGTGTTAGTGGAGAAAACGCTGGTAGGAACCCCCTCCGTTTTGGCGAGAGGACGTGCGGTGTGGGTTGCTCGAGCCTTGCCATGTCGCCAATAGCAAGGCCTCTCCCACGCTTGCGGCGGGCCTCTACAAGCCTCTATCGGGAAAAGACTCGACCAAGAATTGATGCCACACTTTGTCACGGCGGGGTTCTGATTGGCTGCGGATCTCTACATTGATGCGAAGTTTGGGATTTGCCTCCGGCGAGTCGGTGTCGAGGCCGTCAATATAAAGCTCTACTCAAATATCCATCTCTGGTGTATCTTAGCCCATTTTCTCTCTCTCAATTTCTTGTTTTCTTCACAAGCAGCGGCCGTCTCCAAAGACCTTGCATTCCATCTAATCTTAATTCAACCTACTCCTTCGATGGAGGTTCAAAACAAAGAGGCCGTACTGGCCCCAGAACTGTCCCCCTCTCTCACGCCCCGAGATGTCGAGCAACAGCCCGGTAGCGAACCACCGTCCGACGTCCACACCTCTGCCTTCAAGAGCCTCGGCATCCTCGATCAGTTCCTTGCGCTGTGGATCTTTTTGGCCATGCTCACCGGGATTCTACTGGGAAATTTCGTCCCCAGCACTGGTCCCGCGCTCCAGCGAGGTGAATTCGTCGGCGTCTCAATTCCAATAGGTACGCCAGCACAGCCTGAGAGAAATCCATGGGCCATTGGCATCTAACCGTAAAGTCAGCGATCGGGTTGCTGGTCATGATGTATCCCATCCTTTGCAAGGTCAGGTTCGAGACTTTACATCACTCCTTTCGTGAAAGAAACCTCTGGGTGCAGGTGGTTTTCAGCGTCTTTGTGAATTGGATAATAGCACCTCTCGTCATGGTAAGTCTCGAATGGTGGACCGGTCTGATTCCAAATACTGACAGAATTAAGCTGGGTCTGGCGTGGGCTTTCCTGCCGGACGAACCTGCCCTCCGCGATGGGCTCATCCTAGTCGGTATCGCGAGATGCATTGCTATGGTTCTGATATGGACTGGTCTGGCTGGTGGCGACAATGAATACTGTGCCATCTTGGTTGCCATCAATTCTCTCCTACAGATGGTCCTCTTCGCCCCGCTGGCCCTTCTTTTCATCAACATTATCAGTCACTCTTCCGATGGCGTCAATGTCGACTATGCTCCCGTCGCGAAGAGCGTTGGCGTCTTCCTTGGGATACCATTGGGCGCTGCCATCGTCACCCGATTTAGCCTTCGCAACCTCGTGGGCAAAGACTGGTACGAAAAGCGATTCCTGAAATGGATTGGCCCACTGTCGTTGATAGGCCTGCTCTTCACCATCATTGTCCTATTCGGATCCCAAGGTCGTCGTGTGGTCCACCAGATTGTATCTGTCGTGAGGGTTGCGGCTCCCCTCATTGTGTATTTTGCAGTCATATTCCTCTCGACGCTGCTGGTCACGAGGAGACTCGGTTTTGGATATCGCCTTTCCTGCACCCAGAGCTTTACAGCCGCGAGCAACAATTTCGAGTTGGCCATTGCCGTCGCCATCGCCACATATGGTGTTGACAGTGATCAAGCACTGGCGGCAACTGTCGGGCCTCTCATCGAGGTGCCAGTTCTACTCGCGCTTGTCTACGCAGTCAAGTGGTATGGCAGGCGCCAAAATTGGGTGGCATAGGCTGGAGACAAATGCCACCGTCCATTGAAACGTCATATTTCAGTCACGTTTCGGTCTAGAATCCATCTCCTGTAATATTTGAAGCAAAAGTTGGCTGTCGACTCGACAACCCGACCCCGGGGTTTTTGGCAGGCTAAAGGCCGTGGCAAGCCGTGCCGCGATTTCATCCATTTCTGCAGGGGTGGGGTCGTACTGCTCGATTATCCCTTTCGCTATCAGACATTGCACGGCGTTCGCGTTCTCTGGTGGCAAAAGCGGTCCGTTCGGGGGGATCCCAAAGGCATCGCAACAGAAATTCTCGTCAGAGAACGCAGGGGGATTCTGACTATCCGGGCAAAGCATCCACTCGTACGAACTGACCGGGGACAATGAGGCGATCTCAGGCAGACTCGTCGTAGGCGTGTCAGAAGTGGCCACCAAAGGTGGACACTGATTGCCACCATAGACTTGTAGGTTATCAGTCGTCAAAGCAGGTATCGGAGGACCAAGCGATGTCGGGGACGAGTATGGCGGACAACATAATTCCGAATTCGACTCCTGTTTTGTCATGGTCGCGCTGGGCAAGTCGCTGGTGCCCAATACGCTGGGCTGCTGATATTTGGGCCTGATTTGTCGATGGGCAACTGCTGCGGCGTTATGCGGGAGTGATTGCATGTCAGGGCGGCCGAAAGTCTCGACGAGGTTAGGACTGATACCGACATAATTCAATAGATCTCGCAGACGGGCATTTTCAACTTGCAGATCACCGAGCGCTGCGCGCTGCAGCTGAGCCTCGCGACAGGCCACCTGGCATTCTTTGACCCGTCTTTCTAGCCCAGCCAGATATTCCTGGCGCCGAGCGCGGCTGCGCCGTTGATTATCGCGGATCCGTTCCTGCTTGGACTTGGATGCATTAGGCGCTGTACTGGCTTCAGATCCCATGGCGACCTAGCAAGCATTCAACACTCGGCACGCTGAGTTGGTCTGGGCATTGACTGCCTCAGAGACACATCGTCCAAGAACAACCGCTCCTTGGAGTCTTAGCGGACAGAATCTGCACGAGAAGCTTAGTTTGGATTTGACGTCTGGGAAGTGAGAGTCGTTGATGAGTAAAAGGAAAAACACGATTGGCCAAGTATCCTGGCGCTATTGCTGGGCGGTGGCTTTGAAAGGGGGGACGCGTAAGGGACCGACGCCGGCGCTGAGCGGGCTCTCTGAGCCTGACAAGGGACGAAATGTATGGTAGGAAATAGACAGAAAGAGTTTTCTCGAGTCGGTGATTGACGGAAAGTGGCACCACCAAAGCGTAACAGAACGAGGGTCAGGCGAGATGGGTAGAGGGGCCCTGAACAAGGGGGATATTGAGCAATATATACACACATGGTCCATATATGGGGTATATCAACCCCATTGATGACCCGAAACCGCGGAAATGCGATCTCTCACCCAGGTCTTTGGGCACTAAGATGCGAGCTTGGAGAGATCAGGCTGGTGGCAACATACCTTTTGGAAAGGGCACGGATCTGGTACTGGAGATGGGGGTGGGATGCGGGTAGCTGACTTTCTAGAGAACAGGTCGCCTTGCATCCACGGCGCCAACATAACAGAAAGGCAAAACCTCAAAGTAGATGCAAATATGGAAATACCAGTTGTCAGCAGGCAATGGTGGAGAGGGGCCAAGTCACCAGGCTGTTGTTATTGTGGCACATGCGAGGAGGAAAGAGAACAATGTCTAAGAAGGTACAAGTACTTCGTATGCCAGTCCAGGTCTACTGGCGGACGCAGCTGGAGCCTTGAAGCTGGATTGCGCCACCGCCGTGGCCCATGGCCCGGCAAAACATGGCATTGTTCAACCTCGCCCATGCTCTAAGATTTCTACAAACTTCCCCACGGTTATGCTACCCGTCTGTTCGCCCACTGACATGATCGAACCACCCTTTCGATTCGAACCCTAAGTCCCTGCGGAACTGTTCGAGCGCGTATGCTTGGACCTGGAGGTTTCGGCAAGTGACATGTCTTGTCGATCAAACCGGGACACATGCTACGCTTTTTCTGCGAAACAAAGTCTGAAAGGGCATCTTTGCTTGTTCTCCGTCGGATATCTCTGCACCAATGTGGTTGCCTCGAGAGGGAAGTAGAGGGATGAAGGGTGAAGGGTCCATCTATGCAATGCATGGTGCCACCGCTCCTCGTCTCACCCTTCGCGCTGGCGCAAAGTCTACCATAGGCGGCCCTTCATCGAGCCCTCTGCAGCTATCGAAAAGACAAGCAGAGAAAGAATGTCCAAGGATCGACCTCGGAGGTGCCTCCCCGATGCGAACCTGCGCACACTATGGCCCTTGCGCCGATCGACTTGCGCGTAACATTCAGCTCCAGAAACCTAGTCACCGCTCAATAGTTGGGTCTCGGATGACTGCGAGCTAATCCCAACTTCGATGCACGCCTGACAATTGTTCTTCGGTGCTGCCGGGGAAAGTCACGCGGATAATCAAGAGGTATCTATCTCTACCGTGTGTATGGGCCTTCTCTTCGTTCTCGTCAAGCTGTGCCATAGTCGCAACTTGCCTAACAGACCGTTCTGTGACAGACATGCGTGCACCTCGCCCGAATTCTCGCAGACCTGGGCTCTTGAGGCCTTGAACACCAGCTCTCCGCAATGACAACGCAAGTTTGATGAGCCAAACTCCAAAGATCCCCTTGCAGATGCTTCCCACCAGAAACCAAAGTCTGAATCCCGAACAAGACATTCTTCTCACTCCGCGACCATTCACAGCAAAGGGCCAGAAGTTTGACGCGCACGTTCAGTTTCCAGTTGTCTGGGTCAAATGCGGCTCCTCGAACCAGGATCGACCACTCAGCAGCCATGTCTGGCCTGAAGTTCTAATTTGGAATCCGACCATTTTCAGAATGGCTAACGCTGAAACTCTTGGGCTAATATATACTGTCGCAACGGCATCCGGAACCCCGGTCACTGAGCAGGTACGCCAAAGGAAAAGAATCCCAGGAGGGTTTTGCCATGCCCCACCCATGGCTGGATTGAATTGATCAGCGTTGGCCACTGACCTCTTCCACGTGAGATGGCCCAAGAGCAACTTTGATCGGCCAGGCCGAAAATGCCACGTTGGACGCAAGACTGTATGCATATTGCATGGATGAGTACCTCTCTTACTACAACTTCAATGACTAACGTCAAAGTCGACTTACCCCTGGCATAAATTAAGACTACTGTACGTGCATGCATACTCTCCATGCACAGTCTGGGGAAACTGAACCATCACCATCGGGTTCGTCTGCATACGAGGTACATAGGGACTCGAAGTTCTAACGATGTCTGTAGTGACCATGTGTAGACGCAGACCTGAGGGTCCTCTCGCTCTTGGCTTTTATAGAGACGGGAAGTGTTAGCCAAATCTTCTTGGGAGCAGGAAAGACACATACACACCTACATACGACTCCAGATTTGAACAGAGACAATCCATTGAGCAAACCGCACTAGCAAAACCTTCACAACACTTTCCAAAACATGGACGAAAAAAGGGTGGTCAAGTGCGCCCCGTTCCAGCAGGTTTGGTCTGCCCCATCTTACCTTCACTGTCCCGCCTCCTTCGCCCAAGGAAGGGCCAGACCCAGCATGTGCCACACCTCCTGCTGCTCATGCCGGGGAGTATTTCTCATGCTGGCTTACTTACAACGGCCACGTCGACCTGACTGTTTCGACGACCACGACGGCGCAGGAGTTGGGTGAGTGGGTGAGGAAGAGAATGATGATATGGGCGAGACATATCTACCCAGGCGGTGATAAATGAGCCTGGCAACGGCGAGATCACTGAGAGCGTCGTAACACCGTGGCATCACCAACCATCGACCAGCAACCACCAAGCGGGAGAGCGAAGAAGGGGAAGGAAGGCCCTCTCGCGCCAGCGAGACCCACTAAAATTTGATCTTATATATATACAATCCTCCTAGCGGGATGTTGAGCGAATATCGTCTGAAAACGGAGGAAGTGCTCAGATAGGAGGTACATGCTTGCTTGGTCGAGTAGGAACGGAAAAAGTTCTGGAGAAAGTGTCTCACACTCACGCACGCACTCACTCACTCACTCACAGCACACAAGGAACAAGAACAAAGAAGACAAGTCCCCAAAAGAGGACCAAGCTGCGGAGCATTGCAGATACACAGAAGCAGCAGATTTGGGCCTTTTTTCCCCCTGATTTACTCAAATGGAGACACACACATACACAGCAAAAAGGCCAGTGATCGATCCAACCCCAAATCTTCTCACACCGTGAGAAGTTTCATGCGCAGACTACCTACAACTTCGACTGGCCTCCACTGACGCGCTTCAGGGCCAAGGGATCCTTCGCCTCGAGGCCATACTGCCTGAACAGCTCTTCGGTCTTCTTCTTCTGTGCCTCGATGCGCTTCAACAGCGCGGGGCCGCGCTTGTTCTCGTTCCGCCCCAGCTGGAGGATGTGCACCTCGTCGGGCCCGTCGACGATGCGCATCGTGCGCCCGCTGGCCCACATGTTTGCGAGGGGTGTGTCCTGGGACACGCCGGCGCCGCCGTACGCCTGGATGGCGCGATCGAGCACGTCGAGGAGCATGTTGGGCACCTGCACTTTCACCTCGGCGATCTCTTTAAGGGCGTCCTTGGCGTTGGACTGGTCGATTTTGATGGCCGCGTTGAGCACCGCGAGGCGCGCGGCGTCGATTTCGATCCGTGAGCGCGCCACCCGCTCCAGCATGATGCCGTGCTCCGCGAGCAGTTTGCCGAACGGCTTCTTGGCCGGGTCGTTCATGCGCGCCAGGAAGTACTCGAGGGCTCTCTCGGCCTGTAGACAGAAAAACAAAGGTTTGATTAGAACATGCACCAAAATCACCAGTTTTGGGAGCGTGGCGGAATTCCAACTTACAGCACCGACAGATCTCATGGCGTGGTGAATTCTGCCGGGTCCGAGACGGCCCTGGACGACCTCGAAGCCTCGTCCCTCGCCCAAGATCATGTTGCTCTTGTGCACACGGACATTGTTGAAGGTGATATGGCCATGTCCGTGAGGAGCATCGTCGAAGCCAATCACCGACAGCATGCGCTCAATGGTAAGGCCAGGGGTGTCAGCGGGCACGAGAATGACTGATTGTTGTCTGTAGGGGTTCGGGTTGTTGGGGTCGGATTTGCCCATGACGATGTAGATCTTGCATCGGCGGTCGCCGGCCCCGCTGGACCACCATTTCTTTTCACCACATTGTCAGACACGAGGTAGAGGGAATAGTCATGACGATAAGACAAACCTGGCCGTTGAGCACGTAGTAATCCCCATCCCTCCTCATGTTCAACTCGATGTTCGTCGCATCACTGCTCGCCACTTGCGGCTCTGTCATCAAAAACGCCGACCGGATCTCTCCGTTCAACAACGGCCCAAGCCATTTCTGCTTCTGCTCCTCGGTCCCGTACTTGGCGAATACTTCCATGTTGCCCGTGTCGGGAGCCGCACAGTTGGTAGCTTCGCTGGCGGTGCTGGATTTACCCAGGTACTCGGCCATCAAGCCGTATTCAAGGTTGGAGAATCCGGCACCTTCCTTAAAGTGGTTCTTGGGCAGGAACATGTTCCATAGACCCAGTTTGCGAGCTTTGGCCTTGAGGTCTTCAATGATCTGGGGATGGGCGTCGAAGCGGGAGACCGGGTCCCTGCCGTGTTGGTTGATCTGTTGGGCGAAGACGGCGTCGGCAGGGATGCATTCTTCCTCGACGAATCTCTCAACCTAGAAGGCGCCGAATCATTGATATTGGCTCTTTTCTTTTTCTTTGATGTCCATTGACTTCAACCATAGTGGAAGATATTGGGCCTGGGGCTAGCTCCAGGACACCGTACACTGCGGCAGCAATGAAAGCGGTGTGGGAGAGATGGTTCAAGGGCTTTGTCATTCATTCTGACTTACCAGGTCCAGTGTCTTCTTCGCTCGCTCGCTCACGAAAGGTCTGGCGATAACTGGGATTCTCTCCGAGGCAGAAATGTGCCCGCCGGCGCTATTGATGAGATAGGGGACAGACATCTTGAAGCAACTGTGTAGCTGGAGAAGAAGCAGGGAAAGTGGTGAGAGGGTTCCCTGATCGAAGTAACAAGGCGGGAATTATAGCAAATTGAAAGATGGTGATGAGGAACGAGATGGGATGGATTTAGTGATCAACAACAACGATCAGAACTTTGAGCTTGCTTGCTGGGGGTGAACGGGCTCGACGGGTACCGTTCGCGTAATCCGAGAACCGAGGCAGCGGACACCAGATTCGGAAAGCCACTCAACCCCTGCTCACCACGGAGACGTTTTGTTGTATGTCCTCCCCCAGCTTTAGCTTTCATCAGACCACGGGGCAAGGCGGCCTAAATCCAATGGAGGGCTGCCCGGGGATTTCATCTCGGCTGACTGCTGCTTCAGGCTTTTGTCCTAGCGACACGCCGCAGTCTGTATCATGGCTCTATCCAGCCTGAGGGCAGCAGCATGCCACATCTCACCCCACATTCTGTCTGCTGCTCGCACAACGCAGAAGACGGTTAATTGCATCAAGACAGCTGCCAGATACTCGGCAAAACTAGTGGTGTTCCCGGAGTCGTCAATCCCTGCATTCCCAATATGGTCCTCGCTGCTGCCGCCCACCCATACCCATCACTTCTTCCGACGGATGGCGCAGGAATCGGTCTATGTCGACGGCGAAGAGATCTCTGCCATCCGTCAAGCAGCACGCGACAACCGCGTCGTAGTGAGTCTGGGAATATCAGAGAGAGTGCGATACAGCTCCGGGACTCTTTTCAACACCAATATAATCATTGGCGACGATGGCGAGATCCTGGTGCATCATCGAAAACTGATGCCTACGTTCTTTGAGAAGTTGACATGGGCTCCTGGGGACGGCTATGGCCTACGCGTTGCACAAACCCAATACGGCAAGATTGGGGCACTGATCTGTGGTGAGAATACCAATCCGCTGGCCCGATATACTCTTATGGCACAGGGAGAGCAAGTCCATATTTCCACCTGGCCCGCCATCTGGCCTACTAGGGTCCTCGTCGGTGACTCTGACAATGAGGTCAACCCTGTGGGCACCAGCAGTCGCAATTATGACAATCTTGCCGCCAATCACACGCGAGCAGCGGCTCATTGCTTTGAAGCCAAATGCTTCGGAATCATGAGTGCGGGACATCTCGACGATGTCGCCATTGCTGACATTGCTGCAATGACCGAGATGCCAGATGATATGCAAAAGAAGCTAGCAAGCTACCCCCGAGCAGCAAGTCAGTTTCTTGATCCAACAGGCAAGACCGTCCAGAGCCGGTTTGCGTTGGACCTCACCACCAATCGCCAGCTGGATGGACAAAGTATCGTCACGGATATGGAAGCAATTCTCTTTGCAGATCTAGACCTGAATGAGTGTATAGAAGGCAAGCAGTACCATGATGTTGTCGGGGGATATCAGAGATTCGACGTCTTCTCGCTGCAGGTTAACCGCCGGAGGCCTGAGCCTGTACAGTTTCATGACGAAAACAACAAAGTATCGAGCTTGGGCAGCCTTGGGAACGACCACGAGAGAGGTTCCGGTGGGAAAGGAAAGGGAAGGATGAGGTCGGACAAAGATCCGGTGGAAGCAAAGATTGGTGGATAAATAGCCGGCTAGGGGCTCATGCTACCTCATTACATACCTCGGCCCTGGTATGGTGCCCATACCCCAACATTCTCCATCTGACGGAGAGCACCTTCTTTCGGGATCAGCCGAGGGATAGGCAAAGGTAGGTTTCAGCTTTGCTATTGCAAATGTGTGCATTCTTTCTAAGTAGATCATCTGTTTGCATGTGGCAAAAGAGGCCCGAACTTGATCAACGGGAGAAAATCTAGCGATTCAGAGCCTTCCACGTGACCGCGGCGAGGCTCTCAGTTGGTCGGATTTTTAATTTTTCCGGTCCCGATTCAAAATTTCCATTTCCTTTCTGGCTCATCGAACGAGTTGCAGCGAAATTCAGTTCCATCTCGTCGTTGTCGCCTTGCGTTGTACTACCAGCATTATTCTTCCATTCCCTCGTTGACTGTACACTTCTGTCTCTCTGTGACCTTGTTTCCAACATTCGTGCAGGCTTTTTCTTCTTCTACGTGATCCCGCAAAACGTTCATGACCTTTCCCGCAGCGACTCCCGAGCCTTTCCAGGGTACCAGCACAAGAGGAGAAAGTACTCTGATTCTACAGTCCCGGGAGACTGGACAAGTTGTTCCGGAGGGACAGCGTGACCATGCGACTGCGGTAGCAAAGGAGGGGCCCAAGGCGAAGCCCTGGGCTCATTTTGTCGCGGGAGGGTATGCGCGCAAACCCTATGTTCCTAATCCAAATCTCATGATGTCCTAGTATTGGTGGCATGGCTGCGGCCACTCTCACTTCTCCTCTTGACGTCCTGAAGACCCGACTGCAGTCCGATTTCTATCAAGCTCAACTGAGGGTTCTTCACGCTCAACACCCGCTGCCGCATAAGCTCACCCTCACCTCCGTGCCCAGAGCAGCATTCTTCCACATCGCCGAGACTGTACAGATCCTCCGATCGATATACCAACACGAGGGCTTTCGGGCCTTGTTTCGAGGTCTCGGAGCAAACTTGATCGGCGTCGTGCCTGCGCGGAGCATCAACTTTTACGTTTACGGGAATGGCAAGAGAATCCTGAATAACTATCTGAACCCCGAGGGGCGTGAAAATGTATGGAGCGTCCATCTCCTCGCGGCAGCTACGGCGGGAATTGCAACGGGTACTGCAACGAATCCTATCTGGGTCGTCAAGACAAGACTACAGCTGGACAAAACCACGGCAAGTCACGATCCTTCAAAGGGACGACAGTACAAGAATAGTTGGGACTGCATCAAGCAGACGGTCCGACATGAGGGCATTCGAGGCCTGTATCGGGGCTTGTCAGCCTCGTACCTGGGAGTCACCGAGTCTACTCTTCAATGGGTGTTGTATGAGCGGATGAAGCTGTCCCTAGCTCGAAGGGAAGCTAAGCGGCTGTCACTGCCGGGTTACCAACGAACGATGTTCGACGATGCGGAGGAATTTGGAGGGAAGTTTTGCGCCGCGGCCGGTGCGAAGCTCTTCGCGGCAGTCATTACATACCCACACGAAGTCGTCAGGACGAGATTACGGCAAGCCCCAACCATCACCACGGAGACGGGCAGAGTCACGATGAAATACACCGGCCTGGTGCAGTGCTTCCGTCTCGTGGCCAAAGAGGAAGGGTTGGCCGGGTTGTATGGCGGTATGACGCCACATTTGCTGCGAGCTGTACCTGCCGCCGCTGTGATGATGTCGACCTACGAGATTTTCTTACGGCTCTTCGGGACTACTTCATGATACCGTCACCGTCACTGCGCCTCGGCGTTACTGTACGTTTGTATCACTTCTAATGGCCTGTCCTCATGTCAACCGTTGCACAAACAGGGGGCGTTCTGGTGTTCCCGCTTGTCCCAACACGGAGTGTGTCACTGCGAGCGACCAGGCGCTTGGATCTATTGGGCAGGCAAGGAAATGGAGGGAGATAACTGTCCTGGAGACAAAAGATACCCACCTCCAACCATTGTACGATAGGGGAGAGAGAGGATGTTCTTCTCGTTAGAAATCAATAGACTTTTTGCTTCTTTGCTTGCTGGCTAGAATGAAGGGTCCCATATGTAACCTGTGCGCAGCATGGGTTCTTGCTAGATGCGTTCACGTGTCATGTACCATGTAGCCGTGGCTCTCTGTGGGGTGTCGAGCTCAGTACTTCGACATATGTACCCCTTTCAAACTGTGCCTTGCATTCGACACATCGGCCAGGTCTTTCTTCGCGTTTCATTGACAACGAGAGTTGAATGCCACCTCTAATAACCTGTGCCTTTACCCAGCTCGCCAGCCAGCTTGGTCGCATGCCAGAACGAGCACAAAGCTTCTAAATCTCCCCTTTCTAAAAGTCCTCAATTAATCATGTATATCTGAATGCCGACTGGGCTGGGCGAGAGCGCTATTCCATACTGAAGACTGTGCAAGACTGTGCTACCTAAGCGTGGCGGTTTATCTTGGCGGCGAGGCGGGAAAAGTTGAGTAAAATCCGGCCATGCCGCTTTTATGTCCACTCGCCCTTCCTCTCATCATTGCACTCACCTCGCTCACCTTCGCACTCGCCCTTCATCCTGACCCGCTCCGCCGCATGTAGCGCCAACGACGACCTGAAATTGTTAGTGCGCTAACCTGTTCTAAACATGGCTAATTCTGCAGATGCGGGATAAGCTATATCAGGTATAGGCTCCCACGAAGCATCTTTACGGACTCATTCCCAATCACTATTGCGCTACCATTTCCTCCGGCCCCTTCTCTTACATAGCCTCCCTAGAGGTCTCCCAAAGCTAATTAGCGCCATATACTCCGTATGCGGCGGGGAGTGTGGCTAACGTAATCTATATGATCGGGCGATGCGACGGACGGCGTTCATAAAAGTGTGAACGCCTTCAGGGGATACGGTTCCCAGGAGTGGGGAGGTCCTGGGGTACCGAACATGATGGGTACGCTATCATAGGCCTGAGTTTTGTTCTCGGCCTGTCGAACTAGGATAGGGAGATCTCCAGGACGTTCCGCCCAGGTCATAGGGGATTATAGGACGCTTACCGTGGTAGGATCTCTGTCCCTCATACTCTGACCCCATAGCTAAGAACGGCGATGTCAGGAAAGACAATGCGCTGACGATTGGGCTATTTTTAGGGTGTATATAAGGACTGCTGTGGTGGCGGCCTTTTTGGCCTAAATCAACACCTCCGCTGAAGGGACCAGAACCTCTCCTCTCGGTATGTACACTGAAGTGGAATAGCATGAAATGGCAGGACCAGCAGAGACCGGGAGGCCGGTCTACGCGGTCGCAGCGCTCTAGGGTTCCACATGTGTGGCGCGATTCGCAAGAAGATCTCTCTCCGGATTACGAACCGCCAGCCTTGACGTCAAAGGTTTGGCAAACTCTACCATAGCCGTGCTAAGCATACCACTGTAACAGTGACGTACCTCAACTCCTGAACTGGATATTCGTCAACGTAGTCCAGCATGAAAAGCCATCACACAGAACTTTATCTTAGGTACCCATTCGCACGGACGATATAACTCTCGTGCAGTAAGACTCACTCGGACTCGTGAGCTGAGATGTCACCCAAGAAGCTGCCACCACAGACGTCGCAGCAGAAGCCGCAAACACGGACGACACAGCAGGAGCAACAACCACAGAGTACCCCTAAACCTAGAGTCAACAATGCATCTTCCACTCCTACCAGCAAGCCAGTCATCCCAGCGCATGAAGTGAAACAAAGCTCGTCCGTGAGCGCGCAGCTCGCCCTCGAAGCCGCAAAGAAAGCCTACGAACTCCGTCAAGCAGCGTATGGCGCTGGTAGGCGGTGTGGTGTCTTCGGCGGGCGCTCTGCTGGGAGGTGGTATTGGATCTGCATACAGTGCAATCACTGGTCCATTCTGGGATTTGGGCCAGATGGCAAGTCACGCTTTGAGGAGTATTGTGGGCGATTTTCCCAACTGGCAAGCTACGTCAAGTCAGAAGAAGGCGCTGGAGAAGATGGTGTCGGAGACGCAGCAGACGAAGGCCCCGAACCAAAAAGAATTGGAGGAGATGCGGGACGATGACGGAGGTCGGAGTCAGGAGGATTACCACCAATGGGCCAAGGATTTGACACGCTACCTCCCGAGTATGCCTTCGATGCCTTCGATGCCTTCGATGCCCTCAATGCCCTCAATGCCCTCAATGCCCTCAATGCCGTCGATTCCAGGACTGGGGAGACAATCCAAAGGGAGCAACCCTACTCCAGCTGGAAGTAAGCCAAAGACCGCGACAGCATCAAATCAGAACCAGCAACCAAAAGCATCAGCAAAGCCTCGGTCACCTTCAAAGCCTCGACCTGCTCCTCCAAAAGCACCTAGCCAGACGCCCAAGTCACCATGCCAGACAAAGGCAGATGAAAATGCGCCGAGAGAGAAGCCGAAGAAGTTGGAGATCAGATCAACAGGAACCACTTCGCAGTCCAGCCAATCCGTCACTCGATGAAAGCCACCCAAATTGGAGACGCGATGCAAAACCACGACAACAAATGCATGAATTAGCAGCACAGACAGCGAGGGTACTCGCTGTGTAAGCAAACAGAGCATAACGAGTACGCTAGGATTGCCAGCTGCACGTCCCACGCGGTCCGTTGCGCGATCCACCATGCGGATCGCCGACTTGGGTTACTTGCCCTTGGATCCTGCTCTTTTCAGCCTCTAAAGATCTGCCACACCGATGCTCGAGTTCAGCTCGTTCACGCAAACCGAGTCCAGCCACTAGCACAGCCGCTTCACGACTGCCGAAACAATGCCTGAGATCAAAGCGGAAAACAGGGTAGCTGTTGTGTTCAACCCCGGCGAGGTCACTTTCACCTTTGAAGTTAGCACATGCAAGCACAGGACAGAGATAATGACTGACATGTGGGTGTGATTCAGTAACATGGAAAACGGTGCACAACCCCGCAACCCAGCCTGCTCAGTTCCCACCTGTCCTTACACTCCCTTCCCTCACATTGCGCTAGTGTCCGTGAGCTCGCCCCCAGCCCTGGTTTTCGCCTGAGCCCTTGCCTAAAATTAGGAGGCATGCATGGTTTCTTCCCAGATGGTAGATTCTGGTTGGCGATATGTTGCTGAGGCGAACATAATAGGTCAGGATGGGTTACCCTGCAACTTTTGCTGAAAATGATGGTGTGGGCAACAGACGTGTTGACAAGGATGAATGAAGATATGTTGGCTTCAATGCAATTGTTAATTCTTTGGTGTAATTTCCTGCCCACCAATAGTTGGTCAGGTTCGTCCCCCTACGCGCCAGCATTGGCAAAATCCACCGTAAGGGCTCAGGGTAATCTGTTTAGAAGTGAAGCTCGGCTCGCCGGGTGATGTACGAGTCCCATATCGGCAGCTTTGGCATAAATAAAGGTGGGTTTCAAGACTCGTCCCTCCATTATCTCACCTATAAACCATCATGATTGTCTTCAAGGAGCAATTCGATGCCACGAAAGCGGAACACCTCAAAGATTCACCAGACCGCGTGCTGCTCCTCAAGACGCCTGCTGACGATGCAAGGCCAGCGGAAGAGCTGCTTGGCATTGAGAAGGGGATACTCCCAGACTTCACTTGTCGCTTTGTGAAAGGATCAGAATACTGTTCCCAGTGTGGCCGCCACTACAGCTTCCTCGATTTCGCGAAGGCGGGCCTCCAAACCCATGACAAGCAATTCTTGAGGGACGCCATTTTTGGACGGCATGGAGGGTATATTCGCACGGAAGGGGGCCAGATTCCTGATTGCTATAATTGCGGCAAAATGATCGAAGTTGCGGCGTTGTATGCCGCCCCATTCTACATCTGCGGAGGATGACTTTCGCAAGACGGGCAGTCTCAGCCACAGGTCTGGCGTGGCGGGAGCATGTCAGGAAGCCTTCACTCATTCTTTTATGAAGGTCCCCTGCATTCCTTTTCAGCAATTGACATTTTTGTCTCCACCGTCTTCTGTTTTGATCTAGTGACCCTACCTCAATGCATGTGATGTACTTGGTAATATTAAGGTGCTTGTTGGCTCAAGCTAGGTAGGAAGGCACCACGTTTTGTGAGTCAGGTCGACCACATAGTCGAGCCTTGGACAGATCGGAAGTCCCACCACCATTCTTCCGGCCAGGCAAAATTCGAGCTTGGCGACAGACTCCACCACCAATCCTGCTAGGTATGTCTGGTGGCTCAGAGCTTGCGAGTAGGATCCTGGCCATGTAGGCCATTGGAATAGCGCCAGATCTCTTAACGTTAAAGGAACCGTGGAGGGCTCCCAGGCAGACCAGGGAAGAGGACAAGCGTCATCCACGACAGAGCCGAAAACTTCCTCGCCAGAACGCCGCCTTTCTCGCACTCTCCTGGGGATCTCAAAGCAAGAGTCACCGAGCCGCCGTAGCTTTCACAATAATTTATATGGGGCATGTCGCCTTAGGACGAGACGCTCAGGTGATAGGTGATGTAGTGATTATAGTCATGGACATGGTCGGTCAGATTTCAGGGGAGGTAGCTGCAGTTCGATTCGGAGACTAGAGGACCGACGGGATAGAAGGTTGAAGGAGGGAGGGCCGGTGACTCGTTGACGGCTAGAGTTCTGGGAGAAGGGCCACTTGGGAGGAAGGATCCGCGGAAGCCTGAGCTCGTTCTCCACCGAGCAATTAGTATAACAAGTACCAATAGTCCAGCAACGCAACTACTTTGAAGCTTGGATGAGATGAAGGGCGACGGAGTTGGAAACCTCTGAGAAATTCGGAGTAGGCGAAAGCGACGAGGGAAATGGTTTTATGTATCTGTCGACTGCATGTTTCATTCCATATGCGTGAACATGACCATCGCAGTTCTTCATCCCGCGGAGGCAGGCTAGCTCATCAGTACCAGCCCCTAAGAGAAGTCTTGTCAGCGTTGCTTTTGAACGATATACCACGTTCATTATAAACTCAAGGATTTCAGCGGTCGACCGGCCGACCGAGCCAGGACGTCAATGGGAGTTCCTGATAAGAGTCGGCGTCTCATTGCCCTACGACGGGCAAGACATAGGTGATCAGTCAGGCGGGCAGGGGGTGAGCACAGGGCGGCATCGCCGTATGGCTGAAGAGAGGTGAGCTGGGCGTGAATGTACCTCGTCTTGACGGGAAACGACGAGTAATCAAAAACTGGTCGGAGCTCACGTGCAACTCATACCGTCAGTGCTGCTTTTATCACCCCTTATCACCTGCGCACCTACACACCTCACTCACCCTCGTCCTTAACCTTCATCCTGAACTCCTCGCTCGACCGACTCTCAACTTCCCACCTCTTCTCATGAAGTCGAAATCAATACTCGATTCTGCGGAAGAATTTGAAGCCTGCATGTCCCGAATCGAGTTGGATCCCAGGCCAAATGATGCATGATGGCTGTGGAGTTACACCATACGCAGCGCTGTTGATCATAGGCAGCCCCATGGCCAGTAGGCGTGCTAGATAGGTGCGTGGAGTTAGTCTGCTGTGACGAGTTAAATACTGTAGCCAGCGATGGAATACTATCACACTTCTTCCTTGGTCCAGAGCTTAAATAAATCAGGGGGAGCTCCCTCGGAGATACAACAAACATGGCTATATCTGTTACGCAACCATCATGCCACGCCAGGTTCTCAATGAGGGGTTCAACCTGCCATGATTATAAACCCATCCAGTTCAAATTTCGAGGATTCCAAACCTCAAGCACGCCCATCACGTCCTCCATATCATCTGTACTCTTTGGTCAGGCGCAGTTCCCACGATGGCCAATCCAGGACGATTGCTCAGGAGGTGCGGGAGTATTCTCAAGTTGAACGTACTTGGAGTGGGACGGACAACACAAACCCAGTCGGCGGGCTTCAAGCGATATTCAGTGGGCCCACTGGTGGCCGTCTCCGGAGCGGCCGGCCTCTGGTGGTTGATCTCTCACAATACTGCCCTGGCAGAAGCCCCTCACCATCCAGATATCAAACCCCAGACACGAAATCAAATCCACGTCCGCAGCTACGATAGGCGACTCGTTCCGCATACGGCCCCAATAACACCCACCACACCCATCGCATACGAGAATAAGGCTCACGTGGTGGACATCTATGCGAAACTGGAACAGGAATCTTTGGATCTAGCCCAACTGCCGGTGGAAGAAGCTGTGCTGACCAGTGCACCGAATGTACCTCCCTCAATCGCCCGTAATTATCCCGTGATTCTAAAGGTGAATTTGACTACAACCATCCGAAAAGCCCAATTGACAGGCGCATACAAGTACGAACAGTGGACGTTCAACAATCAGGTTCCAGGACCTTTTATCCGCGCACGCGTAGGCGATGTCGTGGAAGTGGCACTGACGAACAAGGATGAAAGCGGAATGCCACATAACATCGACTGCCACGCTTTTCTGGGGCCCGGAGGCGGGTCGGCAGTGACGACGGCCGAGGAAAACCAGACCAAGACAGCGAGATTCAAGCTCCTCTGTCCCGGACTCTTCGTCTACCATTGCGCGGCCGCACCGGTGCCTGTCCATATCGCCAATGGAATGTATGGACTGATGTATGTTCAGCCGGCAGAGCGCGATCTTCCGCCTGTGGATAAAGAGTACTATGTGATGCAGAGTGAGTGGTACCACGAGCCGCCCGAGGTGGACGACAACGGCAAAAAATCATCTCAGGTTGAATTTTCGTATCCCAACTCCCTGCGTGAAGAGCCGGATGTCGTCGTCTTTAACGGGAGTGAGTCGGCCATGACCCGAGAAAAGCCACTGAAAGCGAACGTTAACGATACGGTGCGCATCTTCTTTGGGAACGCTGGACCCAATTTGACGAGTGCGTTCCATGTGATTGGGGGCAACTTCAGGCGGGCCTATCGAGACGGCGATGTTGTGAGCCCGCCAGGGCAATTTGTCTCGACTTTGAGTGTTCCCCCGGGCGGAGCCACCATTGTGGACATGCATATGCTTGTGCCTGGTACTATGACCTTGGTCGACCATGCCATTTTCCGTCTGGACAAGGGCGGCGTCGGCTACTTGAATGTATCGGGGAAGTCAAGACCTGACGTCTACCAGAGCGTGCAACCTCCTGCGCCGTGTGTCGGGTGCAAGTTACATGCCTGATAAATCTGCTCTCTTCTACCGCACGGTCTGAACCTCGAACTAGAATATCATAAGCAGGCGGCATTGTGGATGGAGCGCACGGTTGAGGGGTTCTTTCGACGACAGAAAGAAGGCATGTGCGAAGAGGACGTTGGTTGTGAACCCCGAATGACCAAAAAAATACTAGGCAACACGTTGTATACTCGATGTAGTTCGACGGTTCGAGCTGTGAACCAACGACCTTAGCAACATCTACCAAAGCGCCGTCGGCAACGCGCTCGCTCAACCTGAGCATCTCAGACTACCGGACCTTTCTCCAACGAGAAATCCAGTCCGGTGAGGACAGTGCCACACGACAGTCTTCTTCTGACTCAGCAGCGCGAGTTTGAAAGGCATCGAGAACTCCGTCACCGCAATGCTCGACGACATTCTGGTTGGGGACGCCAGCGCGCAGTTGACAATCGTCGAGGACTCGGCCGGTGCGCTTTTCTTTTTCCCTTCTCTCCTTTCCGTTCTCGCGGGCATCGAGACGCATCTTACTGGCGTACGTAATTAATGACTATCTCCCTTGAATTGCTCATTGGCAATCACGAAGGGGGTAGGGCGCCCTGTTGCTCCTGTGCTCCATCCCTAGTACACGGCTCATAATACCAAGGCTGACAGTTTTTCATAACGAGTACATCAGCATCAAAAGTCAGAAGGTACCAAGTTGATGACATGGTGATTTTCTGTATTGCCAGTTTCTATCAGCAATGTCGCCTCGTCACAGCCGATATTGGTACCCCATATACTCATTTCACGTCTTATCCCAGTCCGCCCTTTCTCCCTCTGTCTCTGTCGCTCCAGCTCTCTCATCTCCACCAATCGAATCCTCTTAGCCAGCGCCGCATGCTCTGCTTTCAGACGCGTGATTGTTACTTCCTCACTCCCGTCCATGTCGCTACTCCCAGCGGGAATTACCGGTACGGATGATTGCGAAGTATCGCCGTGGATGTTCCGAGATAATGGGTTAGCATGATTAACAAGATACTTTGGCGCAGTCTCCTCATTCTGCGAGCTTGCGACACAGCGCGGTGACGTGGAATAGTCAATGCCGTTTGATGCCGGTGTTTGTATAGGTTGCGGCAGTAGAGGGTTCTGATTTTCGGCGCTTACAAGTTCCTTCTCACTCTCGTTTCGGCCACCATTAATATTCACTAGAGTAGAGGGCGGGATTTGTGGGTCTGTGCCGCCGACGATGGACTCTCGGGCGGTCGAAGAACCCAGGTCCGCGTAAACAACTTCAGAGGTCGTTGCGGACAGTTCTGGTTTGCCCGCATGCTCAAACCTCATGATTCCAGGACTCCCCTCCAGTTCTGGCTTCATATAATTTTGAGTGATTTCTGCCGATAGACTGGCATTTTTTTGTCTGACCCGACGCCGAGATCGCAAGAAGAAGAGTATGAGAGCTGTGAGAAAGATCGCCAAGGCGATCACGCCAATCGCGATACCAGCTTTGGCGCCAGGAGACAGGCCCGAGGATCCTCCTGGAACTGAGAAGGTTGGGGCTGTCCGCGTTGATGGGGAGGGTGATGACGATCTCGAGGTTGGTTGCGAGATGGACTCGGGACTAGACCTATCGAGAGCAGATGCAGATGTGAGGGAGGCATATTCCGCAGGATCGGTAATAACTCTCGTGACATCGGTGGTGATTGTGGTTTTCGTGTTTAAACTCGAGATACTCGATATATACGTTGCCATTGTCGTGATAGTGGTAAGGGCGCTCACAGCCTGCGTCGTAACAATTGGCGCGGTCGAGGCACCATCTGTGCCAGCTGTGGCCAGGGTGAAGGTAGTTGTTATGGCCACTACAGACGGAAGAGATTCAGGCATCCTGGCCGCTGGAACAGGACTGTGTCCCAGTACCGGGGGTCACAGCAAAGGTCGAGAGAAGCGTACAACAGCATTTGAAATCCGCAGTTTTTGTTGAAATGCGCGTTTCTTTGGGGAAAGCAGCAAATAAGAGGGGTATGGGAAATAAAAGCCATAACGTTACCTTGTCGCCTTGCTTGATGTGTAGCTAACAGCAAAGCTACCTAGTCTAGGGCATTCTTCTTGTCCTGGGTTCATGTGGCTTCGTGCAATCATTGTTCTAGAAGCTGGGGGTATCGCAAGGTTCTCAGAGTAGCTTGCAGCATGATTTCAGCCACGGCCGAGAGGCCGAGATTAGCAGCGCGTCAGGAGGTTCCGGGCAATTGGATTTGGAACGGACGAGCATCTTTGCACCTTATCAATTGCCAGCCGTGTTTCAACCACAATACATGAAGTGGAAAAGCTTTGGGAGGACAAGAGTCAACTGTAAAAGTGCAGGGAAAAGTACTGGTACGAGGTACTTTGTAGCCAAAGTTTAATGCAGATCTTTCGAGCAGACACACATCGAGAGCATGTTTACCTCGTACCTAGCAAGCTACTTAAGTAAGCCGGAGGCTTAGCACCGATTACCTCGTAGCTTGGCAGGAACAGATGAGAACCAAGTACCCAGTACATAAACCTATCGAGCTATCGAGCTATGTGCTGGCAAGGTGCTGGGTAGGCTGCTGGGAGCTCACGTGCAGCTCACGCCGGTCGTGCCGCTTTTATACTTCATAGCCTCTGACCCTCACTAACCCAGTATTTTGTTGTGCGAGGTAACGGATTGCCGGGGCAGTTGCTAGCTGTAAAAGCGGCGAGCCAGCGGCCGCCAGATGGCCTAGTCCCGCTAGGTTTAGTGCCTTGGCACTGCCAGATGGCATCGTCAGCAAAGATAGCTGTAGCGGGAGATCCCCAGTACATACAGGATAGAGTGATTCTACCACACTGGCGCATTCCGGAAGAATACAACTCGCCCAATTCTTCAAAGGCGGGCAATATTGGAGGGATGCAGAGCCTCTTTGCAAATTGCCGCTCATGCCTCCAACTGACAACAGGACGGATGCACTGCCCGCGCTAGTCTGTTGAAAGGTCGCTTGATAGGTTAGGCAACTCAGTTGGCGACCTGGGGGTCCAAAAATGGGTTGGAAGCAATTGGCGGTTGGTAAGCTGCACATATACCTTCAGGCTGAGGCCAATCTTTCCGTTTGCTAGTCGCAGTTCAGTCTCAGAGATATCTCCTGCTGCCGGTGAATATATGTCACTATGAACCTCAACGCAGAGAGCGAAACAGGTTTCAAGCCCGACTGATTCCTCGAGCTTACAGCCTGGAGCTCCACCGCTACATTCTGAGAACCCTGGTTCACCGAGTGAAAATGAGTTGAGCCAGACTGGTCAGTCGGTCTCGCCGTCTGAAACTTCATCGACACATTCTGAGAATCCTAGTGAAAATGGGTCAAGCCCGACTGATTCCTCGAGCTTTACAGCCTGAAGTTCCATCGACACATTCGGAGAACCCTGCTCCAGCAAGTACATCTTCTGAACCACCGGATGCCGGACGCAAAAGACGTCGATGGAATCCTGCGAATATCAACGCATGGACCTCACGTAGCGCCAAACGGCAGCACTTTCCCCAAAGACACAATCTCGCTTCGAGACTCTCCCGTCTTCTGCCTGCCAGCTGGTTCTCGGAGATCTCAGCCATCGGATTTAGCGTTCTCTGTTTGTTAGCACTAATCACTCTCTTGGCTGTTTTCAACCATCGTCGAGCTCCATCCTTCACCCAAGGTCTTACTCTGAACACATCTATGTCTGTTCTTTCAACAGCGTCGAAATCATCATTGTTGTTCGCCGTGGCGGCAATGGTTTGCCAATTGAAATGGCACTGGCTGCTTCAACAGCGACGCTTGCGAGATATACAGTTGTTTGATGATGCCAGTCGAGGCCCCTTAGGATCCTTCAAGCTTCTCACCGCTCCAGCTCCGTGTTCTCTCGCTTCAGTCGGCGCCATCATCACAATCTGCTCTCTGGCTTTTGAGCCTTTCATGCAACAGCTCGTGGGCTATCGAGCTTTCGGCCAGTCTGACACATCTCATGCTGCAGCAACTCGGCGAGAAGGTCGTTGGCCACGCTGGGCGGCAGGTACTCTATGTTGAAATCAGATGGGTCTGGTTAGTGCTGCCCTTGATGGTAGAGACTGTCGGCATCATATTGCTATTCCTGACGGCGTGGGTAGCTCGGGAAATGAAAACGCTCTTTGGAAGGGATTGTCGCTTGCATTTCCTTATCACGGACTAGATGAGGAGGAGGATCTCAAACAAGGACGTGCCAGGACGACTGCAAGCGGCATGGAGAGACAAGCGAAGGCGACCGCAGTGAGATTAAAATACACAGAGCAGGGCTACTGTCTTGGAGTGTGAAATACGGCTGAGTGCTTTAGACGTACAGCCTCTCAGGACCCAACTTTCAAACCAGCTTCGTATTGTCACAACTTCGACTAATCCTGAGTCGGGGAGCAAGTGGCAGTATATATATCTCAGCAAATTTATAGCGTATCATTCGAATGTAAGCGGCGAGGGGACTGTCCTCTCAATATGTCTCATTGGCAACATGTTTCTTTTCGTCGGTGTGGCTCCTACGCGTGCAGATAGAAAGTGGGTCCATTAAAACACTACCACCGTTCCCCTGACTCCGCAGAGGTACATACCGAGACATCAAGTATTAATAGAGTCCGTCTGGCTCGGTCCGAGCACCCCACTACGGGGTTGATACGGTGGGTGAGCACAGGGCGGCATCATTCTCGTCCCAATCTGGGGTGAGCTGCCAGCGATTTTTACTTACTGGGTATCCTGAGAGTGCCGCTTTAAATCACCCTTACTATCTATGGATAGCTTAAATTGTACAGCTCAACTTCTTCTTGTCGCCTAGTACTTAATAGGGTCTCAAATCAACCTTGCCTACCCACGCCTTTCCTCTCGTTACATCGCCCCCTACCTGCCGAGTAGACAGCCCTACCCTTTCCTATCAGAGAGTCTGGTCTCCCTCGGTAACATGAAGCCGGTGACAGAATGCGACGGTCTATTGGCGAGTTATCAACAAGTTGTCTCGCGCGGTTCGATGTGACCATACAAGGGTAGGATCTGTGCGCTACTCATTTCAGGCTGGACAAGTTCCATATCCATAGCGAGCGGCACGTAATCGCATCCCCCTTTCCTTTCCTGTGACCGGCGGGCACACGTAATTATGAGCCTCTGAGAATTTACTGGGTACATGACCATATGGCCTTGGTTTGCAATGGCTGAACTGTTGAATGAAACTTAGCTCGTTCTCTTCTATTGGCATCAACCGCGTTTAAAGTTCAGGTTGGCAGGCTACCCAAGCTTGGTCGATTTGGAGACCTTTTATTCCTGTATTGAACAAAGGTGACTTCCCACGGGCGACTTACCGGCCATGGTAGCCTCATCATTGAGACACCAGTCCCTCCCGCAGACCGAGCATCTCCACACCGTCGAACCCCCGCGTTGTCGCAACAACAATCCCTCGCAAAGCGGTTCCACAACGTCGTTTGCGACAGTGAGGGGACGGATAAGCAGAAGTTAATATCTGAGTCGCCTCCAGAAGCATCGAGTGATCCACGATCCGAGCGATATGTCCTTTCGTTTCGGTGGCTGGAGATCCTCAGCTGCCTGGTGTCCGTTTCCATGCTTCTTATCATTATAGCCATCCTATATCCACGGCGCGGTCTTCCTCTGCCACACTGGCCTTACGGTATCTCCATCAATGCAATCATCGCTGTGCTTGTGGTCGTGTTGAAGATAGCAATACTTCTGGTCACTGCCAAAGGTCTCGGCCACTTGAAGTTCACTTGGCTCCAGCATCAGCGTCCGTTGTTGGATCTCGAGACATATGACATGGCAAGTCGAGGTCCATGGGGATCTTTGTCACTACTCCTGGTGACACGCCATCGCCATGTTGGTGCGTCGATTGGTGCCGCTCTCACGCTGCTAGCACTGGCAGTTGAGCCATTCACTCAGCAAATCCTGCGTTACCACAGCTGTGTCATCGATCAGACAGGCAGTGCTGCTTTGCCTTGAGCAATCCTATACGGGGCAATGGGCCAACATATCAGTGCCGACCAATTCACAGTCCGGGTGGACATGCAATCCGCCATCAACACGGGGGTATATAACGCCAACCTTCTTACTGTACCTGTAACTTGCTCTACGGGAGATTGTACGTTTACACAGCCCTATCACACCGTTGGCATTTGTAGTTCCTGCTATAGTATCACGGATCAACTTACAGTGAGTTCAATTGTGGCTGGTGTCCCTTTTGGCTCTCCCTTTACTGCTCAGCCGTTCCTTCTTGATGTTTCACTTGTCTTTCGAGTTCTATTCGATCTAACTTCAAACCCGTAGCTTATTCCCTGTAACGTAACCTATAATGATACATCAAACGACGATTACACGAATACTAATTACCAAGCGCTCAATGTAAGTTTGCCGTCCAGCCTGTGGGCCACTGCGAGCGCCTTCGACCTTGGGGTCGGGATTGTGCCAATGAATTCCAACAATGCTTGGCTCATCATGGTAAGAACACTATACGCAAGCTGCGCTCCGTCACTTTCACGCAAACTTAGTTTCCTGGCTATGTCTCGTGTTGCGTCTCTGTGAAACAGCCAGCCAACGATGATATGTGGCATGTGCATAATGTGATCAAACTGCTGACCTTTGTTGATTCTAGGGGCCAGACGTCAAACAATCCCAAACCCAACAAGGACCGAGCACGTTGATTGACATGATTTTCGCTTTCTCAGATACAAGCTCTTTAGAGAGCTCCTGGGCTGTCGAGTGCAACCTTTATCCCTGTGTGAAGACCTACAAAGCCGAAGTCAAGGACGGCATCCTACGCCCCCGACACGCCATGTCCCTCGGGACCATGCTCCTTGCATGAGCAACCGTCTCGTCTCTGGCTAGCTGGCTAGCCCTCATCCTCAACCCCCACCTCTCGCCCATCTTCCGTCGGTCTCGCGGTCATCCTTCGTCCTTGCCACCACACGCATCACACGCATCTCTATACCAATCCGCCCAGGTGCTCTGTCTTCTCACGCCGGATTTACAAAGTCCTATCCCACGCACCTGCACCTGCGCTGTATGATCATCCCCGCCGGGCTCACCCGCTTGTCGTTGTTGTTGGCGCCGAACTGCTGCTTCTCGTCGTCGTTGGCGTTCTAGCTTGGACTCGTCGCATTCGATCTCAAAATAGTGGTCCGTCGCGAAGTGGACGCCGCATGTACGGCAGTGTTTCCTGGTTGGGGCAGAGGTGCACATTTCCTTTTTATGACCTTCGGCGGAAAATGAAACGTACTGGATAGAGAGAGCGGGTGCCGTTCGGGATGATCAGGCTAAACAACAGTCGTGTGGGTGTCAGGGGATCGCGTGAGGTCTAATGGAGAGGGGGGTAGCAGTCGCAGTCTTGTTTGCTTGTGTCGAGGTTAGGATGGCTGCCGTTCGAATTTCCATACGATGTGTTCGTCGGTTCAAATTCGAAGACCCAGAGCCGGCCTCTTTAAGTTTGGATCGGTGAGTACGGAGGGGGTCTGCTCAATCGTCTCAGGCTCCTGGAGGCTTTAGACCTTTCGTGAGCAGTGGATGATCGAACAGATTCTGCTTCGTTCGCAAGGACAGAGGGGTGGTTTATATACCTACTTCGGGGACGGTGAAGTAGTGACGGTGGCGGATAACTCTTACATCTCACGCCGTGTGATTGAAGACAATTAATGGAACGAGCATGTGATGTTTGGTTCACCTGCAAGTGAGGAAGACTGGTGATCTCGCCCTCTGTAGGTGACATGTTCGCGAATCCCTGTCTGTGAGATTTCGTTTGCATTCGACGTGAAGCGTAGAACGACAGGCACTTTCCGACAGCTCGAAAGCTTGCTGAAGAAGAGAGGTCCGGGCGGCATCATGATTGCTCTGTATGCTAGAATTGCGCGGAGGACTGAAGAGCTGTATGAGAATAAGCCGACTGTCACTTGACTTACGGAAGACGGTAAAAGGAAAACAAAAGCCATCAGTCGCGGTACCGCAACAAGCAAATTGGCGACGTGGATCAAGGCTGGCAAAGAAGGGCTTAGAATGCAGAACGCCGTGGACTACAAAAGATAATTATCGTTATTCTCACACTGTATCTGGTGAGCTGTACACTCTGGGATCGTGCATGTCTGTAACATTATGCAACGGAAGTCCTTCTATCGACACCCTTTAGAAGTTCTTGCCGGTAAAAGGGCTCTGAACGGAGCCGAATCTGTAGAACAACTGTCAGCTGATGCTCGGATGAGACCTTCTCGTCGGTGCTTACCCTTGAGGGCATTGCCTGCCCAGCGCGACGTTCGCGCTTCGCATGTAACAGATCCTCGCTTCCGCACAGGCGCTGCTGGTGCAATTGGGGGTCTTGACGCTCATCTTTCCCTGCAAGGTGTTGTGGATGCTCACCAGAGTGTGATTTGCAGCCATGGCCTCGGTGACCTTCTGCCAGTATGTCGCGTTCAGAGGCGCATCTTCAGGCCATCCCACTGGGTACGTGTCCCTGGTGGAGTATTCAAAGTTCCAGACGGGGCCGGTTTGGGCAGGGTCGAGAGTCTGGAACGCGCTCACATTGGCATAGTATGTGTAGGCGTTGTAAATCGAGAAATCTCCCGTGTCAACTTCATACATGCGATAGCCGGAGTTCAGGTTGGTCAGAGGCGTCACACTCGGCCCGATCCAACCAACATTGACGGCGTGGGCATCATTTTGAGCCGTGCCATTGTTGCTGTAGTAGATGAAGAACTGGTCTTCATGGGTGTGGCCGAAGAACACACCGGCAATCACGTGTGGCGAATATCGGTCAACAATTTGGTAGAAGAGATCTGCAACAACAACGCTTTAGAAATCTCGCCATGGAAGCTCTCCTACCCACTTACCTGTGGGGTTGGGAAGAGGGTTGGAACCATCCCAGCCTGACAAGACATGCCCAAGAAGCCAGACACGTTCGCCTTTGCTCTCGGCCTCTTGGAGCTCTTGCGCAACGAATTTGAAAATCCCACTGTTGTCCGGATTTGTGGTATTGCTGCTCCAAAGTGAGAACTCTCTTCAGTATGATAGGAATCAAGCCCTACATATAATTAAACAAGTTGCTCCGGTACCAGAAATCCGTGTTAAAAGTAATGATCCTCAATTTTGGGTACTTTGGATGATTGATACTGTAAGCGCCATAATGCATGCGGGCCTCGTTTGCGGCCTGTGCGTTGATCCAGTTGTTCTGCTGCCACAGCGAGGCAACGTGATTCCAATTCCATGACCTGGCGCTAAGTCAGAGGAATCGAGAAATTGGGCGATCGACCTACTGTTGCTGACCCAGATTTCCTGGCAAGCTGTGCGGAGAGTCAATGCCATCTGTATCCCGCTCAGTCATGTCTCTCTTTGCAAGGGGTGTGCTTATTCTTACCGGGGTTGCTATCGTGATTCCCAAGCACGGCGAAGATCGGTCCGCTAGGGATGTAAGATTTGATCATGTGGTAAATCGAGAATTCGGCGTATTTGGTGTAGTTATTGGACAGTTCGTTCTGAGATTCATGAGAAACTAGATCGCCGGTGTAGATGCCCCACGCGAACTGGTCGTTCTCCGTTTGATTATTGAAAGTCGTGCCAGTCAGAGGTCCGATGGACTCCAGGGCAGACGTGAGAAGGAAGTAAGGACTGTCGCACCTGAACGACCCGTACAATGGCGAGGATATCTCCAGGTGACCGGAAGCACTCTTGGGGTTGTTGGAACGACAACACAGGCCGCTCGAGCAGTTTGCTTCTGAACCGACGTCATATCTTGGATCGATATGGAAATCGCTCATATGGACGACTTTGACTCTCTTGCCGTTGGGTTTCGGTACGGTGACATTGCTAGGCTTGGGGCCGAAATACCCCGTCGTATTCGAGGGAAGAGTGAACGGACGAGGACAGAAATTGCCGCTCAGGAAGTTGCAAAGATACTCGCCGTCGGATCCGGACATGTCCCCTAAGGCGAGAACTTGGGTATAGACAGCTCCAAAGTTTTCGGCATCGTAATTTTCATGACAGCTAGTGTTGGACATGAATCCGCTACTGATGCACAATTGGACCAGCAAATCTGGAACCATGGCAGGGACCCGCTGGGCCACATATTGGCCAACTTCCAATGCAGAGAGACATTTGGTGCAATTGGTTGCGTTTGTGGCGAGAATGGCATTGACTTGGCTAATGGCATTGGCCACAATAGCACTCCCGTTTGTGACCGAAAAGAGAGGAGCTGGATAGAAGACAGGGTCTTCACTTTCTTGTGGGATGTTCGTCTGGTTTGTCAACTCCAGGGGGAAAGCTGGCCTGTCAGCACCGAAGAGCATCATATGTTTTCGATCGGACTTACTATAGTTTAGTGCTGGGTCGAAAAGGACGGGTTGGGGCTGAAAAGTGCGTGTCAACAAACACCCCCTCGGATATCATCCAACATAAAAGACTTGCCTCTTGACTTGGTGAAGGGGGAATATAGTACGAGGGAAATAGACTGGTCGGAAAGCCGGCAGGGACAGTGTATGCCAGGAGTTGGGAACTGGAGCCCTGGGCATATGCACGCTGGCAGGAGAACAGAGGCAGCGCCAATGATAGCCACGAGCAACGACAATACATGATAGGCAGACTTGGAGGTATATATATATAGCGAATGTTGATCTTGACCTACCGTGGGATTCTAAGCAAGGAAGGAAGGGAAAGTTGCCCAAGGATACTCAACCTTTTTATCGCACAGCTGGGCGGGAGTGTGGTACCAGCTTGACCATCGGCAACAGTAGGTCGAGCCCGAAGCTCTCGCAAGTTGCTTGCATATTGACGGAGGACGTGGACCTGTAGACCAATGGCATTGACAGTTGAAGGCAGAGAGCAGGGAAGCAGGTTGCTGGCGCCTTGCCAAGGACTCACCAATTGTAGAGGCGCTGAGGCTGCACGTGTTAGCCTAGTATGTCGTCTAACGGCTGACTGCCGACCACCAGGCCTGGTGTTGCAGATACCTGCCGATCCCTTCTGCGATTCCAGCAGGTAGCGAGGTAGCCGTAGCAGCCGCCTCTAGATACCAAGCTTGTCCACCGTCTTAGCCACAATCTCTTCATACTGCTGCATTCCCCTCTCTAGCTTTCGAAGCCCAGCCTTCCGCACGTGGTATACCATCCCAGGCGTACCTGCATCGGAATCCGACTCTTCGCTGCTTTCATCCTCCTCCTCCGTCCTCACTGGCTTCTCTCGATCCACCACACATCGCATAAAATGACGATCGTGAGTGATGACAAGAAGAGCACCCGGCCATAGTTTGAGGGCTTCGATCAGCGCGTCAATGGTGTCCGCGTCCAGATGGGTCGTTACTTCATCCAGGACGAGCAGATGAGGAGAGTTGCAAAACACCTCCGCTAGAGCCACGCGCACCCGTTGTCCTCCAGAGAGAGCTGCAAGTGGAATGTCTGTCACAGTGTTCCCCCGGAGACCTAGTTTGGCCAATGTGCCCCGAGCTGCCTGTTCATCTCCGGTCCAATCCGGTAGTTTCATCAAGTGAGACAAAGCTGTCCTCTGCGGATCTTGCTTTCCGATTGTTTCCAGTTCTTCGACTGCGTGTTGAGAGTAGCAGGCGAATTTGGCCTTGGAATGCACGGTGATCGTGCCTTTGGTTGGTCGCGGATCTTGGCCAGTGGCTGCTCCCATCAAGAGCTTGACTAGAGTCGATTTTCCACTCCCATTCAGACCTGCCAGTCCCACTCGTTCACCCGGGTGCATGGCCAGATCAATGTCTTTCAAAGTCCAGACGCCCGACTTGGGATAGGTGTATGATACTCTGTCGAAGCTAAATAGAGGTCCGGTGTGGCGCAACGTTTCTGGCTGCTCCAGCAGCGTGATTGTGACAGGGGGATCGAACTCTGGGATCTCGATGCCATCGCGATTTGAATTGTGCCATCCCGCAAGGTCTCGGTTGAGCCTGAATCTGCCCCCACGTTGGCCAACCTCGAGCCCGGTCCGTTCCTCCAGCTTCTTTCTTCGCGACGCCGCTTGTTTCAGCTTCTTATCATCTCCCGTTCGTTTGGCAGCCTTGACATTCTTGGCTATGGTCTCTTTCATGTGTTCGGTCTGCCGTTCTTGTGCTTCAGCCATTTTGGTCATGCGTCGAATTTGTCGACGCTTCTCGGATTCATATTCTGTCAAATTGCCTTTGAAAACCTCCAATGTTTTGGCGGGAGCTAGCCGAACGAGTAGTACCTCGTCAGCAATTGCATCAGCAAAGTCGCGGTCGTGTGTAACAACGATCACCGTGGTTCCGGCCAATGACTTTGTGATGTATCTTTCGAGCCAAACAATGGCCGGCAGGTCAAGGAAATTCGTGGGCTCGTCAAGCATCAGTACATCTGTCTTCTGTATCAAGGCGCATGCAAGGTCACAGCGTGTTTGCCATCCCCCAGACAATGACTTGACAGGTTTCTCGATTTGTTCCTGGGAGAAGCGTAGACCGAGGAGGATGGTACGAGCTCGAGCCTCAGTGCTACCAGCATCCATGGCCTCCAATGCCAAGCGTGTCGCTTCCAGCATATCGAGACCGATTCTGGTAGCTTCTTGTTCGTCCTCGGCGCTCCCGGCTTCGTCATAGCTTGCTCAGCGTAAGTAAAAAGCCCTGTTGTCAACTAAGCGGAAGGCATTACCGTTTCTGCGCTTCCTCCACCTCCTTCTCCCTCTCTATGAGCATCTGGCGGGCCCTGAGTCCTCGAGCACCACTTCGTCGCGCTGCTATAAGCCGCGCTTCAGCCAACTCTTGTTTTGCCTGCTCAAGTTGAAGCGAGCGAACCGTTGTAACAATCTTATTGGAGTGGGCTCTATCCTCTAGTACGGCGGCAAGACCTAGATTATGTTAGAAAGACGACATCTCATCAGTGAGAGAGAACATGCGGTTGGCATCCTGGAGGGCACACTCTCTGCGTCGGTCACTTCTTGTGACATGTTCAAGAACTTTGAGGGTGTCGCTCTCGGTCTCATCGGATTCTGCCAACACATCGGAGCTGACCCGTGTCTGGCCAAGCAAGAGCAGACGCAAATTGCGAGGGACGCCAGGCACTCGTCGTTCCGCTAATGCTCGTAACAGTGAGCTTTTTCCAGTCCCATTCCGTCCAGCGAGAACGTAGTGCACGCCTTCCACAATTCGCAGATGAGCGTGGTCCAACAAGTCTCGCCCTCCGACGGAGAGCGTCAGATCTTTGACATCGATATCCTTTGATGTTGGTGCATCCACAGCATCTACATGGAAACGGCTTTGCTGGCTAGTGACGACGATAGTCCCATCCTGAAAGGAGGACGTAGATGGGCCTGTTTTTGACGGTTTGGGCATGGCGGTCCAACGACGGGAGATGGTGCTTTGGCGCGATTAGGAAAACCTGATGGAAAGCAGAAATGGCCTTTTCAGAGAGAAGCTGTTGAAAAGCGCGGTCCTACATCGTTATCCTAGAAACTGTTTTATGCGAGCGGGAAGGGGTCTAGCTACTTTGGCTGTCTCCGGAAAGAGAAAGTGTAATTGGGGCCCAGGGTGAAGCTGCAACTCCTTCGACACGGGATTTCGAGTTCTCATGAGTCACTGAGGGCTCGGATGGCTTGTCTGAACCAGCGTATTCGCGTGCTTGATGGTTGCGGCGGATCTGTGCCGTCCTCTGTGAGATCTCAGAAGCTGGAGTGCTTGCAGAGATGAGTCACATAAGCGTTAGCTATGCATTGTTCGGCCATGTGTGTGAGTCGAACAGAAGAGAGGGATGCTCAAGGAATGCTCCAAGATCTCGTCGTGGAAGTGAGAAAGACACGTGACTGTCATTTGAAAAGACGTTGCGCTCGTGACCCGCGGAATCCGCCAATCAGCACACGGCTCGACGGACAGTCCATAGCAGCCGAGCTGCGCAGACTCTTTTGATTCTTCCAGCTCCAATGCGGATGTGAACAACTTTGTTCTTGCAAGCCAGTTCCGGGAACTCTCCCACCTTCCATTCACCAAGTTCTTTGAACTACACACAGATCTGATAGCTGCCATCCACCCCTTTCCCCGCCATGGCGCAGTTTCGCGCAAAGAAGCTCGACCTGGGCTGCTTCATCAACTCCAAAATCATCCGCGACCACACAAAACGGAAGACGTTTGAGCAGTTTGAACCGCAGAGGTACATAAAACCACATGAAAAACAATCTCAATACACTAACACGGAATTGAATGATCTAGGCAAGCCCTCCGGTACCTCGTCCGCAACACCTCCCTCCCAGACTGGGTACGAACAAAGGCACAATTCGAGTTGAGAAGCATGCACTGCTACACGCGGCCCACACAGATAAAAAACAGGTGTATTATGGGCGGTGTAGCCAGGAGTGTTTTGAGGAAGTTCAGGATGGGCAGGGTAAGTTCTCGAAGGTTCTCGTGAAGCGAAGCGACGGGAACCCATCTTGCTTCTCTGCATACAAGATGAAAGCGTTGGTTGGGAGATGACATGGAAGTCTGTGCTAACTACGTTGTGCTCCTGCAGTTCCAATTCCGGATGAATGCGCTGGAAGGGAATATACCAGGTGTCAAGAAGGCCAGTTGGTGAGCTGGTTGTACAAATATTTTGAAAAGCGTTCTGGATCGCGTGGCATGAGACGGCGTTACAACTGCTGGAACAGAAGAAGTGTGAACACGAAAGATCATATATCAACTTGGCGGAAGATTGAGGTTCACATTTCCGAGAACAGAACCATTCGAGTCCCGATTCCGTTGAGACGAACCGTGCCTGTATTTCTGCACTCGACAAAACGCAACGCTTGCGAAGATGAGGAAGTCGCTTAATGATTTCTGAGTGCAAAAGGAGACGGCCTTCTAGCCTTGCCAATCCCACTTGTGTCAGCTCTAATGGTCATTCTCGGTCCTGTTGACCCGAAAAGCCCATCAGAAATTATAGTCTTCACATTATGAAACTAGCCTCATCATAGGAACCCGCCATCCTCGAATTGTTGCAAATACCAGTCCATTTGGAGCACAGAAAAAAAGTACGGGAAAGAAAAAGGGACGACTGGTTCGAGCAAAGACCCTAGTCTCCAAGGTGTGGCGCCACCACAACTTCGTCAATTGCCATCCCATGTCTAGTGGAGATGATGCTTCGGCTCTTCCTCGTCAATGGTCGGGTCTAACTTCAATCTTTCCGCAAATGCAGCAATCGCATCATCTCTCTGGCGTTGGGGAGATGCTTCAGTGTCGGAGGCAGCTATGATTGCAGCCTCAAAGACATCAAGATCTTCTGTATTGCGCTTGCTCCCATCTGGAGTGGTTGGCCGTGCTGGGTCACCAAGCACTTTGGATGTATCGTCATTCGCATCCTGCCCTAGGTCCCAACTCTTGTCCCATCCGGATTTTTTCGACTTCTGCGTTTTCACTTTTCTTCTGCTCCTTGTCGTGATTCAATCGTGCCTTTATGAGCATGGCTACCAGCGCTTCCAGCGTGTACCGTGCATCGTTTCCGCCATTGTGCGGGAAGTAGCATGGAAGGCCTAGATCTTTCATAATCGAAGCAAGGTTACGGTTCTGAGTCTCTTCCTGCAGGACCCGATATAATGGTGCTGTATCCAGTGCATCAATGATAGATGCCAGGGTTTTGGCACAGCCCTCTTCATTGGCCGTCATGTCCATGGCGGCAACGGGATATGTGCCACGGGAAGACGTGAAGATTTTGGACCCTAGTGTTCTCAGATGTTCGAGATCAGTCCCAACATCATGCCCGACCAAAATGATATTGCGCTGTTTAGGTCCACGCTGTAAAGTTTCTGGGCTTTGTTGGTTGGCTTTGGCGAGCGCGACGGCGCGTTCAATGGCTTCCTGATCCCCGATGCCATTCAGGACGCTGGTGACAGCTGCTTGGTTTGCAGCATCTTGTTCGGCTTTTGTCGGACTCACACTTACCCCTCCTGAGTTGGGATGAGTTCCTTTGCAGACCTTATCCTCTTCACCTGGGCTGGCTGGCTCAAAGCTCCACGGATCAACCAGGCTGGCGTGCATGTACTCCACAGAGAAGGGCCACTCAAAGCAGCTGTCCACTTCGGCCACGGCTTCTTTGAGGTCGACCCATTCAGACCTGCCAAATTGGAATGCGTTGGGATTTCCAATACAGAAATCTTTGTTAACTAGGTGCTCTCTGCCACTGATTCTGAAATGACGAGAGCGAATACGATCCATCCAATTTTTGCCATTTGGACCCGGAGGGATGTTGACAAGGTCAAGTGTGTCCAGTGTGCTGATTCCAATCTCTGTAATAATGTCGTGGTCTCGTTCATATGCCTCAACGTCAATCGCAATGATAACAGTATCTGCCTCAAAGGGAAATGGAGCTGGGGCGTTGAGGTCGAGTGGATCAAGAACAAAATAAGCGGCTTTCAACTGTTGCAGACGGAATTGCTCCTGTTCATCCCATGGCATTTCCGGGTCTGGGTGTTTCATTCGGCCAGTCTTACGACGCAAGCCCATGCACCGTTGAGCTCTTCGCAACTGCGCATACCAATCTCTTACTGCAAGTAGACGGTCATCATGTCTCTTCTTTTTGGCTCGGCCACCTGTGCTCTTCCCTCCCGCAATGGCAGCTCGACACTTGTCCTTGAAGTCCTCGAACTGCTGTCTGACTCCAGGTGAGGCATCGGGTGGACATTCACCGTGGTTGGACAGAGCATTAGGCACACTAATCTGCATTTCCTGTGCTTCCTCCTTTGAGCATGACTGGCCCAAAGATTGAGGTTTTGGGGTACCGTCCTCATAAAACGTGAGGGTAAACGGGAATTTCGGAACCGACACGGGGATTTTGAAGGCTTGCCCGATCTCTGTAATGAGCTGCTGGACCTGTGCATATGGTACGAGGATGATCGGTTTCGCGCCCAAGCTGAATGGAGGATGAAGGTAGTGGCTAGTTTAATCATTAGAAATGGTCCTGCCGAGCAACAGGCTTGAGATGCTGCGAGGAGATGGGCAGGAAGGGCGGGAAGTCAGACAACTTACAGGTCCCAGGTCCGATTGTAGAATTTGTTGGATGCAAAGAAATGGCGCGAGACACGATCATTGACATCGTTCATGTATTTGTATGGAAACTTTGCAGCCAGGCTGAACTGACAGAAATGACCTGCGACTGGATTTCCTACCCCGTCCGCCGTCGGTAACTCGTCATTGTCTGAGTCAGAATGCTCTGTCACATCTTTGGGGGGATTGCGTTTGGAGGATTTGCCTTTAGCCAGATACTGAATGGGATCGTCGGGCTCATTCGGATACCCAGATGAATTGAGCTCATGCATGACTCTCGGTTTTGGCTGTGATGTCTTCGTGGCGGGCTTCATGGATGGCTTCTGCTTGAAGGCGGAGACGTAATCGTCATCGTCGTCAGAGCTGGTGAGAATGCTAGCATCTCTTTGCGGATGTTGCTTTCGCAGTGATTTAATCTCTCTTGGATGTTGAGGGGCTTCGGGGATACTCCAGGGCCGTTCCTCTTTCGTCTCTTTCTGTTCAAGCTCTTTTTCCGAGAAATGAGGTTGCCCGGGAGTTGGAGCAGGCGGAAGTGCTTGGTTGGAGAACAATTGGTTCAATCGATCTTGAGGGGTGGTGCTGACCATTCTGCCTGATCCTCCTTTGAAATTCAAATGTAGAGAATTTTTGAACCACTGATAACGACTCCCAAAGAATTAAAGCGGGATGCTGGTAGTGTAGACGGGGAAAAGATCGATGGAGTTATATTAGCAAGAAGGATTGCTGCACGTTTCAATGACTCTGAAAGGGCCTTTTTCTGTAGCATGAAGTATTAGACACGAAAGAGGGCATCAAGCGGACAGAAAGATAGGCATGCTGTGACATCAAAGGACAGAGAGATTGAAGAGAGGGACTGAAAGACATTCAACTATGAAAACCTGACGCAAGGTTCTCTTGAGAGTTACGGAAGGGAAGTGTTAGAGTGTCACATCAACTTTTATTGCGCACCAGAGATCCGTTCTCTGCCTGCTCGTATAGAATCATTTAAACTGGATTGAACAAGTGACGAAGTGAGGCACAAGGCTGAGAGCAGTCCTGGTTGCATCCCAGATTCCCACGTGACTTTTACCTGACTGCCACGTGACTGTTTAAGATACTGCCGTGTCTCACCGCCTTCATCGCGATGGCGATTCAACTTAACATGCGCGTTCCAACTGCGGCAGGCGTTGGTGGGATGTGCGTAGTACAGTACGCGGACAAACAACAGACAAGCCGCGACTGAATCTCTCCCGTTCCCCCAAGGACACATGAACGTTCCTCGAGTATGAGTTGATATTGCGACTCCCATCCAAGTTCTCTGTCAAGAAACCAGTCGATCTACTCCGCTACATCCGTCGTTGTCCCTCCTGACCCAGATCATCTCTCCGATGCGCCGGCTACAATAACGACTCACCTGGCCTCGATGCCGACGATGGCGGAGATCGCAAGCAACCGCGCTGTCGATCCTGATGCGCAGGCTGCTGTGACTGACTTCCTCGACTATACTGAATATCTCCCTTCCGACCTCATTCGATCTTTAACACTCATCCGCGGCCTCGACGACGCCTATCTCAACAATTCTCTAGTCCTCCATGACCTTGCCAAACTCTATGGCTCACTCCCAAGTCTTGAAGCTGCCTCCCGTCCGAATGCTCAAGGGCTCCGTGCTCAGATATCCACAAGTTTGGATCGGGCTCTAAACGCTCGGGAATCCGCGTATGCAGAGGCCTGCCGACTGTTTGACGTTATAGACCGACATCAGAACAGGTTGAAAAGCATCATCGCCAAATTGAATGCCATACCAAAGCCTCCTTCGCGGGATCCAACTCCTCAGCCGACACCCTCAACGCAAGTCAAGCGCTCACGGAGCGGCCGAAAGATAGAGACTGGGACGTCGACGAGACTAACCCTACATCCCCCTCGCGGCAATACCGTTGCCTCTGCGATCCTCAAAAGGCCCCGTGGCCGCCGTGTCACTGTGCCGGGAGATGTCATGCCACCCTACGATCCCGATTCGCCCATCGCAAGTACAGAAGTGTCGGACTGGGAATCCCCACCCCCTTCACCTCCGCGCCCAGTTCTCAAGCTCAAACAACCGAAACCTCCGGCGCCGGCAAAGCACTCGAAACAAAGGCCCCCGCCAGTCGACGAAAAGACTCGCGAATCTCGGGAGGCAACTGAGCCATATCACAAACCGAGTCCTCCACCCGAGGACGCAGAGATCGGAAGCAAGTGGAGGCCATGGACGCACTTGACCGAGTATGAGATGTACAAGCTTCGGAAAAAGATGAAGAAAAATCATGCTTGGGAGCCTAGCGACGTCATGATCAGACGGGAGTTGGCCGACCGTGGCAGAGGATGGGACAACTACTACCGTGCGAAGGCAGAAGCTCAAGCGAACGGGACCCGATTCATCGACATCGATAGCATCGAAAAGTTGACCCCAAAAACTGAGAGACCTGAGAAGCCGGAAACTCTGGATCAAATTGAAAGCGTGGAGAAACCAGACACGTCAGAGGTGGTGGGAAAGGTTGAGGAGGCGGACATCCCAACCCAAGAGCCTGAGATCTTGGAGAAGTCGGAGGAATCTGCCACGGCCGCTGGTGGGACGCCCGCTCCAAAACCCAAACCATCAAAGAAAAATGAAAAGAAAGAGAAGAAGCCTGACCCCGCGCGATCTCAAGCAGCGCTTGCAGCGCAAGAAGCCGAACTTGCTGCCCGAAGACTGGGAGATATTGGCTCCAAGTTTCGCACTCTGTTCACGACCCCTTTCACCTCAGCCCTTGCGTCGCTCAGCCGAAGTGCCAGCACCCCGATCGCTAGCCGGCCAACCGCCACGGGGAAGAAAGGCATAGAAAAGACGTCCAAGAAGAGAAAGGCAGAAGACACACCGATATCATCAGTCTCGCCATCAGCAGAGCCAGAGACCGCAAGGAAGAAGCAAAAGATTGCGCCGAAGCCGTCGCCTCTTGCAGCCAGTCCCATCCCGGCCGCGACCCCTACATCGCCTGCCGCCACGAGCAGTGAACCCCCTCCGTCCACCAGCATGGGAACCATCAAGATCCCCCTGAAACTCAATGTGGCGGCAGCAGCTACGGCTACAGCTCCCGGAGTGGTTTCTGCCAGTGCAAGCAAGACTCCGACCCCCGCGCCAGCAACCCGTGCTCCTAGTGTCCAGCGTAATTCAGTCGCGCCGAAACCTGAGAGCACCCCGCCAGCGTCCACCACAACTTCCTCCCGGCCACCGTCACGGCGCTCTGCAGCTGCATCCGTCGAACCCCAATTCCCTACGACGCGATCTAGCCGACGTCCGTCTACGACGCCTTCTCTCGCTGGAGGACAGAAAACACCCGCCGAAAAAGAAACGCAAGGACCGAGTCCGAAAGCGGTCACTGCCATTCCCACAGCGGCAAGCCGCCGTAGTAAGCGAGACGCACCGGGGATGGTGACGCAGTCGAGTCAAGATGGAGGGGCCGCTGTGAGCGTCAGCAAGCGCAAGACCAAGCCCGCCAAGAAGACATCATCGACAGCCCAAGTACCCCAGATCAGGATCGACGTTGATGGAAGGCAAGAGATTGTGGATCCTGATGAGGAGCGATATTGTCTCTGTGGGGATGTTAGTTGGGGGGAAATGATTTGTTGTGAGTTGGACGAGAAGGTACGTTCATCCCCTTACACCAACACAATTTGCCGCCTTTCCTGGCTGTTTGTTATCTGCTTTGTACATTTATCGCTGACTTTAGCTGTCTATCTAGTGTGACTACGGCCAATGGTTCCACATGGAATGCGTATCTCTGGTAGAGTTGCCTCCCCGGACGGTGAAGTGGTATTGTCCTGGTGACAGGAAGAAACATCACAAAGGAGAAACTACCAACGGGCTTGTGGGAAGGGGGATTAAGTGAAAACTATTTGGAGGTCGACGGATGGAGTCTTGAGATGCATCGCTCCACGAGGGAGGCATCGTGTTACTTATGCGAGAATTGTCTGAAGCTATCACTGTCGGCATTGGCACTGGGATCGACTGGCTTCAAGACACCACCGACCGCTGTTCTAGCCATTGGTTGCGTACAATAGCCGGAGATGAAATCTGCATAACCGGTTCGTGTATAGTGGTGACAGATACACAACCAACATCGACGTCATCTCCAGCAATGTTGTGCAAATCATTCTGTGCCCGTAGCACGAGAGCTGTCTGTCTTCAGACAACATCTTGCCCTTCAGCTGAAACGAGCGCAATTGCCTTAATTGAGCAGTGTAGGGGGTGGAGAAGGAGTCTACGTGGTATTGAGGGAAGTTACATTGATCTCAGTCTGTTCACCGCTATCATTGTTGGATATCAAGTGCTCCCTGCCTCTGCTTTGCTCATGACTGAGGCCAGGGTCGCATCGCCCTCCCTGTCTCTGTCAGTGTCCTGCGTCTGTTAAAGTGGGAATTCTTCGACCTGTAGACCTTCCCCTGAGAAACTTGGGAATGAATAATAAGAGGAGATGAAAATGGAAACATTGATTGGCTGAGGGTTCGCGTCGAATGTAGATCTCCTTCGTGCACGGTTAGGGCGAACCTGCACAGTCCGGTGCTTGGTCGCATAGGTCCAAATCCTTGATGATATCGATGATAAATTTGACACGCGTGACATTACGGCCAGGTCTCTCTGTAGTATGAGCGGAGTTCATGTTGTGCTCATAGTAGAAGGGGTAGTGGGAGGAGGCCGTCTACATGTGGTCCGATAGAAAGACAAAGCGATAAGTCAGTGACGATCTGAGCCCTGGGAGAAATGCCCTTGACTTTTGGCCCCTCTTTACCATCGTTCTTTAAATTTTGAGACTGTCAAAATAGTTGTTTTGTTGTGATGTGGCGTTGATGGAAATATCTCTGATCCCATCTGAGCCACAACGCCAGTCTGCGCCGCTAGCGATCATCACTTAATTGCCAATGAATATCTATATCCCACCTCTCTGGCAAGAGACGTCGAGGCTTATAGATCATGTATTCGAAATTCCTCGGTGGGCAACATCTTCCGTCATAGAATTGGCTGGGATCACCTAAATAGAATGGAGACTTTGCAAGCGCCTGCTCAGCAACATATGCATCAGTGGCCATGATCGGGCCCCTTGGGGAACATATTGCTCGTGTAACGTTGACAGGGAGACATCAACGAGGTAAATAATGTAATTCTATACTCGATCTGGCGAGCTTTGTCTCGGGAAAGGGAAGAAAGAGCTGGACTGCAAAATCTGTTGGGTGCAGAAATAACTCCCCAACGAAAATCAGATGTGTCAAAGTCACCGCTGAGTACCTTGGCAGCAGATTTAACGCAGCCAGGCACTCACAAGTACTTTCGACATTCCAAATTACTTTGGGCACGTCGTAACCAATGAGTGGATGGTTACTCGACAAAGAGAGTCAAGCGAGATGCTGTAGTTTTCCGAAACTGGGACTTAGATGGATCAGGCGAAAATCGAAACCGAATATCGATGCTGTTTCACAGAGCCTCCACCGGGGATGCGTGTATGGCGACCCGGTTTCTTGGTCAGGACCCGATTCCATAAAGGCTCCCCGGAAGCATGGAAAGGCGTCCCATCCTGTCCCTCCTGTACCTACCTATGGAGAACGAAGGCGAGGGGGCTCGTGTCCAGGAGGTTGTCTACCTAGTCATCGTCGTCCAAATGATGTCTCGGCACGACAAGTTGATAAGTGCTGGATCCTTAAAGCGATCATCGAACGCCAATCGACAGGAAAGTGGGATCATTGCGGACCCGCGGCAAGTGGACGCTGCAGGTAGAAGTACAGGGCATTAGCGACTATGCCTGATTTGCATGGCTGACAAGATAATTTCCGAGACCAAGGTGGTGGAATTGGAGGGAGCCGAGCTAAGACGACACATGGGCGACAAGGCCAACCTAAAATGACTTCCCCGGGGCTTGCCAAGGGAGAAGTTCATTGACAATTCCTCTTTCCCGCTTTGGTAACCGCTGAGATGGACAAACTTCTTTTACTAGTCCTTTTCCGAGATGAATGTGCTCAGTTTTACTAGAGCCGGCATATTGATGCCGAGATCGTTATGTAACTCAGAATATGGTCTTGAATGTCGACTTTGATCTGGTGAAGATGGCCATTGAATACTGAAAAAGACATCATTGCGTCTGATCTCGGTGCCGGCAAGGACGCATCCAACTCTCTCCTGTGCTTGGAGGACAATTCTGCGCACGGAGTGGTTCTGTGTGTGGCGCAAATTAACTTCAACGGCGGCCCAACCACACCAGCCGGCTACTTCCCACCGCCACATGGTTGACTGGTTTAGTCGGACTAGGGAGGGCCATCTTGCTTCTCGCATCACATCAGGCCAATTAAGGCACAATGCAATCGCTGATAGCCATGCTAGGTATGATGGCTTGATATCGAGAAGGTGGAGGACAAACGGTAGGATGGGAAACGTGTCACAGAAGGTCTGGTCGGCAAAATGGTGCGACACATCCTCAGATTATCGAGCATTGGTCCTTCTGCATCGTTATTGTTATTGTTGCTTCGAGGTCTCGGTTCGAGATTGCTTGAGAAGCGTTTGAATGGAGATATACGAGTCCTTGGTTGACGGAGTTTAGATGGTACAAGTAGGTGTTTGAACTTCCACATCTAGCCAGCACCAGTAGGGGCCCGACATGTCCTCCCCTGCGTACCTCGCCCAACAACATCTGTTACTTGAGAGACCGCCATACAGGATTTCTCCATTTTCCAGCCTTTGAGTTTCAGAGATGGAGCGGTGAACTGGGTTTGTCATTGTGCGTCCGAGCCTAGCGGGCGGAAGCAGTCCCCCAAAATCTGGCGCGTTTCTAGCTGCGTTCTAGCTGCAGGAGAAAGCCTACAGGGTGTCAGTGAGGCTGAAGCAACGAGCACAACGCCTGCCGGTCCCGGAGCAAGGAAAAATGATTAACAGTAACCATACCCATTTGTGCGGACCCCCTCTAAAATTTGTGGGATGTTGGGATGGAGGTCGCTACGGCGGGCCGTAAGGTCCGAACGCATAGGTGAATCTGTGGGAGGGTCGCTATACGAAGGAGACCGAAGGCAAAACAAATGCTGACTCGATGCTAACCAGCCATTGACAATGTGCACCGAATACTCCGTACTCCGTATTCGTAGGTAGTAACTTTTCTTATGAGGTGCAACTGCGTAACGATGGTTCTGCGTGAGTGAGTGATCTGTGAGCGGTCCGACATCTGGAAGTTCTGCTCTTCCACCTGAGGCTGCAGACTGGACAGGTTGGCGTCAATATGTCAGATGCCAGTGACGTGTCAGAGGGGAGAAGAATGCACCATATCCAGTAGAAGGATTGAGAGAGGGACAATTTAGACAGATTGGGAGAAAATCTAGAGGGGAGGGTGGGTGTGGATGATGGATGGTGGATGCGGGTGTGGGTGAAGTGGAAGTGAAAGGAGGCATCAACTCTGATCGACGCTTCTGCAGGTACCGGGTGTACGCCGGCAGCCTGCGGCACGGCGCAGTGGGGCCTGGTGAGGAGTTGCCAAGGACCAATGCCTAAGTACTTACCGGGTAGGTGGGCAGGGATATTTCTCGAACTGAAGGTGCCGGGCGACTGGCACGCGCCAATGCAAGCCATGGGGGGCCATCGATACACTACAGACGCCCACGCTGCACCCGCTCAACGGGGGTGACTGAAGTGCCTGACGCCCCCCAAACCTCCTCCTGATCCCTGGTCCCCCGTCCCCTGGGGCGGATGCGATATCTTAGGTAGGTATCGATTAAACACGGCCCCCCTGTCCGGCTCGTCCAAAGCATAATTTTTTTTTTTCCTTTTTGCTTTTCCATTGCGTTCGTCGAGGCATTGCGCTCTTGTTTTGCTGAGGGTTGCCTTTCCGTCCTGTCATTACGTGTTCGAGCTGCAGGGCGATGTCATTCCCGCATTTTGCCTGGCTACAGTAAATGAATGAGTCAATCTATGTCACTGGCTCACATTTTCTTTTGGTATTGGCAAATCAGCCGCCAGAGCCCCGGTTGTGTGGGCTCATTGCGCACCTAGGCAGTCAATCATTCTGCAGTGTTTCTAGTCTCCTCGTTTAGTGTTTGGCACGGCTTCTATCAGGCTTGCTTCTGATCCACGCGCCGCGTCCTTGCTTTACTTAGGCCATTGTCTAGTAGCCTTTACCCGTCTCCTCGCCTCCTCGCGTCAAAGTCTGTTTCGTGTCGGCGGCTCAGCTTCCATAACAGGTTCATGTCACTGTCACTGATCTGTCACTCGAGTTCACGCCTTGGCCGCAACAGGAATGTACGAGTATTCGAATGAGTTTGCTTCCCAGGTGCTATTCTCTGAAATCTAGGCCACCCCTTGCTGGACAATCAACCCTGACTGCCGGTCCCTGTTCGCTGTTCCATCCTCCAATGCTCACTACGGTCCCACTTCGGAAGGCACCTCGATGCGTCATTAGCTGTTCCCGTCCACTGGAGACAAAAGAAAAAAGAATCAAGGGAAAACAAGACAATAATGGTATTGGGACTGTGCTTTGCTGCCCCATGCGCAGCACGCTACGATCGGGGATCAGGTCCCAGGCCAAGGCATCCCGGCCATCGTTGTTTGAGAATGGCGATTCATGGCTGCGGAAACGTCCAAGGACCCGAGCAATCGCAACAATAATCTATCCAGAATCCTGCCTTCTCCTCGAGTCGAGCTTTTAGTGTCATGCGGGCTTAACGGCGGATGCCGATTCCTCGAGTCCCGCCTAGTACCTTGGGTCCTGCTGAGATAAAGACAATCCCCCCCCCTACCGTAACGACCAGGCCCGCCCTTCTGACTCGGTCAGCCTGCGACTCGAGAATGGAAACACCCCTTAGTGCTGCTGGAAACCCTTGGGAATCACCTTTGGGCTCCCGCGGGAGACTAGGCCCCTAGGCTACTCGGCTTCGGGTTAGGCCCCACCACCCGCCCATCCCAGGCTGCAGCCCTTGAAGCAAGCTGAAGCCTTGTGGCTCCCCGGGCTCCAAGAAGAAAAGCCTCTTGAAAACAAACCCTGCGAATCCGAAGTGCTTAGTTCTCTGCTAACGTACCATCCGTTTAGTATCCATCCGACCTGATCGGGGTGGATAAGGGGGTAGTTGCAGCTTGTCTCCCTGTCCCGCCCTTTCTATTATAACCATCACATTTCCGTGTCCGGCCTACAAATGTTACACGTCCTTCGCTCCCTCATCAGTTCTCGACGTTCTTTGCTTGTTCATAGTCTTGCCTTGCTTTTGCTTGTCATTGACCTAAACCGTGGTCCGGCCCTGTACCGAATTACCTCCCTAGATTTGACGTTCGAGAAACATCCGCTCGACACATCACAACGGCCGCCCCCTAAATCAGACACCAACCTGGGCGTGAACCAAATCTATCTGCCCGCAATCAATCCCTATCCGAGACTCGACGAAGTGGAAACAGCTACCTGTCTGATCGGACCTGATTTCAGATCTGTCGCTCACTCTTAACAAGACATTTGCACTGGGCTGGAACTTCCTGACAGCGCGCACAAAAACTCAAATTCTCAGCGCGGCTCCCTTTCTCGCATTCCTCCCTTCGCTCGACCAAAAGGACCTCTGGCAGAAAAGATCGTTCGCACTGTCACCTTTCCCAGGCCAACGGTCAGCGAGCCAATTCTGTATCACATCCGTGTCTCTCAGACACCTCACTGGACAGGTGGGAAATAGTCTACGGACTTCGCATATTACTCTGTGAGTCAGCCAGAAATCCCCGTGCTGCCTGGCTATATAAGCCGGCATCCGGCGCCTGCCCCCTGAACTTTCTCAATCCTCCTGACCGCCAACTTGAGATCTAACGCCTCTGCAGCACACACAGACACAATGACTTCCACATCAACATCAACTTCTTCAGCTCCTTGCGACATGGGCCGTGGTGGATACGACACGACAGGGGTACCCAAACCTAAGCCTCCTCAAAAATAACGGCCCCAAGAATCTGCAATTCAATCACATCACCTCAACATCGCCCCAAGGGCCTTCTGGCGATATCCCGCCGAGATATTCACTTCTTTTGCCGGTTAACAAATACTCAGTCTTTGCGCGGAAGCCACCAAATGGATGGCTGGTCCTGCGTCGAGGCTCGCATCACAACACAAACCTCCTTTTCGGAACTCTGACCGTGCAACCTGTTTCTCGACACTTTTAATCCCCATGTGCTTTTCGACGAATCGACTACCCTGTACAAGTACTGTCTCAAAAGATTTTGAGCGTTCTCGGCGACACTTTTACCCTTGCATGCACGGCGCTAGGACCATTATTGTCTTTCGGGGACTCGACCAGCACGACCATTTCTTGTACAACCAACATTTGATGTATCAAAAAAGTGCTTTTCATCTCGGCGTTGCGATATAGACGGGGGTTGGGATACGGAGGCGGGACGGCTAAGGGTGAGGAACATTGCGGTATAGATTACATGACTCAGGTCACTATTTTTGGGAGTTTCGTTTTGGGTCTGAAGGGAGAAGGCACTATTCTGTTGCGTCGACGATTTCCAGTTGCAACAGGTGCCTGCCTGGATACCATGATGTGGTTAGCAAGATGAGACGGCCTGTTCAAATGATGCGATAGGCTCCTTTGGTGGGCATCGGAGTCATCAATCACTGGTCATAGTCGATGAATGGGCTCTTTCCTGACACTAAATGAAATAGAATAATGTTGTCATCCTCGGTCAAGCCGTCCTATCCCCAACGTCGTAGTCGTTTTTGGTTGCTGCCAGAGATAGGCTGACACCGAGACTCATTGATGGTTTGTTGCACGAGGCTTGGATCCTCAGGGGCTGCCCCAATGATGGTCTTGGGGAACTTAGTGCGCAGGCAGAAGGGAAAATCGATTTGAGGCAAAATATGCAATTACTACAGACGCGCCCGCAGTCTGCCGTAGATCTACGGTGCCACCTAGCTGCCGAAACCGCAGCGCGCATCTGGAACTCGGCATCATCTGCGTCGTCAGTCTACCGAGTACACTACGATCAATCCACCTCCAAACCATCATCCTCATTCCACACCCGCGCTCATCGCTGACGACCTTTGCACGCTCAATCACTCTTCTCACGGCGGATCTGTTACCTAGAAACGCACGTGGGCAGTCCAATATTTTCGACGTCCGCAACGAAATCCACTTTTCAACTCACCCATCTCAACAGCGAACCTGAGCTTCTTCCTACCAAAAGTCTCCTCACTGCACGTTCAGTCACCGGGAAAGAATCTCTGCGTTTCCTGGCCCAGTCTACCATTGATAGAGCATCAGAAGAAATAGCATGGCCGACTCATCTTCAGCTCCCAAGCCCTCCAGCAGCGTCAAGCTTGTCCTGTTGGGGGAGGCCGCCGTTGGAAAGGTGGGTTGCGCATGACCCCGTTACTGTTACTTCCCTAGCTTTCAATAGTTCCCTGTCACGTCACCTTGGAGACAGCTTTGGACACTACAGCTGTGGTTGTACGGTTGCAATCGCTATACCTTATCCTCACGTCAATTAAAAGAGATGGCTTAGAGCGAAGGGGAAGGGAAAGCCATTTGATTCGTTGGAGAGAGAAACAAACACGGTCATCGCTGACAGTCTGAACAGTCATCCCTAGTCCTGCGCTTTGTCAACAATGATTTCCAAGAGAACAAGGAACCCACCATTGGCGGTATGTCTACGTCCCGTCAACACTGTATTTTCCACTCAGTTTTGCCGCCCTTTTACTCTTTCGGAACCGCTTCTCTCTCTGCCTTCCAAAGACCAATGCGACCTCTTTTGAGACCACTAAACTAACATTTCCGTAGCTGCGTTCCTTACCCAAAAAATCTCCCTTCCCAATCGAATCATCAAGTTCGAGATATGGGACACCGCAGGCCAGGAACGCTTTGCCTCCCTCGCCCCCATGTACTACCGCAACGCCCAGGCTGCGCTCGTCGTGTATGACCTGACGAAACCGACCTCCCTCGTAAAGGCAAAGCACTGGGTTGCGGAATTGCAGAGACAAGCTTCACCGGGAATTGTTATCGCCCTAGTCGGGAACAAACTAGACTTGTGCGCCGAATCGTCCGGCGATAGCGCTGACGCTTCTCAGGAGTCGTCCTCCGCAGCAGGCGAGGACGAAAACGAGACTAGTAATGCCGAGCACGCTGAAGCCGAACACACAAAAACCGGCGATGCAAGGAAAATCTCTACCCGAGAAGCCAAATCATACGCTGAGGAGGAAAGCCTATTGTTTTTCGAGACGTCCGCAAAGACGGGCCACAACGTCGCGGAGGTCTTTTCGGCAATTGCAAACGCGATCCCCGAGACGTCGTTGAAGGGTGCTCGAGGAGCGAGTGGTGGTGGGACCCAGGCAGCATTGTCAGGCGCAGCTCAACGGGCGGAGGAAGCGAGGGTGAATCTGGCAGACAGGGGAAAGCAGCAGAAGGATAATTGTGCCTGTTAATTTGGCCGGTCCCGAGAGTCATCTTGTGTGCTGGTGAGAGGCACAACAACAAAACCGTGTGCTTGGGATTGAGGATGAGTTTGGCTAGTGACAGCCTCGTCGAGAAAAGGCGTGTGCCCGAGCTGAAATGGTGGTGTATAGGACAGCACAAGCGGATAGTAGATATGATCCAACATGTTGTGCTCGATTCAGAGTGAAGGAAAGTGGGCATGTGGATTGGATTGTCGATCGGAACGGCATCAGATTCTATGGCGTATGGTAGCGTACAGCGAAATATTGATCCGTTATTGCATTTATACAAGACTTTGAGCAAATCTCACAAAGAGACCTAATCGTCGGTAACACAATAATAATACAGATCACTCCCTCCTTTAACACACGCAGGAAACGCATACATTAAACGGGGCATAAATGCTAATTTTCCCTTCTTTTCCATGCTCACATGGTGGAGGGCCATCTTCGACGCATTGCATTGTGTCTCAACGAGATCTCTAGCTTCAACCCTCACACGCAGTCGGGTCGATCGCGGTAGACGGTAATATCAGGTCCAATCAACCATCCATCCCATTTTCGTATTTAGAAGTACTGCCGATGGGGCACAATTCGCTGATGGCACAGACGCCCATGGTTGGCCAGGGGTCAGAGAGCGCTCTCAAGGCTTGGTGCTAGATGCTTGATAGATGCATCGTGGCTCATCCTTGCAAGTTAAATTCTCTACGAGGTAGTCCCTATCTGAACGCTAAGAATGTTTCTCTGAGCAGCCGAGTTGAAACCGAGGACCTTAGAAGCCCCATACAGGAGTGTCAAGCTAGCGCGCCAAGGGCTAAGATAACCTGTCGCTTCAATGGTCCTTGGAAGGATTTGATACCTGTGTGCCTCGATACCATGAACCCTATTGTCCACCATCATTCTCAAGCTCCCTTTCTGAATGAGCGGAGTATTCGATCCCACATTGAGTCTAGGCTGCTCGTTGTGTCCAAGTCGCTACCTTGAAGGTACCGGGCGCCAGTGCAGGTGTGCTCTTGTCAGCGACGCCATGGTTGCCGACGTCTCTTTGGTCGGCTTGCCTTTCCGCCAGGCTTCCAGTGTACTTGTATAATGGGTGAGAAAAGGATCTGTAATCCGCTACAAACAGATCTGAAGAGCCATGTGATATGGTCTGCCTCCGCGCCGTGACGCGAAAGTGGGGACGCGATCTGTCTCGGCTGGTGTCACGATGACATCAGGGCCACCAGGGCTTCTCGTAAAGACACCAGACAGGATTCTGTTTTTGGATCAACTTGAGCTTGTTGCAGATTTCTTCCGAGTCTTTCGAGGATCTAGATCTCTCCTTCCATCAGCCTCCGTGCAGCTTGGTCTCGGATCAAGATGGCTGATCGAGTGAAGCAGGTTGCCGCCGAAGAGGCAGAGAACGTCAAAAGGATGACCCGAGAGGCTGTGAAATCGCGGGCCTACCTCTATCCCATCAAGGCAAGCTCTTCATCCAAAGAGGGCTCTCTGTTCTGACTGTTAACAGGGTATTTTCTACTTCATCTCGCATAAGGACCTATGGAAACCATTGACTTCCAAGATGGCTCCGACCATCACGCTGAGCGTTGGAGTGACCACCCTCATGTTCCTCGTGGCGTACGTGCCTCAAGCAGCCGTGATGGCTTTCACATCGGGGCCCGTTGCCGCGATCTCAGCAGCCTTACTTACTCTTAGCGAGAGTTCAACACTCATCAACCTCCTCTCGAGGACATTTTTGATTGAAGAGGCCCTTGTTGACACCTTTGATGGTACGCTTCTTTCTCAGGATTGCACCAACCTTGTTGAGGAAGGCAGGCAAATAAAAGCCGGAGGGGACAACATCGCTAGACTTGGAAAGCTGCTCAAGCGACCATTCGCCAAATTCACTCCCAATGCCATCATCCGGTATCTCATCTACCTACCACTCAACTTCATCCCTGTGGTGGGCACTGTCATTTTCATAGCCCTCCAGGGCAAACGAGCAGGTCCAGCCGCACATACGAGGTATTTTCAGCTCAAGGAATGGAACAAGAAACAGCGGGAGATGCACATTGCGGAACATCGCGGAGGATATACAGCGTTTGGAGTGGCAGCCTTCCTGCTCGAGATGATACCTTTTGCAAATCTAATTTTCGCGTTCACAAATACCGTGGGAGCAGCGCTTTGGGCTGCAGACATTGAAAAGAATGCCACAACCGCTCCAAAAGTTCGTGAGCTGGCTACCAAGGCTGAGTGATGACGACTTCTGGTTCCACAAGACGCAGACCGGTTGTCAAAAGGGCCACTGAGAAAGGCTACACGAATATTGGGGTATTCCAGGAACTAGTCCCGGAGTGGCCGGTGATGGGGGTAAGCAGATGACAACAAGGCTGGAACAGAAAGGAAATGTTCTGGAACATTTTCGTGGCGGTGGCGGCTTCAGTGACAGTTGAAACGGCATCTATTTCCATGCACTGGGAGTTGTGTGCAACCGTTGACAGTCTCTGTCCATCCTCGGCAGCAGCGGACTCAAGGCTATATGAAGCGAGGCATACAGCGATAAGCCTCCAGAGTGAATTCGTCAAGCCTTTTGAAATTGAGACATTCGCAAAATGAAATAAAGTGGAAGACGCTACATGGTGAGCGCAAAGACGAGCCAATATCCTGCTTCCTATATTCACGTACCTGGACTCACTTGGAATGCTTGCTTCTTCTGCTTGAGTGATCTCCTGTGGCCGTGCCTTGCAACATTCTACAAGTTGGAGTGCCAGACGAATTCTGCCGGACCTTGTTTACATTGTGTTGACATTCTGGAGACGTGCTCAGCATCTCTTCTCCTGCCTTACTCACCAAAACACAGCATTCATTACTGAACAACATCCTACTCACTTCATCCCCGCAAACCAACCTTTCAATCAACACTGTCGCTCTCTGTCGTCAACCCTGTACCGGCTGGCTCGGTCACCGCAAAACACTCCTTTCGCGAGAGGTGAGTGTCAGGAGCGCCATGACGACGGGAGCGTGGAACTGACTAAAAAGAAGCATCACGCACCATGCGGTCCTTCTTCTCAATGTCCAGCTTGATGTTGGTGATCTGTCTCGTTCTCTCCTTCCTTTATCCTACAGCAACTCATCCCCACGGGGTCAATAACTTCCACCTTCATCTCGCAGGCCGAGACAGTCCAACGCAGACAACCAAATATCCTATCTCAGCCAAAGCTAGAATCAGCTCCGCCTATGCAAATTCGGCCACTCTCTGTTCTGGCGCTCATTGCACTGTTGCCACGCCTCTCCCTGGGCGCCTACCATGCAACGCTGTAAACGGCACGACTTTTCTCGGCGCTACTCCCAATGGCACAAAGTACACGCTGATCTGCGATATTGATTTCCCTGCTCAGAATATCTACCCCTTCGTTCTAGCCGGCTCCTTCGACGCGTGTTTGGCACAGTGCGACGGCTACAATGCCAGGAATGTTACTACTAAAGCTCGCTGTGCTGGCTTTGTCTTTGCACCAGACCGCATCAACGACGCAGACGACTGCTACTTGAAGTCTTCCTTGGATAACCCGGCCTCGGCAACAATCCATCTTGTCGGTGCCACAATCATTCCTTCTGCCTCCAGTTGCGCTTCGTCGACTCCGTCTCTCTCATTTCCGACTCCTCGTTCTCATCTCGATAGCTCTACACCTTCACTTCGTGTGGGAGAGCTCAAAATGCTTGGGAGCTCCACAAACAAGCCTACAACACAGTACGTGAGCCATGTGCCTGCGAGCCCGCAGAAGCTTGCGAGCAACCTACTGGTCCCCGGCCTGAACACCGACCTCATCACACAATACCCAATAGCAGATGACACAGGGTCCTGGACCGAAAGCCAGTTGCATGGTGGTGCGAAATTGGCAAACATGAAGGTCGTACCACACATGTCTCGTGATGGTGGAAAAGGAGGCACAATCAATGGAACTCATCTTTTCATCTTCTGTGATACTGCCACCTTCCAGATCGATCAGACCGCTGGCACCAGCCAGATGGTTGGGTTTGCGTCCAGTTCGGTGGCCACAGATGACGGTATGAAGGCGCTTTACGGTGATCCACTTGACTTAGTGGACAATCTTGGTGAATGGCAAGATGATGTTGGCAGAATGCGAGGGTTTGCGCCGATGACGACTGGAGAAGAATCCTTCAACATTGATCTTTCGGGGAATGGCTATCGATATGCAGTATGGCCCGAGTCTTCCCTAATCCCGCTCAATGCAAGTCATGCTCTGCTTTACCCAGCACTGGTGTATGACGTCGTGGATATGAAAACACAAGCTGCAGTCTTCAACAACGTTGGCAACTCTATCCTTCTAGTCTCTGTGGATCCAACCTATGGTCCGTCCGCCGAACGTGTCGTTCGACAGCTCTACAATCAACAGCAGGTCGCATTTGGTACTCTGGGCGGCATCCGTTCTTGGGGTTCCTCTGGGACAGGAGCTAACGACGGCCACATCTACCTCTTTGGGAAGGGCAACTATGGTGTCCTCGTGGCGAGGACAATTCCAAGTGGCTACACCGATTTATCGACGTATGAATATTGGAACGGCAGTTCCTGGACCAAGGATATGTCCTCGTCGGACTCGAAGGCTGTCATGCTCGACACCTTGGTCCAGGATCTAGATGTTATCTATGTTCCTGCCATGCGAAGCTTCATCATGATCTACCTCAACACTCTGGCTGACAATACTTTCTATTACCGCCATCTGGACCTCGACTTGAATGCGGAGGATAAAGATTTCGACGTTGACAATATTGTGAAAGCCAAGTGGTCTGATGAGCAAGTCTTAGCTAAGATCAATGCTCCTGCCCAAGGTTATGTTTACGCTGGCGGCGTACACGCAGGCTACTTCGGCGCCGACGATGTCACCAACGGAGGATGGAAACTGCTGATTACTTGGACCGAACATACCGGAAAAGACGCAGCCTCTCCAGAGTCGGGCTACGCACACAAATCTGCATATGTTCAACTCGGCATTGACTGAACCCACCTGCACCATCTTGTCTTGCAGGGCGCGGCGGCATCTACGAGCATAAACTCGGAGTGAGTGGCTCGAGGATATGGACTGATACGCCTGGATATGATAAATGATGTGTACGACCGTTACGGCTGGCCATGTGTCATTATGCGTGCATTATTAGTCGACAGGGCGTGATCTTTCTTTGGAATACTCCATGTTCACATGCGCGGCTGGGATATCGAGCGACCTGACGAGGAAGGTTGATTATATGAGTTACAACTTGTTTTCCACCTGAGTTGCCCTGATGTATCGCAAATGCTAAGCGGGTACCAAATGTCACGAGTTAATAGATGCACGCGCCACTGGATTCAGAGAGATTCCATCTTAACAGTGATCAAAGTGAATGACCACGCAGAGAACACAGTTGCTAAAAGACTGTCATTGCACAATCGTAGGTATATTGTCAGCAGGGCAAAATGACCACCGAATGCCCGAAAACTAGTTCGGTCAGACAAATCTATTTCTGAGAGTAGTTCAGTGCGCTGCAATCTCAATTTCCCCGACGACAACCTGCACACTTAACTCCTTGCCAATTCCAACCACTTTGCCATTCCTCCGATCCCCTTTCTCTCTCGACAGCAGCGCTGTCCACTTAGACTCCCGTTTCCTGCTTATCCGGCCGATCCTACTCTATCATCCCTGCAGGGCTTTCCCCGCGCCCAGCCCACCAGCGCCACATTTGCGGGACAATCGTCTCCCCTTTTTGAGGGGTAAGCAGTGCGACAGACGCATCAGCACCAGTGCATCATCATGCGCGAGATGCTGGTGGAATCCCGCCGAAGCACGGCATATTGTCAGGCGAGACAAGGGGAGGGGTGAGAAGCAGTTTCTGAGAGAATACCCAATTTGTCTCTTCAATACCTGGTCTCTCTGCCTTTCTCTGTCAATCTCAGCGAAGCCTGCGATAGCAAACTCAAGAGACCACAACTCAGAGGCTGGTACGAAGGAACGTGTTTGATCACCGCATAGCCTTCTATACATACTCAGCAGTTGACTTGGGGGAAGCTCGCAAAAAGGCAAAGAGAATCCTGTCAGGACCCGTGTTGGGGTTCAGAGTCAAAAAATCTACAATGGCCGCCGTGGGAAACGGTCCATCCTCGACAGAGGCCGCACCCTCCGAGTCTCAAGATCCTGCTTCATACCCTCTGGCGGCGCAGATCCCGTTGAAGGAATTCCAATTGCCAGACTTCCCTCCCCATGCTTCTCACCTCAGGGAACTCACGTTCACCGCCGACATCAAGCTCGATGAGTACCAAAACATGGTTCAAACCCACAGCGATGCCATTGTCACTCAGCCGCCGTTACCGGATTTGCCGCAATCCATCACTCATCTTACCTTCGAGCTGTTCGGTCTAGGTTTCCCTGGCACCCCCCCCTTTCTCACCAGAATCGCCCGGTCACTGCCAAACATCAGAAGCGTCACATTTTTCAGTTGCTTGATTGATGGTCTCGACGAGGCATCCCGAAAAGATGCAGAGAAGTTCTTCGAGTGTCTGCCGAATCTCCAAGAACTGCATATCATCGATTCCTTCGCACGGCCCGGGTTCTTCAAGACTGTGGGCGGATTTCTGGAAGCACGTGCCAAACAGAACGCTGGGGAGGGATTGAAGCTCGTCAACGTCAGTTACACCTTTCGTGGACACGAGGACAGCGACTTCCTGGCCAGAGTTCAAGGCGAGGAACTGCCAAACCTGATTGTCAAGGGTTTGGTGGGTGCTAGTTTTGACTTCGTCCCGGAGCGACAGGACGATCTCGTTGAAGCCCCTGAAGGGCAAGACGGGAAGAAAAAGGAGATGGAGAAAATCAACGAGGGGATTCTCCCGTTTGCGAGCGATGGACGAGCGCCTACCGCGGTAAGGAAGAGGTTCGAAAGCATGAGTTACGGAGGACAATTGAAGAGCTTGAAGATCCTGAATTTGGGCATGTGGTCTCTGCGTCCCACGGAGGTGGGTGAGGTGGTCTATGCATGTGCCGGAGGTGAACAGGCCGGTTTGGTTGACATCACCGTCAGCGTTCTTCTCGAAGACGATTGGGCCAATAAGTTGGCAGAAGGCCTGCAGCAGCAAGGAGCGGCTTCAGTCTTGGAAGGGATCGAAGTTATTGGAGTTCCCGACAAGGCCAAGGAGGAGGGCGAGGACTGGAAATCCGGCTTGACTGTGGCGAAGCTGACAGACGTCGAGAAGATTGCTGCTGGTTGTCCCAAGCTGGGGAAATTTGGGATGAGCATTCTCAAGGTCAAGACTGCGCCAAACGTGGTGTTCTTGAAGGAGGGAGGTTCTTGGGTTGAACGGTGATTGCTCCAACGTATGTGGCAATCAGTACGGCCCCGCGATAGAAAGCGTTGGCCGGAGCAAAAGAGGGATCGGGAGGAAGGAAAAGCATGTTCTCCGATATGATGAACTCGATAGCTGTAGGCAACACATGGATCCGGCTGTCCCGCAAATTATAGACATTGAACTGTGACTACCCTGCCGAAAGAGGGAGTGAGCACATGTATTTGATAGTGCCACTGGCATCGCTGCTCACACACTCAGCACAGCCAGCAATTCGGCCGAGACTCGCCCGCCAATTGCAAATCAACATCTCCATCTCCTTGACCTCTCTCTCCAGTCACCATTCTAATCGTCGCCCGCTACACTCTGTCTCTCATCCATCTTCAGGGGCAGTGTCTTCATCACGGTGTGCTGTCCGAAAATCTCTGCCTACATCATTCTGGAGATGACAGTTCTCGTCCATGGAGGGCACCACTGCAACCTGACTCGACCGTCGCCGACCATGCAAGTTGACGAGACCTCGGTGACACGATGCTTACACATTGCTCGCTCATTGATTTGTGCTGTAGATGAAACCCCAACTGGACCTTTTGGACTTCGATGAGGCGCACTGCCTAGAAACCGCCCTAACCGAGACACTATTCATTAGACAAATCTACTCCCCCGATCAGACCATCAGACCAAGGGGAATGGCATCAACAAGGTCCATCTCAGGCTTTCTTGCCGATCCTGGGCGAAACCGGGGTCAATATCCAGAAGAAATGGAGTTGCTCGCCCTTGGTTTTTTTTTTTTTGGTTGTCCGAACTTGGATTGTCATGCAAAAGGCAGCAGAACAGAGCAAAGAAGAAAGTTAAAGACATCTTCCAATTTGATTTTAAACATCCGAGCAACAACTCTACCTGCGTTAACACGACATGTCCTGATGATTCGACAAGAAGAGCAATTACAGAGGCCATTGCCAACGCAAGCCTGATCCTGGCACGTCAAGTCTCACAGCGGCATTATACGTCAAGACAGCCGGGTTGAAGAATCGTCGTCTTCAGCATTGAGCTATGGTGACATCACTGCAAATCCATGGCATAGGATCATGCACTCAAGCTACGCCGTAACACCAACAATTCGCGACATCCTTCCGACTACTTTCGCTGACACCGAAAAGAAGGCCCTGTGGAACTGCTTCAATTTCGTGCCCACGGCTGTGTATGGGACGACCGGTTCGAGCCCTTTCTGCACCTCCCGAGATATTTGCTTCCCTTCCTATCAGCACTACCCTCAAACGTTCACATAGATGTCAATTACAGCAGAACGACACGCCGCCATCCTAGGGCGTCTCTCCGAACAACCATCTTCGTTTCGCCGTAAAGCAGAGGTGTATAAATTCATTGGATGACTCCTCCAGGACGATGCGACGAGGTACGCCGGCGAAGCATTAGTCTTGATCATTGAAGCCATTGTGATCGAATCAAGGTTTCTCAATATCGAGGAGATGAAGATACACATGAGAGGTCTAGATGCTCTGATCAAGCAACGCGGTGGCTTGCCTTCCCTTTTCCAGTCTCCTGCCGTCATGTACCATCTTCGGCTCTTTCTGGACGAGCTCGGCGTTAGGGAAGGAAGAGCAGTTGCATTTGATGGAGATAACGAAGTAGTGGGCCGAGATGAGGGATAAGTGGAGTGACGAGGTGGCCATTGTCTTGAAGGCTCTGCGTAAGGGATGTTGGCTGGTCGAGAACGCCATTCTCCTGCCTGTACGACACCAGGCACGCTAACAATCAAGAGACTGGAAGATGGAGGAAATCTTGGGCTTAGCAATTTTGTCTCTTGTCTACTCACGTACAGCCTGCCTGGAGTCATGCACCATCACGTTATCGATCTCAACATGGGTTTCCCAGCCCACACGGTGGATGTACTCTCTGACGAACAATTCAGCTCATTGCGTCCTCCTACTTGGCCCAACGGGGACTCCAGCCTATATGTCGAGCCGAGTTGTGATGCTTGTTGTACTGTTCAGAGCACGTGGACTGTCAGCATCGGTGCCCGAGGATGATTGAAGCACCAACTTGCCGGTTGACTTTCATTGAGTTGAGCCCATCGATACTCTGACGTCGAAAGAAAACAGAAGCCAATGGGCTCATTTGGTATGGAGAGGTGGGTTGAAGCCACTTCATCTCCGATCCCGAGTGCTCGAAGATCCACCTGGCTTGCCAACATAATAGTGGGATCGTGTCGGCGTATATGAAGAGGAACCCGATCTGGTTCCAGAAAGGGAGGACGATATGCCCATCTCTGGCTTCGGGTCGTTCAAGGATGTGGGATTCCTATCGACGGACGACGTGCTGGCATATTCCGAGCCACAATTGCATGAGTAATAGTCGGACTGATTTCCGCAATACGCACACTTAGGCATCTTGGACTGTGGTTGCTTTGGTGTGTTGTTCTGGTGTCTGGCTGAAGATCGGTTGCCCGGAGGTTGAGTATATTTATTCTCGGTCGGTTGTCTCTTCGCAGTGGTTGTCTTGGTTTTGTTCGAGGTGCTTGAGTATGTGGAGAAGGGAGAGAGCTGAAAAGCGGCAGATGCAGACCTGCCTTTATACGTGTTGTCCATCATATCACTGGGTATTCGTTTGTGCCTTTGGTCACTGAGCGTTTGGTCTGTTGATTGTTGCGACGGATTGAAACGAACGAGGCGAAGGTGATGAAGTCTGCACTCAGGCCGTGACACGCCAGAGAAGATCTCAGGTCATCCAGTGCCAGTGGCGACAGAGATTCGGGACATGTGTTGGGGAAATTCCTCAAGTGAAGTTTGTTTGCGCAGGTGAACGTTGATCCAGTCCGTCTCACACTTTTGAGAAGACACGGAGAAGTTATAACAGGGGAGAGACTAGCAACTCGAGGATTCGTACCTGCGAGAGCGGTGAATGTCAAACATCATGAAGCAAAGGGCGTTCGGGACACCACTTTGCATGGAAGCAGCTGCAAAGGCGAAGATGCGGTTGAGGGTACACAGCCTCGACAACGGTTCGGTGAGAAGGTGTCACTGTCACGACGATTTCCTCCTTTCGGTACCGCGTGCTGCTGTTGTGGTCGGTTTCAGCGGCCATTTGTTCCCGTCACCCGCTTGTTCTGGAAAATTCGGTGAGCTGCTGCTGTGTCACCTCATCCCGATAATGAACGTCGATGGCAATGCTCGGGTGTCAATCCACTCTCGTCCTTGATGGAGCACTCTCACTTACTGCAGCCGCGTCGGTGAGTATCCATGGTCTACAATCTGCCAACATCTCGACCCTGTCGTCTCTCAGGCTCGTCATGTTGTGGCGAACAAGCCTTGGACGCGAACGCCACTCGATTGCAAGCCCCTTCATCAACAATTGATCCCAAGTCCTCGGTATTCCTGTGTGACATTCCTTTGATAATCGAGAATGTTGCCAGCTGAGATCCCACCAGGAAGCTACAACCGGTGGTAAGGTTGAGATTTCGAAGCATGTCAGAGCTGTCGAAGATCCCGCAATGTGGCAACCAGCAGATCGTTCATTCCCAGGAGCCTTCACTGAGAAGCCAAGTTGTCCCTCCTCCGCTGGATGAGCTAATAGCCGGTGGACAATGTCAAAGACTTCGCAAATAAGCACTGTCTTGGGCTCGTTAATCAGCAGAGATATCCCACTCAGCAGTGCTTTTGGGATGGGGATCTTGCCACTAAACGTTCTTCAACAGTTCAGTCGATTCTCGAGCATATTGATGGCAGCCAGGACCGCCATTGAGCGAGGCGGAGCTTGAATGCGTCGCGAATTATAAAGCCGTGTAGACAGTGGGTGGGCAGGTGTTCCAAGACCTGTGGCCTGTGCCTGATGTTGCAAATAGGGAATTTTCTATTTCGTATACTGGCAACATATCTCAAAAAGTAAGTGGATGATTATACTGACCAGGGGGGTTGAAATCGGAAGATCAGATACGTCATTCGATTCCAAGGGCAAATTTCAATTGACGTCTATGACTATCCATCGTCAGAGAGTGGTACAAGCCAGCCAGGTTAATACCTACGCTCTATTCTCTCGCATCCGCTTTCTCCATCGCTGCAGGGATGGGCGACACTCAGACAGCCATCTGGAACTTGAACAAGTCTCTGCTGACTATGTCATCCTTCTTGGCCTCGAGTTCGGTGACGTCCCAGTTGCTGTTGAGGTATCTGCCCGATAACCAATCCCTCTTGGAGGCCGTCAGCCATGTCAAGAAACCACCACACAGTCCGATGTCGTCGTTCAAGACTGTCATACAGTCGGGAGTCAGCATTCTTGTGCGAGCCCTGAAATCGGTGTTTGGGGGACGTTTGTACTTACTTGGCTTCCATTTGGCGCCATCAGAAACTGTGAGATGCGATTCCGTCTGTGGTGTCAGGACCACGCCAGGATGCACGGCATAAAAAACCAGACCAGACTTGGCGTAGTCGTTGTGCAAGGTTTCGACGAACCGATTCTGCGCCAGCTTGGCAATGTTGTACGCCATTGGGGTGAAGCCGCTGTTGGGGAAGTGGGAAGTGACCGAGCTGATGGCAATAAACGCTTGAGCCCCGTTGGGTGAAGACTTGAGGAGTGGAATGAAGTATTTGGCCAGATAATAGGAGCCCACGAAGTTGATGTCGACGACGCTTGGGAGGTCCAGGTCCTCTTCAACGTTGTACGGAAGACGAGTCGAGCCATCTTCGGCCGTGTAATACTTGCCCATCACACCGGCATTGGCAATCACCACATCGGCTCTCCCAAATCGAGCCTTGGTTTCCGCCGCCAATTTGGCAACGTCGGCTTCTTTGGCCATATCCGCTACAAGCGCGAGCACGTTGATGGAAGAGTTGACGGCTTTCAATTGACGGCTGAGCTCGTCGAGGTCGGACTGGGTGCGGGAGGAAACCACCAAGCCGCTGGCACCGGCTTTGGCATAGGCAAGAGCGGTGTGGAAGCCCAATCCCTTGCCAGCGCCGGTCACGACCACAACGAAAGGCTTCGTGGGGACAGGGTTGTTCGAAGGCAAGGTAGGGCCCTCCGGCTTGTTGTGCAGAGAGGGCGTGACTCGGAAGCCGAAGGAAGGAGGGAAGTGCGCCATTGCTGCGGAGGTTCTGGAGAAGTGAGTTCAGAATTCGATGTCTGGAAGACACTGGTTTGTTATCGGTACCTCCTTGGTGATGGAAACTTGCGATTGAAGATGGTCGTGCCGTGCAGGTGAGTGACTGCTGTTCACTGTTTGAGTTGACTGACCTTCTTCGACGTGGATGCCATCCGGTTCCCTTTATACTTCTCCGCGCCCATTGCCTCAGACTCCTCTCCCCTGGCATATAGCCGACAGCTGCGAAGCTATCAGTGCGACATTTTTGTCGAGCTGACGAAGCGGAAACAGATCTCAACAGCATTGCCGCGGATTCGATTTGGCCCAGAGCAGAAGGAGAAGGGACGATCTACTTCGACAATGACCAAGCAGCAAGCAGGAGTTCCTCGAAGGATTGATACCGCCGTCATTGCGGCAGGGGGAGTCTCCTAGAAGAAGGCTGCAGCGGGTCGGCGCAATGCAGGTACCTAATTACATACGGTATCGGCTACCGAAGCAGACTACCGTGTGCCTGATTGTGTGCCTTGGAAGCTGGCTGTTTACGAAAGCACCAGCAAGTGTACAGGAGGGCGACGAGTATATGATTACCTTCAGTCATCACGACAAAACGGTTTAATGATGACGACGCCAAGATGAAGCGGGGGCGAGGTCGGAGGCAAACGTGTTCTGATGCGCTCTCGAATCCCACGGCACCAGAAGCCAATTGCAAAAGGGTTTAACGCAAGGATAACCGCCGAACTGGGACCAAACCAGGGGCGAGTTCGCATTGAGAGGGAACTGAACAGCGGGATCTCGGTACGGTGTTCAGGTACACGAACACATAAGTGTGCCCCTGTGTCCCCTTTTTCTGGAGAAGTTGGACATTATTTTGATTGGAACAGGGCTCCATGACATAATAGCTACATGGATCCTCCCTCCGTAAGGAAGGGGGAGCAGGGGAGCAAGCTAGACCATGAATTACGCAAATGCCACAGTACTTGCAAAAAATGTCATCCTATCCCTACGCCTCTGGCACCTCCTTGCGTCTCCCTCGAAAATACTGGTCCGTAACCGACGCAAGGCTGAAGCTTTCTTTCTTTCTTTCTTTCTTTCTCTCTCTCTCTTTCTTTTTCCGCTGCTGGCCAGCCGCTGAGAGGGTGTCAATCGCTGTCAGGGTACATATGTCATGATCGTCCTGTAATTGCGTCGATCAAGCCAAAATTCAAGTCCAACTCTATTCTGGGTTGGACAGGCAGCTTACTTGCTTTCTCGCTCGACCACCGTGGCCCTTGCCCTGGCCCTGACTGATGGGCTAACCTGCTGCACCTGTTGTCATAGCTTACATACACACGCGCGCATACATCCGCATCCATAGTGGAATTGGTGAGTGAGTGAGGGTCCGCTCGCTCGCTCGCGCACTCTCTGCCTCAAGCGGAAGTGTCTCTTCAGCGGCTTGCAGTCGCATGCATGCCAGAGAGCAGCCGAGGACCGGTACGGGAGTATGAATATTAATATTAGGATTAGCGAGCAGAGAAGGTTCCTGAAGAGAGCCACAAACAAAAGGTGTGCTGGGTCTGCCAGGGCCCGGGCATGGGCTGCTAGACGTTATGGGCGACAGTGCTGTGAAAGCGGTGTTCTTGCGAGCGAATAAATCATCATGGAAGGGACCGCGGTTACGTGCCAAAGGCCTGTTGTGTTGGGCTGTATCTGTGTACCTGGGCATGGGCTGGGGGGTTCGGCCTCGGGGTCTGGTCTGGCACGATCAGTAATCGTTAGTCGTGTCGAGGGACCCACACGCTTGGTCTCCCCCGGAAGTATAAGTGCATACTACTAGATATACACAGGTACAGATGCAGTTATGTAACGATCTTGCATGCTGAGGTCGTGCTGGGGTGTGTCATGTATGTGGATTATGAGATGGTGGTCTTTTGATGAACCTCAGACAGGACGGAGAACAGGGAAATCGTGGAAAGGGTATATAAAAAAAAAAAAAGAAGAACCGAAGAGAAGAGAAGAGAAGAAATGACAAAGAAAACCGAGAGTCGAGACATTGAAGCTTGGGCCGTCGGCCTGAGGCCGGAGTGCACACGCTACACTCACACAACGATAGGACACTTGACGGCGCCCTCCAACAGCGCAATCAGCTCTCTCACATCGCCCAGCATGTCCAGGCTCAACACACACTTCTCGATCTGATCCCGCCTCTCCTCGTCAAGCACGTCCGCACGAGCATCCGCCACTTATTCACAATGTCCTCGTCGGTCGCGGGGGGAATAATGCCCTTGGGACCCTCGACCTGGGCCACGACCGTTTCTCCGCCGACAAACCGCACCGCGACGACCGTCCGCCACCCCTTGCGCCGGTCGCTGTCGAGCTCTGGGTTGTGCGTCGGGGTTATTTTGGCCATCAGCTCGCGTAGGAGCGTGCGGTTCAGCCTGTCCGCGCCGAACTGCGCCATGAGGACTTCGTGGTCGACCAACTGCGCGGCCGCCGCGTATTGGATCGACATTTGGGCCGCGGTCGAGGAGAGCGGTTTATTCGCCGGCGCGGTCCAGCCGCCGTGCTCGAATGCCGGCTTAGAATGCTGAGTCGTAATCGCCTCAATGTTCCTTAGATTCTCGGCCGCGAAGAGCTGCGCGTGTTCTCGCTGTAGCTTCTCGATACAGTCGATCGTCCCGTGTAGGGCGGCCATGGCGGCGTGCAGCTTGACTCGTATACCGTGTAGTTCCCACTTCTCCCCAAGCCCACTAATGAGCTCGTCAGGTAGGGACTTTGGGCTAAAGTTGGTCACTCCCTCGGAAAACATGGAGAGAAATCCGCCGTAGGGTGTCTCGTAGACTTCCTGGATTCCCGTATACCCTTCTTTCGCGAGCAAGGCTGCGAAGAGACCGTTGCGCGACGCGAAGCCGTGTTGCATACGTTTTGCCATGGAACCGAATTGCGCCGACATTAATCCACCGGCTTGTGTACAGGCTATCCCCAGTGCGGACTCAATGTAACCTGGCGACAAGTCCAACAGCGAGGCTACTGCAGCGGCAGAGGCTGAGGGCCCTTGGACGGCTCCGGAATGCCAGCCACGCGAGAGGAGATCTGCGCCATGGAGGGCCAGCCCGACACGGGGACCAACTTCACAGCCAACGATGAAAGCTTTGAGGTAGTCTTGACCAGAGAATACGCGCGAGGTCTCTGCCTCGGCGGCGGCGAAAAGAGCAGGGAGAAGAATGGAGCACGAATGCAGAGGTGCGGTGGAGTGGTAGTCGTCGAGCTCAAAGCCTTGGATGAAGGTGCTGTTCAATATACTCGCTGCGAGCGGGGACAGCTTCTTGCTCCCGCCCCACCCGATGATCGTGCATTGACCCTCTGGTTCCATGTCAAAGATTGCTCGCGCCGCAACCTCGGACCATGGTAAGTGGGCAGCGACCAGACCGCACGCAATGCCATCGAGGATGAGGTACTTTGCCCGCCTTACCACGTCGTCGGGGATGGAGCTGATTGTCGTGTCGTGGATCCAGGTGCTGAGTTTGCCCGTAATACTAGACGGGTTACTGACGCCGGTGAGGTCGTGAGGTGTTTGCTTTTCTTCTGTTGTCGCCGTTGCTGGAGACATTCTGTTTCAAGTATTCTTTTCTGGTGCAGTAAAAATGATAGCCGGGTTGTTTTCTGTTGAATTTCACAGCAGAAGTGGTGTTACGCCTTTGCTGGACTCGTCTTCAAGATCCACAGCGAAAACACCAAGGCGTTATATATCACATTCAATACCGTTTCTCCGGCAGCGAGTACTTTGCTCAATATTTGCTCACCTTGGTCCCGGGTCTGGGAGTACAGGAAGAACGGACATTGTGTTGCGATGCCACATCCACGCGATTTCTAGCTATTCAGACCTGAAAGCGGGCCGTGACCGGTAAGGCGATCGGGAGAATATTGGACTAGGCGGTTAGAGCAGCTGGAAATCTTGATGTCGGAAGAAACAAGAGCCAATGATCCCACATGTTCTGCATCCGAGACAGGACCTGGAGGGCGTGGAGGGAGTTGAACGAGAGAAAACGCGATACAACCCCGCGGCCTTCAGGCTCTGAAATGGCGGGATAAAGATACACCGAGGCCGATTTTGGACCCGAACTCCGGTCCGATATTGTGCGCTTCCCAGGATACCGAATGACCTCCTACCGCCAGAACGAGGGCTCCTTGGGCAAGAAGGCATTCACTTTCAGTCTCCTGCTCTCCGCTTACGGCTGGTTCTGCCTGCAAGTTGATGATTCGCCTTGCTCACCCAAAATAATAGACACCGGCCGCTTATCCAGTCGCCGCTTTCTCCAATCCATCCCTTTGTTCTTGATACACCACAATGCCACTCCGCCAAAACTACCGCTCCATAAACCCAACACGGTGAAATACCAGCCTCTACCTGCGGCTTCGAGCAGAGGCTGCAAGACTGCCACACCTGTGGCTGCCATGGCGCATCTCGTGATGCTTGTAGCTGCCGCCGCCGTGCTCGGACTCTGTGAAAACACATCGACCAGCAACGTATTGTAGACCGTGTAGAAACATGTGCCCCAGAAACCTTGCATGAATTGCAATATCAGCAAGACTGATACGTGGACACGATAATGTACAGCCCAGCCGTATCCAATGAGGCCGAACGTGGAAACGAGCAACAGCCAGCCGCTGCCGCGGGCTCGAGCTCGTTCGATTGGAAACTCTCTCAAGTCGTCGCCTGAAAAACTGTTGATGTTCCAGTTGATCTTTTTTGCCGTCGCTTTATAGTTGAAATCCATGACTCTGCCAATGCAGTAACCACCAACGATGATCCCAACGCCACGCGGTAGGTACGTCAGCCCAATCTGCAATTCGTTGAAGTGATAGATCTGTTTGTATATGTCCGGTATAGCGGCGACCAGCGAGTAATCCACCGTGTAGAATGATCCGTGCATCCAGAGCACGAAGAAGGTATCGAGATGGAAAATAATCCGCAGGCAAGTGAGCGGGTTGCCGACCTGGAGCCGTGAGAGTAATTTTGGATTGGCCGGCGTATTCTCTTTCTCTAACCTTCCTCCCGAAAGCTCATGGTCGGTCCCTGGTGCATGTCTCGCATGTTTCACCGGTAGATCGAATGAGGTGAGCCGCATGATGACACGGAGCCAGGTCCATTCCCACATTGGCAGACTTGCTTCCTTTTCGCCATTGCCTACCAGTGATCGAGCCGTCTCCGGCAAGAAGCTGCCAACCAGCAATAACAACACACCTCCAACAATAACCAGGGTCCAAAATATCCATTCGAAACTTCCACTGGAATATGCAACCCATCCGCCTACGACTGGCCCAATACAAGCGCCCAGGTTCAACGCCATGCTGACCGGTCCCAGCATCCTCCCCCTTTCGCTAGGCACACAGACGTCAGCGACAACGCCAAAGCTGATGGCATAAGCGGCACTTGCACCGAGGCTCTGTATTGCTCTCAGCCCCAGCAGAAGCCCGTAGTGATTCTTGTTAAGTGCTAAGCCCAGGTTCGCTGCCATGTACAGCGACAGTGTAAACAGACACGCCAGTCTCCGGCCCATGGAGTCTGACAATGGTCCGAATATCGCAGGTGAGATTGCCTGAAAGATGATATAGATTGTGAGGGTAAGGTTAATGGCCTGAGAGGTCGTGTGGAAATGTTCTCTCAGCAACGGGAGAAGAGGAAAGTAGATCGTGGCCGTCAATGGAGAAGTAATGGTAGCAAAGCCAAGCAATGCAATGAGCAGACGCTTTTGACTCTGCCCGAAGACTGTATATGGGACAGGTACTGCCTCAACAACGGGCGTTGAGCTACCTTCGACATTCTTGAGCTCCATCCGGTTTTCCTTCGAGGCGGTGTAGAAAATTCCAACACAAATCGTCCTAGCACGTCCATAAAAACTAGGTCGAGCTGAGAGGATCGCATGCTATGGGAGCGAACAGTACACTTATAACATAATCTTCGGCTCCTGCCGAGTAGATTCGTTTCAAACTTTAGATTGTGAGGCGGCGAGGTGGACAAAGCAGGGCTATATATGTAGCGGATCTCGACACATGAGACGTGGTGTAATGCGGGGTTGGCATGTGAGGATCTGTATTTAGAAGGGCATTCAAGCGGGGTATTGGTTCACAATAATGTCCTACAGACGAGGAGCATGCACCATCTGTGATAGATTCAGAATGCTCCCGACAAAACCACCGCCGCTCACGTACAGTGAGGTTGGGCCGTTGTGGCCACAGAATACCACCCACAGCAGATAAGTGATATTGTAGTCAATAAAAGGTGAAGGCCGCTCTTGATCAAGCAAATAATGTGCTGTAAATGCAACTTGGGGAGCAATCTTTCTATTGTCGGTCGAAGAGCCTTAAGCATCGATACCACCAAAATTGCTTCTGACTGTTACAACACTGCCTTCCTGGATACAAAGCAACGTCCCTTCTTGTAATATTAAGCTCTGTGCCAGACCGTCAACGCTTGTCCAATCCCTTGGGATGAAGTAGTGGCGCGTGAAATCCGTATCTGATTGTCTGGTTAAGTCCACCGAGCAAAGCCAATAGTCCCGATCAAAGAAGACCAGCTGCTCTCCTGGCAAGATTCCCAAGGGTACTTCAATCTTGTCTGCGAGATGTCTCTGAATCTGTACGTATTCAAGCACAGCTCCCTTGCCCTGATCTGTAGCTGTATCCAGTGCTTTCACTTCTAAAATAAGAAGATTTTTCTGAACGCTAGTCTTCGGTATGTATTCCTTGAGATACACCAGCATGTGCTTACTATCTTGGGTGAGCAGAACTTTGCTAATTTTGGTAACCGGTTCTTGTCTCGCGCTTGACAGTGCATTTGCATGTACACTACTGACTGTTTCGTCCAATAGAGAAATAGAGGTCGGCTGTCTCACCAGAGATGAAACTGCGCTGCTGAGCCTGAAATGGTGTATTTGTTGTAAACTGGACCATTGATATATCCTGATGTGTTCAGGCCCAACTCCCAAGAACAGCTCATGATCGGTAGGATGATCTAGCCAACCCTGCTGAGAAGCGCAAGCCATTGGAGTAGAAGTCTTTATGATGGAGTCGACAATGTCCCATATCTGAGCAAGGCTGTCGCTGATGACAAGAAGCAGCCGTGATGAAAAATTTAGCAGCATTTGATGGATAGCACCGCCTTCGAGGGTCAATTTGGGACGTTCCAAGTGCCGAACATCTGTCGACTTGAGACGTCCTGAGGTTGTGTTGTCGATCTGAATTATTCGGACGTCAGCGGCAAGGTCAGCGGCAACGACAATTCCGCCACTTGGACCCCAGATGAGATGACTAACACATTGAAAGTTGTGGAAGCGTGTCAGTTCCATCTGGAACGTGGCTTGCGTATCCGCAAGGTAGATCTCGCCGTCGTCATTCCCAGTCACATACCACATGCCACCTGGAGCCGCAGAGAGAGCGGTAAGACTTGGATATTGTGGGGCATCCGCCTCGGATACATGAGAAATGAGCGTGCCACGCTGCTCATCACTAGCGGTATCGCTGAAAGTCTCTTCTGATTCCGCAAGCCGGGTTAAGCCACTGGGTTCCCACGCAGTGATAGTGGATCCTCGGATATCATAAAATCGCGTTGAATCTGGGCTGAAGTATAATCCACTGACCAAGTCTCCTGATGAAAGTTGGTAGATGACGGTGAAATATGCAAAGTTCCAGACCTTGACTGTCCCATTGCTGTCGCTTGTCACAAACACTTTGCCGTTGGGGCTTGCGATCAATTCGTCCACAGAGGCTGAGACTTCATGGTTTTCATCTGTCAACGGGTGCCATTTGAAAAGGGTGTTGCCCTTGTACCAGCCAATGATATGACCGGTAACAGGATTCCATGCGAAAAGTTCCACGGGGAACCAAGTTTGCGCAGAGGTCGCGGCACGGTCTAGGCTAGCGGTTGGCCTCATGCAACGACCAATGGGTAATGTGGTGTTCAAGTCCCAGACTGTGAGAGGAAACGACCTATAGCAAACTCCAACCTGCGTCCCAGTTGCGTTAATTATCATGCGATTCGGACTGTTGATAATCACTGAGTCGGCTTGAGTCTTCTCTTTGAGTAAAGACTCGTCCAGAATCTCCCACGCGGGCACGTTTTCTGTGATTTGCAGGAATCTTATTGACCTGTCGTCTGTCGCAGCCAAGATTCGTTGGTCGCTCATCGCAAAGACGAGTGACATTGCTTTGGTGTTTCCTGCGTTCGGAACTTGCAGACGGACCGTGGCAGCAGGAATCTCCCAAACCTTTGTGGTCTTCAGGCCGTAGGTTACGAGCAGGTCGCCCTTGTCGTTCATACTGAAGCCTGTCACGGACTCACCATGATGGAGCGTGCACACCTCTCCAAAGTCAGCGGAACCCCATACGTACACAGTACCGCCTTGGGTGAGCACAGCCAGATAAGGCCCTGAAGACACAATCTTCAGGGCAACCTCGTCCTGGGGAAGTGCAAAACGAGAGAAGACGTCGTTCCACGAGTCATTTTGACCAGACACCATAACTTTGGACTGCTTGTGCCGGTAGAACTGACGGTGGAGTACGGATTTCGGAGGGCATACGGCTGGAATTATCTCGTAGATGGAATCGGGCTGATCGATCAGATGCTTATTGAATTTGGCTGTTATTCTCACCAAGTCGACCGCCCAGTCCTCTAGAAGCTCAAGCGTAGAGAGCCGGTGGAGCATGGGATTCCGCAGGCTATTGAGGCTGCGATTGCTGGCAACAAAGCTGAGAAGTGCTTTTCCTACCCTGGCCAAGGTCCTGACTTGGTGAAGCATTGCAAGAAGGTAGATCCAATCAAGTACAAAAGGACTGTTGAGGAATTTTTCCAGCTCGTCGAGCACTTCGTCAGAAACAGGGTCGGCATAACCGAGGTGATAGACCCAGGAGGTCGCCGAATAAATTGTAAAAGGATGCTTAGATTCGAGCTCTTCTAGGGCCTGTAGTCCTCTTCTCGCACTGGACGCCGCAATTCGCAAGCCAGGGCTACGAAGACCGGAAAGGCTCTTCACCAGGAGCGTGCTGTTCGCACTTTGCCGGTCAATGGCAATTGAACTTCTGGAGGCCTTCGTCAGAAAGTCTCGTACAGTCTGGTGTACAGTGGTGACATGGTTGGTGCTGTCGATAACGATAAATTGCCCGCAGACATCGCGGATAGTCCTCTTCAGATCCAGTATATCAGGATAGTCTTTGCTTATGGCGTGTTGCAACTCGTCCAACGTTAGGGGGCGTGGTGCGCAAATAACCCATTGTAGTAATTCCTTCGCCAACTTGACGCGATCCTCATCTTTCCTGTCGGTGATCAAAAGCTGCATCCGTTCGTACATTTTTGTCATATCCCCAGGTATTTGTTCTAGGGCGAGCCAAGTTGCGCTTTCCGTCTGACAGTTTTGCAGTTCTTCAAGGACGAGGCTTACCCACAAGAAGTTGCCTCTTGCGCGTTGTAGAATCTCAAGCCGGAGTCGTTCCTTGTGAGCCGTACTGCCGGGCAAATCTTCAAGTTCTCTGTCAACAAGAAGCTTGATGTCTTGAGCATTATGCTTCTGTCCCTCTTCTCCGTCAATGACGCTGATCTTGAGAGCTCGCTCGAGCTTTTTAAATGTCAATGCGAGGGCCTCTGTCCGTCGACTGGTAACAAATATTTTCATTTTGGCTCTTGAGCTCAAAAGAAGTTCTTGCAGCAGTTCGACGACTGTCTTAGGAGACTCTGATTCGTCAAGGCCGTCTATGACCCAGAAGAGAGGGCGATCGGGTGTTTTGGAAAACAAGAGATTCTCGAACAGCTTTCGCCAGAGCCAACGATGATTCCTGTTGTCAAACCGAAAGCCTTCGGCCGAGGCTGCGAGAATCTCTTCCCTGTATTCGGGCATAATGCAAGATATCTGATACGCCAGACATTTCAACATTTCGCTGATGGATCTTCGCGTTTGATCTCCATAGCTGAAGAAGCAATATTGACAATCGTAACCGTTCGATTGGAGATGGTTGACGACGTAACTCGAGAGCACCGACTTCCCATGGGCTGGTGGTGCATGGTACCATATCAGATGGGAATCGGAGGGGTTGGACAACCAAACCTGCATTGCAGAGCCCTTTAAAACCCACTCACAGCTTCCCGCAACCCATCGTTTTCGAAGAGTATTGAGGTCGTCAACGTGAGCGCTGGACACAGCGAGGAGCTTTCTGACGGCCTCACTCACATCTGTGGTCCTACCACCAGTAGCTTTGAAGAGACTTTGGCTGAATTTCTCCACGAGACCTTTCAGTGTATCTCGAACTATCCTAAACTTTTCATCTCTGTCATTTTCAAACTTGCATACTGTGTGGTGGTTCGCAGCAAGGCCACGTGGCTCATCGTTTTCACAGCCCAGGATGGCAGAATCCCTGGGTACGATCATAACTGGCTGGTGTGCCACAAGAGTGTATCGTTCCTCGTAGAATGAGATAACCGAAAGATTTGGCGCAAAATGACGGAATTGCTCATTTATATCTTCTATTGCTGGAGAATTCGATTCCAAGTCCTTGATGTACGATTTCTCGTGTTGGAGTAGCAACTTCAGGATTAGGTTCAGGACATGGGCGAGAGACGTTCCGCGATGAGGTGTCGACAGGAAAACGATACCAGAGATTGACTGGGCCAAATCCCGACAATTTTTATCGCTCTGGGCCAAAAGATAAGCCTTCTTGACCACCAGGCCACCCATAGAATGAGCGACAAAGATGATGGGAGCTTGGCCTATCCCAAGGCTGTGTTCTTGATCGCCTCTGCTGTACCGCATGTCGAACAACAATGACCTTGCGAATCCCATGATATTTGAGACACTTTTGGCACCACACAATTGAGAGTCGTAGCCATAAGTGAATAGCCTCGCCTTTCCAATCTTCGGGTCTTTCGGAAGCCACAGTCCCGGCCAGAAGAAGTCTGTATTGTGGTCTTTGGACCAGGTTTTGTAACTATGGCCTCCGAGACCATGTACAAAGATAATGTCGGCGACCGGCCTCGTATCTGGCTCGTGAATGACATGGAGACCAAGGGCATCGGCCTCGAAGTTTGTGAAGGAACCGCTTGCTTCATCGTCTGAACTCAAACTCGTATTGGAGGGACGATAGGAAGAAAGGGGCGCGATGGAGCCAGAGCTTTTCCTTCGAATCCAATCCAAGCGGGAGCCAACAGACAACTTCTCATTGCTCCTCGGGGGCGCACTCGTGTCACACGCTCGTTTCTTGTCTCGATGGGAGAAGCTGGAGCGTAGTTTCCCTAGCTGCAATTCACGTTCAGTACGCGATGCTTTCAAGCTCTAGCCAGGATAACATACCATTGGCGCGACAAGCCAACACTTTGGCCACTTTTCCACAGCAGTCTTGTTGTGTTTGGGCCAGAGCACCGATGTGTTTGTGAAGATCGCATTTACTTGCGGCGTCGATTAGCGTGGCTCTGAAGGTCTCAAGGATACTCTACCACGAAGAGACTTTCGAACAGAGGTCTCCAAACGTGTGGTGGTACCTGACGAGTGATGGTGTAGAACGGGGGAGGTGCTCTGAAGCACTGGCGCCTCACCGTGAGGGTCAGACTTTGGGTCTGGAGGGCAGCCACACGCCAGCAAAATACTCGGTACGCCCTAGTGAGCTGCACTGCTGACCTTTTGTCAATGGGGCACAGATCCTGCCCGCATTGGTGTAGGTTAGGAAAGACCAGAGCAGAGGCCTGGGAGTCGAGGTGGAAAGCACTTGGCAATTGCGGAAGATGGCCACCTGGAATCCTCCAACCTTTGCATGATTCTGTTTTCTTTGTTAGGATCCCTTCGATCACGACGACCTCATCTTCTTGACTGAGACTATGAGTTCAGGCCTTGATGCGCATAGCTGTTCATCTCCTCCTCATCATCCTAACACCATCCAAGTCGGCTACGCCATTGGTGCCACCCTTCTTCAACCATGTCCCTTGACCTGCTACCCCCCTTTGGGTGGACTACAGGTGGTCGAAGTGGCATGCAGAAGCCCCTGTTGCCCCCCAATTGCTGGTACATTTGACAGCGGCTGCGGCCATCTGTCCGCTCGTTCTTTTGGCAAGAGAAGGTGCAGATGACACCAATCGAGGCTTTTGCCCGATACGAGTTGCAGCGCATCAAGCCATGCTCAGTGCCTGCGAAGTTGCGATTCGTATGGACAGCAACGCTGGCTGTCCTCTGGACCCTCTGGACCCTTGCCCGAACCTTGCTGAAACAAGGTCGACATCGTTACATCTGAATAGCCGCGGTCATCCAGCGCCTGGCTTGCATTAGCCAGTATCAGAGGTTTGTGAGCGGCTAAGTTGAGGGGGAAGGAGATGAGAGAGGTCAAATCATATCTGCTGGTTAGACTTTCGGGAGCGGCCTTTGCTTCGAGCCCCAGCGGCAAGTGGCTCCCTTTCTGATGATGCCAGGGATTCTGGGCCAATTCCGCGACAAGGATCCCTGAAGCGATGGGGGGGTAGGAAACGCCACCAATCTGCCCCAGCGAGTGTGCGCAATGCAACACCGGCGCTGGCGGGGACTTTCCAACGATAAAGACTTGAAAGACAGGCCCCTCCGCTATGTCCTCATCCCCTCAAGCCTGGCGCAAAGCTTTGTCTACCTACTGGGTACTTTTAGCACGTTTGCTACTTGGATTTTGGCCCCCCCTGGAGGTTCGCCTGGAAGCTGCTCAGCATGGCTACGGCTGTGTACCAGGCCATCGATTATGGGAGACATCAACCTCCCGCGATAGCTGGCGACTTTCCCGTCGACGACAATGTCATCAACAGCTTTCCCATGCGTACCACCATCTTGTCTGCTAATAAGTTTGGCCAGTCGAAATGGACGGTGACCGCACGTCTGGACGTGAAACAGCCTGACGGCTCGCCTGCGGCCTACTTTCTAAAATGTGCCGCCGGAGACGCTGGCCGAGTGATGATCGAAGGCGAATTCAACTCCATGTCGGAGCTATACAAGACAATGCCAGAACTGGTTCCAAAGCCGTACGCCTGGGGGAAGTACTCAGCTTCCCCACTTGAGACATATTATTTCCTGGCCGAGTTCATTGACATGTCTGACCGCGTACCAGAGCCTAATCAGCTCTGTGCCAAGTTGGCAAGGCTGCATAAAATCAGTGTCTCGCCCACTGGCAAATTCGGCTTCCACATCACAACTTGTCAGGGCCGGATCCCTCAAGCCATAGCTTGGGAGAGCAATTGGACGACCTTTTTCACCAACCTACTACGCAATATTATTGCCCTAGACAACGCAGAAAATGGTGCCTGGGACGCTCTGACTGCCCTCGAGGATCGGCTTCTTGCTCATGTGGTCACCTACCTTCTGGACAATCTCACCAAGGATGGTCGTGTGGTAAAACCCTCTCTCATTCACGGTGATCTCTGGGAAGGCAATACGGGAACCTCATATCAAACAGGGGACATCTACCTCTTCGATGCGGCCGTCATGTACGCGCACCATGAGTTTGAGATCGGGAATTGGAGGTGCTACTACAACAAAATCCACAATAAAGTCTATACACGGACGTACCTCCGATACAACGGACCCAGCGAGCCGACGGAAGAATGGGACGACCGAAATCGTCTTTATTGCATTTATTATAATATATTATACTCGGTGAACCATAGGAGACAAGGAAAGGCCGTGCGTCAAACGTAAGTTTCCTCCCCTTCCTTGTCAGTGAGCGCAATCTCCCAATAGCGCCTAGACTAACGCATATGTTGTGCAGAGCCTTCGATGACATGTACTATCTCATTGACAAATTTGCGCCTTTCCCTGAAGGCCAAGGACCTGAGCGAATCAGAGATGCGGACAGAGGCACGCTATCCGACGAGAGAGATCATACCAGAAGCTAAAACAGAAGGATAGAAACAAATGCAACAAGGAACTCAATTTGAAATTCGATTACCAGTCTAGTTTCTTGTCCCCTAGCTTCCCTTCCTCCCCGCTCCCCTCCAACGCAGCCCTGACTATCCATGTCTTGACATCCTCCTTCTCGCCCGTCCCCGTGAACCTCTCCCAAATGCCCTCCCCAAACCTCCGATAACTCTCCGCCACGCCATTGTTGATGGTCAAGTTATATTCCATCTCGGACAACGTGAACGGGAATGTCTTGGTGCCGCCGACCGTGATGGTCCGAGCAGGGATGTCCAGCGTGATCTCCTGGCCTTCCCGCGCAGCCTCGTAGAAGGCCTCGTCCGTCATCGTGACGCCCAAGAGGCCCAGACTTGGCTGGTTGCGGCCGTAGATGAAAGCGAACGAGCGGGCGATGACGGCCTTGACGCCCACGCCTAGGCTCCCAAGTCGTTAGACGCGGACACGGATACCTCGTGTGCAGAGGGTTTTGAGTACGGGGCAAAAATGCAAATAGAAGAAAATGGAACGGGAAGGGAAGGGAAAGGAAAGCACCTTTCAAAGCACCCACAGCCATCTCGCGGCTCGATCCGACTCCAAACGCACGCCCTGCTACCACGACCTGTTGCCCTCCTCGCACTTTGGCCCGGAAGCCCGGGTGCGTGTGCTCGAGAACGTGCTCTCCGAACTCTTCGTCGGTCACGCACGTGGTCAGAGTGGAGCCTGGAGCCAGCTGTTACGTACCGTGAAGAAGAAGAATGAAATTGTCAGCCTTGCGCGTCAAGTCTTCCCATGTTTTCTTTTCGTTGTTTTGGGGGGGTTTTTGGCTTGGTTCTGACTTACCGCGTCCGTGTCGATAAAGTCGCCTAGAGTGACGATCTTGCTTGTGATTTTTTCGAGCTTCCCTAGCGGCTTGTCTTCCGCGTCTAGCGACGGATTGATCGTGCTGGCCGTGCTGGCCGTGCTGTTATTGTCGATACTGCTGCCGCCGTTCATCGGTGTGATGCTCGAGCTGCTGAGGTCGGGTTCGACGTATTCCACCGGGACCATGTTGACGTCGGGGAGAGGACGGTATCGTCTGAAGAAATCCGTGTCTAGCTCTTTGAGAAAGTCCGCGGGACTGGTGATGGTCATGCTGAAGCTCGAGGCTGCGCAAACTATAGCGGACGTGATGTGGCCGAATGCACCTACATGTCATCAAGAGGAGTCAGCACAGAGAAAGTCAACAACACCTTCCAACCTTCTAATAAAGCAGACAGGGGAACAAAAACAGGCAACTCACCTTTGCCCATGCGGTTTTGGAAATTGCGATTCTGCGAGCTCAACCACGTCTCACCCTCGTCGGCGTGCTCGGCGGAGAGACCAACACAGTAAGAACAGCCGGGGGGACCACGAGTGAATCCCGCGGCCTCGTATATCTCGAGGAGCTTCAGGTCCTTCAACTTTTCGACAATGGGTAGCGATCCAGGCACATAGTGCCTTTTCCCCTTGGCCATTGGCAGTTTCTTGTCCAGGCCGACCTTAAGCACGAGGGCCGCAAGGACCAGCTCTTCTTCGGTGGTCGTGCAAGCGCCAATGAAGATTCCGTCGAGTGGCATCTCGGCCATCTGCGAGACGGGGACCACGTTGTCTGGGTTCGGGTAGACGGCGACAGAGGACTCAACCTTGGACAGGTCGATGGTGTATCTCCCTGCGTACTCGGCGTCGGGGTCTGGTCGGAAGTAGAGCGAGTTGACTCGATTCGCTTTCCTTCGCCGCCGTGCAATGTAATCGCTGGTGATCCGATCCGGTACAAAAATGCCCGTAATGGCGCCAAACTCGGTGCACATGTTGGCGATGGCGAACCGGGCGTCAACCGACAGGTACTTCAGCCCTTCACCGCTGAACTCGACGATTCGCTCCGCGGCGACGGTGTTCCGCTTGAGTTCGCCGAGGATGTAAAGGATGACGTCCTTCCCAGACATGCCAAAGCCAGGCTGGCCGACGAAATCGATGAGGATCGACTCGGGAATCTTGAACCACGTCTCACCCAACGCCAGGGCCATCATCACATCCGCAGTGCCGAGTCCGATAGACAAGCAGCCCACGGCTCCGCCAGAACAGGTGTGCGAGTCAGAACCAATTGCGAGCATTCCCGGTTCGACACGTTCTCGAACGAACTCCGTGTGCATGATGGTGTAGTTCATACCTTGGTACTCGGTCATCTTGAACTCGTTCTTTGCCTTTTCGGCGACCTCCACCATGGCTTTGATCTTCGGGACTTGTGCCACGGCGGGATGGACGACATGGTCGCCAGCCAGCCAGAAACGATCATTACGCCAGATTCCTGGCGAACCCAGTTGCCTCCACGTCCGGGCCATTCCCTGCCACAAGTGTGAGGGATCTCGGACCCAAGCTCCTTCAAGGGGGTGGGTTACTTCAAAAAACATACCTGCCAGGACAATTCCGACGCCAGAATCCAGTCAATTCCAATCCTGACGACGTCGCCGGCCGCCAAACCTTTAGCAGGTTTCTCTCCAATCACATGCTGGGCGAAGATCTTCTGGGCCAGATTCATAGGCCTGGTCCCTTCCGCTGGCGCGGACTGATACGATAAAAAGTTCTTTGCTCTTTCCCTTGAGTTGACGGCTTCGAGCCATGCCTCCACCTGGAAGAGCACCTCTGACTGCTGAGTAGGAGTAGCGGCGTTGTCGTCGTGCAGGCCTAGCCCGCCGAAAGCTTTCCTGTCGAGAGCTTTCTCGCGGACCTGGTCCAGCGCTTCGGCCTCGGGCGCTTGATGCGCATCTTTCAGAGCGTCAGCGTAGCGTAACAAGATGCCGGGGATGGTGTTGGAAGCCTTCGTGGGGCCGAAGCTGAGACCAGACAAGTCAACTTTCCTGGTGCGGGACAGGAGATCCCGTAGTTTGCTCTCAAATCCATTGTCCTGAGTCTCCGGGGGACTTTGTAGGGTCTCTGTTATCGTTGCCATTGTCTGGTCTGATTGATCCGAACGGAACATCTGATCCCGTGGTGCTTTGGAGCCATATATCCATCTGGAACTGGGCACGGCATATACATCTGACGAAGGCCCCTCGACCCCTCCTTACGCGCTGCATACCGGAGAAGATTTAGTATGGAGCAGGCGTTCGATCATGACACATCCTCCGCCCGCCGCCTGTGAATGGCTTTATTCAGGCCGATGTTGTGTCATGTCCGGGTTTCGGCGCGAGAATCGGACTAATGCTTGATCGACATCGGCAATGTGCTTTTAAGCCTTGCCGCATCTGCCCCAGGTAGGCGTTTGAAAGACTGCGAATGCCTCGGATGAGATACAGCGAATTACTTTCTTCATAAATGATTGTACAGATTGGCTTTTCATCTCCTGGGGCCTCATATACGTTAGTCAAACATACCGGATAATAAGTCGTTCCAATATTCATCATCGTCATGGGTTCAGTAAGCAACAACACGATCAACACGAATGTGAAAGCGTGCTCGCCGCTCACCGGCGCCAAACGCCTGCGAGAGATGCTAAAGGATCCCTCCAAAGTCGTCGTGTGCCCGGGTGTCTTTGATGGTTTCACGGCCCGCTTGGCTTTGGCTGCTGGATATGATGCACTGTACATGGTACGTCTAGACGCTGGTACAGAGAAATAATGCTAACGCTTGTCGTCTTCATAGACAGGAGCAGGGACCTCAATGTCTAGATTGGGATGGGCAGACCTGGGAATAGCGACTCTGAATGATATGAAAAGCAATGCCGAGATGATCGCGTCACTCAACCCTTCGGTGCCCTTGATTGCAGATGCGGATACAGGCTACGGTGGACCCATAATGGTAACAAGGACTGTTACCCAGTATGCTCGTGCTGGTGTTGCCGCACTCCACATCGAAGATCAGGTTAGTTAATGGCCGTTATGCTGTTTGGGTCCTTTTGACGAATGAGAAGGTGCAAGAGAAGAGATGCGGCCACCTCCTCGGCAAGCAGATCGTGGACAGGGAGATTTACTTCAGCCGCCTTCGAGCAGCAGTTATGGCTCGCGACCAACTTCAGTCCGACATCGTGCTGATTGCCCGGACGGATTCTCGACAGACATACGGCTTTGATGAAGCCATTGAACGATTGCAAGAAGCAGTCAAAATCGGCGTGGACGCTGTATTCCTAGAAGCTCTTCAAACCAAAGAAGAGATGGAAAAAGTGTGCCAGATCATGGGTGAAACTCCTGTGCTCTTGAATGTGGTGCCGGGAGGCGTCACTCCAGAGTACACGATTGAAGAAGCGAGCAAGATGGGATTTCGCATCATCATCTACCCCGGACTCTGCATTGGTTCGGTTCTCGAAAGCGTTGGCAAAGAGCTGAAGCTACTAAAGACAACAGGAAAGAGCTCCCCGAGGAGTTCAGCCAACGGTGTCAAGGACGCCTTCAACTTGTGTGGGCTACAGGAGTGTATCGAGATTGACAAAGAAGCCGGAGGGAAGGCGTACGCAACAGTGGGGAAATAGAGCGATGAACAGCATGCAGAAAGTCATTTGAAGCCTCCCTTTGTTCCGGTCGTTGCTTTGGAAGTGTTTCCTGCCAATGTGCTGCGGACTGAAAGAACAGGCTAGTAGACTTGTAAAGGTGCATTAGCGGAAGGCATTGGAAGGAATAGCTCACGAAAGGTTCTTGAGTGAAGATTGCTCATTGAATTTTCGGCATCGGTAGGCTAAACTGGTAGTCCCGTAGCATTCGGCAAACCACTACTTAAAGTGCGAGTCCTCGTCTCTGTTACTTCGACTGTTGAAGTCTGTCGTATGGTGATTGTAGTTCTGGTCAACGAGTCTAAAGAGAATGTCCTCGTCGTTGGAACTGTCACTAGCACAGTCACTGTCTGCTCTGATGCAGTGGCTATGGTGCCGCCTCGAAGCCGATGTCGACTAATCGCAGACGAAGTAATCAATGTGGTTGTGGTCACGGTCGATTCGAAGGAGAGCGTGGTCGTGACTGTGTATGTTCCAAATGTGATCACGGCGGGCTAAAACAACGATGTCAGCGGGAAGTACCCTGCAGTCGCTGGCTGTAACTTACCCCTGCGAACGAAGCAACACTAGTCCCGGTCCTGGTAGTCGTAGTAGTCACCACGGCCCAACTTTCACTCGAAGTAATGCAGTTCCACCCGGTTGATGCACAATTTTGGACTTCGACGATATTGGGAATAGGGCCTTTCATAAGGTCATACCAATGCGCAGCATAGAATACCACAGGTTCATTCATGTCTGGCGGGGCGAACAGACTTAACGAGCCGGAACTCGAAGTCGTAGAGCATCCATCGAGATTCTGGCTGGAGAATGTGACATATTGATTGCAGTCAGTGATGGGAACAGGCAGCATGCCCGCTGGCTGCACCGTGGTACTGCACCATGTTGTGGTCTTCGCACTATATACCGTCTGGCATCCATTTTTGTCCAAAACTATGCGTGCTGTTTCTGCTCCACCGGAGTCAATTGCAGGGATTGCCAACGAGGTCGTCGGTAGCACACGAGTCGTGCTGGTAGACAAGAAGATTGTTGTGCTTCCATTTGGTAACAGGGCTGTGGCATTCACTCGGATGGGCAAGTACATTGAGCTATTGGTAATCAAGCCTTGCGTGGTATTGGATCCGACCGTGGATGCCAGCGAGGATATAGGAAGGATAGAAAAGATTGCCGATGAAGCTGGCGTGTCAGGACACACAGTGGCAATAGGTTCTTGAATCACCATCGTGGGAAAGACGTAGGAGGACATCGTGGCTTTAATTGATGGGGTAGTGGTGACTGCAGGAGCAGGGGCAAGGGTTGCTAGCACTCCCAAGCCTTCCACAGGTGAGTTAGGCTGCTGTCGACGCTCCTTAAAATGGGAATGGGCTCTTCCCTCATGTTGTTTAGTCGAAATAATAGGCATCGCCAGGGCGATCAGCAATAGTAGAGCCTCCATAATTCCGGCGCGTGAAGTTGAGTCTTGTGGAAGAGAGGAGCTTGTTGATCTTCGCCAGCGAGGACAGAGGACTCAATCTGGAGTACATGTCGCCGTGGAAAGGTGGCAGGAAAGATTGTTAGAGTGGCAGGGCATTTCAATTACATTAGTCGAGACCGTAGAGGGTGGAATGCCACATCAATTGCGGTTGGTATGTGGATGTGCTTCCCCCCTCCTTCTTTGTCCTCCCTCAACTCCTTGAGACGCGGCGTGTGCTGCATTTTTCACTCTAGAATTCTTCGTCTCGGATGGGTATCTCAATTCATCCTGGGTCCTTGACTGGACTCGCCGCCTCCCTGGTGGTGACTTGATTCTTCGTGGTAGGCGTTACTCAGAAACTCAATCTCGGCGTCTGTGGGTTGTTGAAATTGCATGGAGGGATCGTTCATTAGCAAATCTGGGGCAAAGTATTGATCATATCGCATCATTGGGTCGAACGCGGCAAAGGCCTGGGCACTCCGCAGATCTGGCATTGTGCCGTACATGGAAGGCGGGTTTGGAGCTGACACATACAAGTTGCTGGATAGAGGGTGGTGGCTAACTGTAGAGTAATTTGCCATGGGTGCATCCTGGCCTAGAGGAGAAGGCTTTGCCGGAGGATCCTGTGGCAGGTCGTCGACGTCGCGCCCAATCTTCTTGACTGCTTCCTTAAACAATGCGAAACACATTGCCCAGGCACGCCTAGCGGACAGGTTATCTTCTGCTAACGCATGCAACCAGCGGATGCCTTTCTTGCATGACTCCAGAATAGCTTCTGCTTCTTCCGGCATATGATTGGCTCTGAAAGATATTTCAAGCATCAATACCGTTGTAGCTTGGACAAGCCAGTGTATGATATTCCACCATGGGCCGACCCGAATCAGGCCAACGGCATTGGGCTTGTCAGGAATGAGTTGAAGCATTTCCATTGCAGCCTCCACGCAAGCGGCAGCAGAATTCCGGTTGAATTCGAGTGATTTGGATGACTGTCCTGGAATCTTGCGGTCGAGTCGGCAAAGGCAAGGTCGATGGATAGTCATCTTGGTGCTGTAGTAAAAGAAGCCAAGGTTCAACCGAAACTCGTAAGACCCGCGCTCGCGTTGGTTTCGTCGAAAAGCAAAGGCTGGGGGCAGTTTTCGATACCAATGCTCAAGCCGTTCGTCGAGGTCCTTCACCTTGGCCTGAACATCTGACCATGTTCCTTTAATCGAAGCTGGGTTGTACAGACTATGGAAGATGTTCTGTGTCAGACGAGTCAACTGTACCGCGTGGAGAAAGTACAATGAAGAGTTAGGCGGCACGTCCTTTGCCCATTCCAAGTCGTCGGCTCTGACACCCGGAGGCATTGAGGGTGAACGCGAGTCGATCTTGGTCTGCGAGCGAGAGCGGTCGGTTGACGGGGTCGATCCGAAACTTGGGGTCTGGGTATTGGAAGATGGTGCTCGGTCACCCTGTTGTATTTCCTTGCTCAGAAGTCTCTGACCTTCCTCGGTCTCGAATTGTTCTTCTTCCAACGGAATGGGCAGAGGAGTAGTGCAATGATCGTCCATTATACAATTGACTCTACCCGTCATGTTGCACAGACGGTGTTCCAGGGCGTAGAGAGCCCACCACAGTCGGTATCGGATTTCCTTGAGTGAATCCTTCAGGTCATTGCTGTCATTGCGCATGTTCAGGCCCAGGGCGGCCGCTCCTCGGATCGCAATTCCGTTCAGCATCCACGCACTGCCCCCGGGTTAGTTCCCGCTAGTAACGAGAACGGAATTGGCTGCCCTTACCGGTTGATTTGGCTGTTACACATCAGGTAGAAAGACATCAAGCCTAATACCTGGATTTGCTGCAAATCCGGATGGTGAAAGATGGTTTCGGAGTTCATACTCAACAGTCGAGCTCGGGTGAAATAGATAAGGTGATCCCGTTCATCGCCTTTCCATTCAGCTTTGATCAAGTGCGAGTATTTGGCGCCAATAGCGAAGATCAAGTTCAGGATGGCGAGCCATTTTTCTGGAGGTCTCTGCACCGTGCCACGGATGAATCTTCGGAACTGAGTTGTGAGATTTAGTCTGCCAATCACTGGAAAGGATGAGTGCACTCGCTGCATATACGCATTGAAGAGGTGGTCGGCGATGTCAGGCGTAGGTATCTCGTAGGCATCCACGGCCTCATACATAAATATCGACATGTCGTCCATGTGGTAGCTGGAATCTTTAACAGTGAAGCCTTCATCCGCCTCTGAGAGCGGGTCTTGCGTGTCACCGACTGGACGTTTCGAGGTCAGCGAGGCACTGGACATGGCCACGAGAGCCTGTTGCCTCTCATTACCTTGCCGGTCTTGTTGCACATCCCCATACTTGTTCTGTTCGCGCAAGCGCTGGAGCCAGGTGACCTCCGAGTTCTTGCCCATGAAACCCGTCATCCTAGCCTGCTCACGGGTGAAATCTTCATCGGTTCTATCGAGTGCGCCCGTCGACCCAGCGCCCGCCGAAGCTTCTGATTCTGCACCAGACTCCTCCTCTTCTGCCTCAGCATCGCCAATTGGTGCAGACTGTCCCTCAGCGGTACCCTCTGTAGGGGTTTCCTCGGCGTCATAGGTAGACCCCTGTTCAAGAGTGAGCATATAGGAGCGACATGGTATATGCGATATGGTGGTCCCCACCTTTTCCAGTGACGCTCGAATCAATCTTGCATCGGCTTCATCAACCCTGGATATCAGTTCTCTCAGTAGCTTCTCATAGTCGGCCACCTTCTCGGTCAAGCTGCCAAATTGCCTGGAAGCAATCAGCACAGGAACATGGGTCAGGCTCAAACAAACATATCGACTGACTTCTTTGCCCTATCTCTTTTGCCATCTGCATAAAAGCATGTAATCTTGAAGTCCTGACAGTGTCTACACGCTGGCCGCTCCCCGCTACATTTGGTCTTCCGGTGGCGGCACGGTTCGCACGCATGATTGACCCGGTGTCTTCCTCCTGACCGGGTGGTACCTTCGGACGGATCAATCGATCTCTTCAACCGGGGAATGGCAACTTTTCCACCTCTCTGAGGCGATTCGCTTGCCGTAGTGAGAGGAGACTGCGGGACGCGAAAAAAGAGGTTTGGCGTGGGCGAGTGCGGTGTCTGTGGGCGATTGGAGGGGTCAGGCGCGGGTGTCTCGATTGAGACTGCCGGGGCTTGAACTGGGGTTTGAGAAGCGGATTCCTGGCCGGCAGGAGGAGGACGACGCGGAGGTTCACCGCGACGCTGCTGTCTTTGCTCGGACATTTGAAGCGAATTGAAATACTATCTGGACGAGCACTGCGCGACGACGTGAATGTGGCTCGGGTATGCGGCAGGTGGCGAGCTGAGATTTTGGATTGATCGACGGTGTGAGCGGGGAGAATTTCTTCGACAGGCAAAGTTGCGAATCGGGCGATGTGAAAACCAGGAGTGCTATAGACCTTGGAGGCATGCAGACCAAGGTGCATAAGGCTACAGTCCACAGCTTTTCTAAATTGAAAGAAAGCTGAAAATGAAGTGAAGTTCAATGGCGAGGCGCGTCCTAAATGTGAGTGGGAGGGAGTTCCGCTTCCCAGATATCAAGGATACCAATGACATGGGCCTGGAAGTTATTCCCACACAAGAGGAGGATCAGAGGCATTTGCAGAAGCTGGCTCGCTGGATGACCTATGTGCTCCATAAAGATCATCTTGGTCGGGGATCTAAATCCATTGCAAAAAGCAGAACAGAAGCCCTATGAGCACATGCCACCCGAGCCTCCACCTTCTTCGAGTACAGCGGGGGGGGGTTTCCAAGCGTACAAATACATAGGTTTGCGCCCCTGCAACAGGGTCAATTCATCACCTCATGTCGTGTGGCGCAGAATTACATCATGCTACAGTCGCTTGAGAAGTTCGCACCAAAGCTCCTTGGCGTCGAGACGTCTCGGCGACTTCTTGCGCGGCCGGAGATGAGTCGTCGATTCTTGTGAGTCGGTGACCACGGCAAAGAAGCCTGGCGGGCATCCAAGACACAGATCCGGAGCCAATCCTGGAGGGCGTCGAGCTGGACAGAGTGTTGGCACTGGTCGACAATTGATTGGGTCAATTCTTGCCGCATGAGGCCTGTCAGTTTCTTTTTGGTAGAGTACTGTGGAGCTGCAACGCCACTACTCCTGTCGCTGGCGTTTCGCTCCATGTTGATTCCAATCGCCACCGCCAAAATTCGGCCCTGGACCAGAGTTGAACATTCCGGAATTAAACTGGTTTCCCTGAAAACCTGAAATGCATCGTCAACATCTGACAGTGAAAGCTTCAGGGGACAGTCATTAACGTCCGACGTACCTCCCATTCCCATTCCAGCCATCATGGGATTCATGCCCATGTTACCCATTCCCATTCCACCGCCCATGGGCATCATGTTGTTCATGCCTCCACGGCCTCCGCGCATGCCGCCCATGGCGCCTCGCATTGGGTTGCCCATCATTCCTCCCCTGTTGAAGCCTCCATAGTTACTTCCCATTCCCATGTTGCTTTGAAAGCCCATATTCTGGCTGTTGTTATAACCGCCCATTGGACCCGAGAAGTTGCGGTTATATTGGTTGTGTGGGTTGTAGCTTCCACGGTTGAAGCCACCACCCCGACCACCTCGAAAGCCTTGGTTGCTCATACCGTAACTGGCGTCGTTGCGAGGTCCGGAATTAAACGACCCGCCACGGATGGGTCTCTCTTCCCTGGCGCGAGCTGGCGCATCTTTTGGGAGGGTCTTGAAAGGATTCTGAGTGGCACTGGTGTACACGACTGAGTGCTTGCGAGAGCCAGGTTGGTTGCCCGCCAAGGAGTCGATCTTGTGTTTAGCCGCATTTGCTGCCTGAGGAGAGGAGAACTCGAGATATACTTGGCTATCAAGTTGGTGTTAGCATCAGTGAGGAAACATAGTTTGTCTGGTAACCAACCCTTTGCTCTTGCCATTTACCTTGTGTTCACTGAAAGTCAACTCCCTCAGTTCGTCTTCAGCCCCGGCCTCGTTAGCCCAACCGCGAATGTCGTCCTCAGTTGTCCACCAATGCAGGTCTGAAATCATCAAAGCATTGGTAGCCCCGTGGTCGATGGGCCTCTCGTCCGAGGTCTCTTTACGTTTAGTACCCTGTTGTGGTATGGTCTTGGAGGGAACGGCATTGGTGTGGTTTGACTGGACGTCTTCAGCCTTTCCCTTGACCCAAGGCGTGGTTGCACTCGAGGTTGGCTGTCGGTCCTCGGACTCGGAGTTCGCATGCGTCTCTTCCGCAAGGGAGATGTCTTCTGCGGCGCCTGCGTTGAGCTGGACATTATCGTCATCTGGCTTGTAATCCACAGTTCCATCGTTGCCCATGTCAACTTCTCCATCACCGTAGATGTCAATATCGAAATTGTCTTCGTCTGCAGAAGCCATTGTGCGAGATGCTTAGAGTAGAGGGGAGGTTAGAACGTAGTCGGAATTTCTGTCTGCCACAGATCTATGCACAAGACGGCCAAGTCAATGGGCAGGACATAAAGAACCAGGTAATTTCTGTGAGATACATGTGGAATTAGCCAGAGATACATTAAGAGGGTTCACGAACAGAAGACACATGATCTGAGATCCGACTTGTCTCGTGTTGCCAAACATCAAAGCATCCCTCGCCGCCAGACAGCTCCGGCTTGAACCTCAGGATATGAGTCACCCAACAAGAAATACGTACAGCACTTGAGACTCTTGTACAATCCAGCGTGGTTCTTCATTGCAACATCAACGGGCACTTTTCAATGTCATAATACATGAAGCAGGCCAGCTGTCTTCCAGAAGCTTGTAATACAGTTGTTTCAATGTAAATCCTAGCAAGTAATAGGAAATAGAAAATGAGTCCGAGGGTTTCTTCTTTGCTGGCACCGTGTCCGATCGCACTGCGAAGTTAGATACGAGGAGGACCGGCAAGAGGTGGTGAGGCAAAGTGCTAAGAGGGTGGTCTGGAATAAATGGATTCTCCGAGTCAGAGATGAAAGTCTTTCGAAAGGAAGGCCGCGCGTGGCAGTGATAGGGAGAAATATGGTCCGTAACCGGGCACGAGGAGTAAAAAGAGTTTATGGAACAACTGATGGGGGGTGGGTTGGTCAGGCAGATGGGAGTTGAACAGGAGACATGGAGTCAATGTGCAGAGAGTTGAGAGCGCAGTTTGTCCACACGAGCCAAGGCTGCTTTTAGGTTCCCAAGGTTGGCCTCCCCTTAGCCTGGTGAGCCTCCACTAGCCCACTAGCCTCACCAGCCTCACCAGCCTCACCAGCCTGAGGCCGATTTGGGTGGTGCAGCCTTACTCGCCTTCCTCTTGCTCCCCTTCCTTTTTGCAGCGCATGAAGACTGTTCCACACCAATTGGGTGTTCAACCAAAAGAACCAATGCTACGTCCTCGTCCATCGACTTCAGACACCCTTCGCTTTCATCAAGGATCTCGTTCCTCATGGGAGGGCTTCAATTTTTTTTTTTTTTTTTTGGTTCATCTTGGAGATCCCGTTACCAGCTCGATATCTTCCCCACGAACTCGTTGTAAGGTCGGCTGACTACGACACCACAGCTTACAAAAGACTCAGACCGCAAATGAATCCCTGCAAGGATCTCGATTGCGGGGAATCGCTTGCTTTGGTACGGGTCTCTTTGATCGACAATATTGGGACAACGTTGACCTGTGCAATGATAACATGCAGGAGAACGATAATCTACTCTTCGCTGAGATGTTGAAACTAAGCATTGGACGACTGACAAGGAACAAGACTAAGCTCTTTAGACACTTTAGAGATGCATCCTCTCACTGGCTCAGAGGACATGATGAAAGCACCATTCCTTTCGATTCCCAACAGGAAATGCTGCAAGATGACTACTCTTCCGGGTGGTCATCTGATGAGCACCATAACGCCTCTCATACAATAAATGCGGACACGCATTCGTGGCATGATCGTCGTAAAGCTTCCGATTCTTTCGTCAATGATTTGTTGAACTTCGATAAAGAGGCTGCCCTGCTGGTGGAATGCGAGGACGTCTAAGACGAACTGGACATTCTCACGAGCGTGCTTCGACAACGGAGGCAAGTGCTGAGTGACCTGGACGCTAACCTTAGAGATTCCAAGAACATAGCCCAGTCACAGCAATTTGACCTCTTCGACAAGGCTGGCGAGCAGCAACGATTGGTTGATCTGGACATTCTCGATCTTGATCGCATGGCCCGGCAAGCCAAAAGCGTCAATAAACAATTCGACCCAAATACTGGACCTCAAGCAGAAGCACGCCAATGCAGTGGAAGCAAAAGATCAGCGCAAGCAAGTTGAAGAGGCTGCGAGACAGGGACGGACCATGATGATGTTCACTATTGTGACAATTGTTTTCCTGCCGCCGAGTTTTCTCACGAGTTTTTTTTGCGATCGACAACATTGAGTTTCCCCGTCCCGCCGGAAGTGGTGCTGGAGAGTTGCATCTGGGTTGGGTGCTCCGGTATATTATCGGTATAGGACTGGCACTCAGCACGCCATTAATCGGTGTGGCCTTCGTGGTTGGAGATATTCAAGCTTGGTGGGTCAACAGGAAGCTCAGAAAGTATCATCGACGGCGAGGAAAGGATGAGGGCGGGCACAGACCCGACATAGGCAATGCCCATGGTGATATCGTCGAGAAAAAGAGGGGGGAGCTAGGCCAAGACGTTTCCCAGAAGGCGCATATGGGTCTCGCCCTGGCGTGATAACGAGTCTAGCACTAGGATGCCCGTGTCGAGTCACAACGTTCTTGGCCATCTTGAGGATCTAGAGGGAGGCAATGGGTGTGGGATCTAGCAATTAAACCGCCTTGGGTAATACTTTGCATTGCCACTGGCCGGATGCTACCAAACATACCTCTACATAGGAATGACTGGAATCAGCTAAAGGAGGTATGCACCGTGGAAAGTTGACCGAATTGCTAAAACCAGGAACGTATTGGCTGTCAGATGTGAAGTCAGTGAAAGAGGTCGATAAGCTGTTATATCGAGGCCTGTATAGCGTTGTCAGGATTATATAGCCCCAAGTCCTATAGGTCATAGCCCGTCTTTTGTTAGGATGGGGAGTCTCCTGGTCTCTACCTTGTGCAGTAAAGACTCTCCACACTGTGGACTTACCCAGGCAATTGCCGCCAAGCTCTGGAGATTGTCCCCTGAACCCGGGCACAGGCAATTCGCCAGTTGGTTAGATGCCACCTAACACCATACGGAGGACATGCGTACAACTTTCTCGACGCCCCATTCTTCAACTCCTCACTCCCAGTCGCAGGCGCAACTTGCCAACACCTACAGTATTCCATTCTCGATCCATTCAGACAACAATCAGTTTCAATTTGTGTACTTGTCCTTGTCTCCTTGACTGACGCCGCCCGAAATCGACTCGTACCCACCTTTCTCTTCCCTCGCCGCCCCCAAAAAAACCAAATTGAATCCCTCTCGAGTTAAAAAGGGAAAAGAAAAAGAAAGGATGTCTGAAATACTGCAAGAGATTGCCGATGTGCCCAGGGAATTCTTCAAAGATGGGACTCAGTTTATCAACAGGTGTACAAAGCGTACGTCCTCCCGCACTGGCTCTCACAATCACAGTCGAAAGGCCCCCGTGACGCAGCAGCGTAGAGACACATAGCTCGAGGAAGTTCTGTGTCTCCAACCTGCGAATCGCCGGTCAATATAGCATCTGGTTTCCTTAAGCTGCTTCGAACGACTTACTTTGCATATGGCTAACATTTTCTCCAAACAGCCGACCGCAGGGAATTCATCAAGATCTCACAGGCCGTAGGCATGGGATTCCTGATCATGGGCGCAATTGGATACTTCATCAAGCTGAGTGCGTTCCTTCCTTCCCTTTCCCCCCAAACGCTGCCTCCCTCTTCAAGATGGGTCAGGATAGAAAGAGACAGAGTGAAGAGTCTTTTGCAACAATTACAACCCCCAATGAACAAATAAACAAGCACAACTGGCTGACAACTAAACCCGGCTTGGGCTTTCCCTGCCATGCAGTACATATACCTGTCAACAACGTACTAGTGGGATGATGATAATACCAGGCAGCCAGCCAGCAACAAGGGCCTGAGAACAGAACAAGAAAAGACAGCCGGGGTGGCTCATCTTCAATACATGCCTACGACTGCTTGTCATCCCCGCCACAACCACAACAACAACCTGAGCGTTTTGTATTACTATTCATCATCGGGGACCCAGGGAGCGAGCATTCTGTCGAGCAGGAAAGAAACATGGAGGATGCAGGAGACAAAACCAACCGATTGATTAGGCTGGCCGTGCAAACCTCTAGAACTTCTACAACAAAATCGAAAATCCGCTGTGCCAGACTATTGGAGGCCGAAACTTTCTATGTTATTTTTGCTGCCCCGAGCAGGGCCACAGGCACCCACATACAGCAATCAAGAAGCACCCCCTATATCAGCCCCCATCCTCATGATTCCCGCCCGCAATATACCCTGCATAGGATCGTTCCAGGTTTCGTGTTTCTGTATTCATGTGTCGTGCGCTAATATCCATCGCTCACAAACACTTCTTCCGTCTTGTAATCCTCGTAAATCAGAAAGTCAAAAGCCCTCCAGTAAATGGACGGCGCGCAGGGAGGAGGATTTTCTTTTTCTGTCTTTTGGGAGCCTCTCCGCGTTTCTTGTCTTTCATCCATAACTCATCTGCATTCCAGAGCTGCTTAGTTCCGCAGTTGGGATGGCTTTGCATGCGTGTCCTGAAGGGAGCAAGAATCTCGGTCGACTCGAACTGGTCATTGCGGAGAGAGACCAGCTCCGTGCTGTTCTTCGTCCTCCCCTTCCGGCTCGGGCCATGCGCCCCTTCTCAGACTCAACCGTCTCCTCATCCTCCTCATGACCTGGCCCAACTGATTCAGTGGTTGTCACAAGATACTTCCTCCTCCACCGGGCTCGTCGTCGCCCAGCCTGGTCGGCCTGGTAATACTGCTTCTCAAACCCCTTCCCTCCGCGCGACTTCGCGTTGTTGGGGACCTGCTCTTCGTGGTATCGCGGCGTCTTGTGAGGCGGGAACGATGCATCGCCTCGTCAAAGTCCTCTCGTGGTTGTAGGCGGGCGTTGTAGTTTGAAGACATGGCTGGAAGGGCTTCGTCGTCTTCGGCGCCGTCGTTCCAGGAATGCACCGAGACTGTGCCCGTAGCCATACCCCAGCCGTTCCAGGAGGTCGCTACGCACATCATCAGCACATCCATCCAAGCTTGAGGAGTTTAAGAGAGCGATAAGTTGTGTGGAGAGAGCTTGAGACTTACCAGCCAAAACCGGCGCCGTGGGGCTCCAACTTGCATCCCTGACGCATGTCTTCCACACACTATTATGATGCCCATGCAACTCATATCCATACCCTCCACCACCGAATCCGTCACTCCCATCCGCCCTCGGTCTCGTGTTTCTTGTGGCTTCATAGACATCGATCGTGGCCTTGCGCGTCCCGTCCATGTTCCAAATGTAAACTTTTCCATCTTCACTTCCGCTGTAAACATAGCGAGAGTTTGACGACCCCGGGGGGGAGAAATGGCATCGAATCAGTGTCTTGAGGACGGAATGGCCCCGGAAAGTCACCACACTGCAGTCTTTGGGATTGGGGACGTATTCGTCCTCGTCATACGAGGAGAATCGATAATCAAAGTTCGTAGTGTAGGAATGGATGTTGATGTTCGCAAACTCGTTGGGGGAGATCATCTTCCGCAGGTCCCAAAGTTTCATCATCTGTTCCTTGCCGTTGGAAAGGACGTAGCGCCCGTCACCCTTCGAGTCAACATATGTGAGACCCTCTGTATGACCGACAAAGATACCGGCGGGACGGCCGTCAGCCATCGATCGTCTGTCCCAAACTTGCAATGTTTGGTCGTCACTGCCCGAGTAAAGGATGTGAGGTGAGGATTTATCGCCGAAACAGACCGCGTTTACGTCATCTTCGTGGTTTGATAGACGAACGGTCGATTGACGGCGTTCAAGATCATATACCACGACTGAGTGGTCCGACGTTCCGGCAACAATCTCTCTTCCGTCACCGCTGAAACGCAAGGACCAGATACCGAATCCATGCCGGCCCATATACCCGTATGTTGGTCGCCCCATTCCTGACCCCGGAGCGAAGTTTGTGAAATCCAACAAAGTGTGGTCAGATTTGTCCGTTGAGTCCGTCGGAGCGAGACACACAGTATGTCGAATCGAGGAGTATGCCAGCCATTTATTATCCGGGCTCAGCGTCGCGTCTGTAATCGTCCACTGTCCAAAGGGGTATTCCACAGTTTTGTAGTATTTCCACTCGTAAGGGTTGGATGTGTCGTACATGCGGACCTTGAAATTCTGCGTGCAGCTAAAGAAGAAGTTTCCATCGTCCGAGAATTGACCCGAATAGGCTCTTGAATCATAGTGGATGATTTTATCAGCAGTGGTGGTGTTGGGGACTTGGTCTTGGGCGATGAGGTTGTTTTGTCGTCTCATGGTCGATCGTGCCTCTGAGCCCAGACGTCGCCATAGCAGGCGTTCACTGACCGTGCGCCTTCTCTTGCGAAGAATGTCCAAGTACGAGTCCCGACAGCCATAAATGCCAGAGTTCATCAATGCTTTGCCAGCCTCACTCGGAACTTTAGGGAAGCGGTCGCCTTTCGGTTTTTGTCGTTGGGCCCGCCGACGGCGACTGAAACCACCGTATTCGTGCAAATCGTCGTCATCGTCATCGTCGTCAGCGAAGAGGCTTCGACCGGACGGGCCTATCAGGCGGTAGCGGCTAAGAATGAGCTGGCGAAGTGGAGCACTGGCACTGAGTAGGCCGCGGATGTCGTTGAGGGTTACTATTGCAATAGCAGGTTAGAGGAAACGAGGTGGATGGGCGAAGCAATGGTGAGACACAGAATACCAACCCTGAGCTGGACGATTGCCTGTTCTAGTTTCCGTTGCACTGCCATCGTTCTCGGTTTCAGTGTGGTCTCCCTCATCTTCCTCCTCCTCCTCTTCATCATCTTCCTCCTCCTCGTAGATTATTTCGACGCGGCGCAAGGTTTCCTCGGCATCTGCGGCCAGTCAAAAGCCATACATCTCTCAGGATATGAATGGTCTCTACCGGCGAAATCCACATCGCTGTCTTCATCCAGCATGACACTTGTTGCATCGGTACTTTGTTCCTCGGGGGCGGGGTGGTAACTCCCGCTGTCATCATCGTCTTCGTCTACATCAAGGATATCGAAGATGGCTGGCGAGGAGCTCAGTCTTTCGCTAGGATCGGGGGAATTGGCCATGGCTTAACAGTGACAAGTAAGTCAGGGACGGGATGAGGGAAAGAGGGCAGACTGCAGGCTGCGGAGAGTGATGAGGTATTGACATTGGCCGGGCGTTCGCCCTTACGCATGGTTAGTAAATGGTCAAAATGCGGGACATTGAAATCCTTATCTCCGATCTCAGTTGCACGGAGCTCACGTGGGGCGTTACCCATGTCCCGCCGCTTTTACTTAAACTGCATGACAGCCTCGGGAGCTGCGTCCCCCAATACCAACTCGATTCTGCTGACAACATCCATATGAGAACGACACATATCAACTCTTCCAAGGGCTATCATTTGCGCGAATTACGAGAAAGCATCACAGCCTAAACCCAGCTCTCTAGGGTGAACCAAATGTGCGCAGAGTCTCTATCCAGTCAGGTTGGATGGACTAAAGAAGGCCCAAATATAAAGAGGCCATTACAGCTCGAGATAAGAGCATTGAAGATGCCTCATTCTTTCTAGCCAAAGCCAACAAAGGAAAATGAGAAAAGAGGAACAGATTGATCCCGATAAAAAACACCAGAGCAGGATAAGAAGGCAATCTATTTATTGCCTGGTCACCAGAATGGGTTTATCTCCCATCATTCCTCCCTTGAACAGGGTGAAGAAGTGCATGACCGGCTAGGTCGATACATGACAGTCACCGAACCTACCAGAGGGCGATACTGAGAAGTTGGTCTTGAGTCACTGTATGCTGCCTTGCGAGATCCTTGTCGATGGAAAGGGTCAGCTCCAGCAGGGTAGTTATATTGCCCTGGATGCTGCAATAGCTATGTGGTTTTGCTCTTGTGGTAACCCCCGAACGGTGTATGCAACAGAAACAGGCCAATTGCTCCTCTATAGTCTACAATTGCTGTCCATTCTTGTAGCCCTGAATGAGATAGAATCCGTGCCCGGGGGTCGACGAAGGTCCGGCTCTGCCTATCTAGTTGACACTTGTTTCCCCTAGCCTTCTCACGGCTCGCCCTATCCTATCCTTGCGTTGCTTAGTCTCACGGTTCCCATTTGGATCACTCCTGCCTCAATCAAGATCTTGTGCACGCCCTCATCGTAATTCAACGAGTAGAGTTTTTCATACTCGGCTATGAACGTCTCCATGTCGAAATCGCTCCGTTTCAATCTCTCAAACATCGTCTCGACCAAGGCCCGTCTCTCTGCCTGTGCGGGCGGGTTAACGCACTTCGGCCACCAATAGTCCTGCACACCATCAAGCTTGCTGAACTCGCTGCCGACCCTTGCCAAAACGTCCGGGCGGTGCTGGAGGTACCGTAACAGCTCCTCCTGAGGGTGCTCTTAGGTTTGTAAGGGTGGCGTCGACGTCAGAGCCGTTTCCCGACGTAGTAGCTCCAGTGGCAGCGAGTCACCGTTAGATTCCCTCCTTGTTGCTGATTTGACTTTATACTCACCGTCACCATTGAATCCTTGTTTGTCGTCGGTACCTTGCGTCGAAGAAACTGTCTCCAAAGTGGTAGCTATATTCACATCCACCTCACCTTCCGAACTCATCTTCGATGCCATCCAGCGAATGCAGACGGCAAAATAGGGTGGAAGGTTTTTTGGCAGCATAGATCTCTTTACTGCAAAGTGAGGATGGATCAGTTGTTGAAGAGGAAGTCTGTTGAAGAAGAAATGTAGAGTAGTTCTAGAGCAAAGAGAGGCAGAAGATCAAAGAGCAGCAAGTAAACCCGCCGACAGGCTCACGCATAAGACAAACATACCCTGGCGGCATATGGGAATCACTGCCAGTAAGCAGTGAAACGTGCAACATGATATCAAAGGGCGCCGTTCCCAGTATTATTGTACGTATATTGTCTCCCTCGGACTCTGTCCGGCCTTCAGATGCTTTGCTGAACAAGCATACTCCTTTGGGTAAGAGCTTTTCCGTAAGTACAGTCTATGCCAAAAAAAAAGGAATGGCAGCCGGAACCATTCAACGCCATGCAGATAACATTCCACATCATCGAGAACATAGGTCAACACCAATTTTGTATCGCTTTCTGGACGTACCTAGTATGCTTTTGGCGTCTGCCTTGAAGTCGAAAAGGCCCCCACTCGCAGCGGCTCCTGACCATGCTAGATCCAGACGTTTCCGGTTAACGTTCAAATGCTTTCAACTACTATTATCCAGCGTACATGCCGATGGGGCATCCGTCCACCCGGTCAGCCTGTTGGCGATATCACTCGCGTAGCAGTGCGTGGCTGAACCCTTGCCCAAATCGCCTGACGGATCAATCTCCCCAGAGTTGTACAGTCGCGCCGCCCGATAGTACCCCTCGGCGTAGTCGATATCGGCAGCGTCAGCTTGAGCGTTGATGTCGGATGCGTACCCGTGGCCGCTAGGCGTGCCAGCAACTACAAGCAAGAAAGGTTAGATGGATGTGCATAATTCATTAATGTTGTCCTGTGTTTGCATCTCACCTCCATCCGAAATCATGCCTAGAATCTGATCCTTCGGGCACGGATTCTGCACTTTCCCATTATCGTTGCAAGAGTGATTCCCTCGGAAAGATTGCAAGATTCCTGGGTTCCTCACGGTGCCGTCGGGTGAAACAGTCGTCTTGGCTCTTACACAACCCCCGGTCTCCTGCATCACGGCGGCCAGAATGAACCGGTGATCTACGCGGGTCTGTTGTGATATTTGTTTAATGGCGCCATAGAGGTCTTGAGTTTCTTGGTCTGAATTGTTGGGTTGATCATAGAGGTGGTTGCAGCTTCGAGAAATGGTTTTCTGGTTGGCGACCCACATATCATTGAAGGATATCCACGATAGACTCGACGGCCATCCTGAAGCTATCGAGCCGTTCCCTGTGTATTGTGTATAACTGTTCTGGCCACCTGTTTTCAAACCCCAGATCATCAGCCCTGGTCCGTACTGGCGGCGGCAGATCGAATGTGCATACCATCGTAGTCATTCCAGAACCCATCACTACCGAGCCTTCCTTGTACCACATCGGTGGCGCGTTTTATGAGGGGGACAGCTGAAGTCGAGGCGGCGAGAAGAGACGTAAGAAGGACCTGTGATGACGATCAGCACTAAAGGTCTTCGTTGCCCCAGCACATCAGAGGTCTAACATACCAGCCTTGACAAAGCCATGATGCGCCAAATCTTCCACCGTCCTTGCTCAAGTACCACGAAAAAGAGACAGTCACAACTTCCAAACAGATAAAGGTTTAATCTATATGTAATAAAGCCGTAGAGCGAGGGATAGAGACGCGGGGAAATGCGAAGGGAAAGGACACGAAAGGATAAAGGAATCGAAATCTTCTCACTTCTAGATATGATGTGCAGACACAGCGGAGAGATGGGCCCGACAAGGAGCTGTCGACACTGACCAGTCCACATGGAAAGGGAGCCACGAGTACCGTCGCAGTTGCATTGTTTCAGAAAGGCCAAGCAGCTCCACCGCCATCGAAGAGATGATCAGGCTATGATGTTATCTTGCACCCTGAGGCCACCCGAAATAGGATCGAGGGATGTCATGAGAGGCCGTTCAAACTGGGCCTGATACCCACCAAGGACATGTGTGTGCGTGTGTAAGTAAGTAGGACGGCGTACAAGTACAAGGATCATTCCTCCGGACTCGTGTGTATGTAGGTATGTTGTGGCTTTTCCATCGAGGGTTGGGGCGAGAGGGTGGCCGTACCTCAGCACCCAACAGACTCGAAATGTCCCCATCCTGAGCATCCTCTTGGGACCGCAATGAGATCCTTCATGGTTTTGTGCGCGAGAGGGAAAAAACTTCATTTGTTTGAGGGGAGTGGAACCGGTGGATGCCCGTCATTAGCACCGCAGTGGAAAAAAGTCCAAAGTCCACTTCTGGTCCGCCGTGGCCAAAATCCTGTTGATCCTGGACGCCAGGGGTCAGTAAGTAATATCAGTCTGACTCAACCTGCCCAACCAGATGCAGATGCGGATGACTGCGCAGGATATGCGACGTCTGAGTAAGGGCTGCTGACGGTGTGAATGGTATAATATAGTGCCATCAGTGCCGTTGTGAAGCTGGGACAAGAGCTATTGAATGCTTTTGATGTCGTAAATATTGGCTCTTGGAAACTCTCGGCGGTGCTCGCCAATGCAGGTCCCGGTCGCCACGCCTGTGGTGGCAGCGTTGTGCGGGTTGAACCCGCTTAGCCACCGCCACTGTCTATGCGTTGTACAAGTACCTCGTACTTGTACAAAAACACAAGAGAACGACGAGGAACGAGAGAGATACACTCATAAAACACAGCCTTGTGTCAGCCAAGGCCACAACGCAAAATGGACCAACAGCCTTTCTTCATCGTGCTCTTTTTAGGCGCAGACACAAAGTCTTTTCTCGCCCTCACTATTTCAAAATCAGCCAGTACAGAGTATTAACAATATAATGATTTCCACGCTTTCTTCAAGGCAGCATCAGCGATACTATCCTTGATAAAAGCTCTCCCACTAAGTCCGTCCCTTTCCCATCCGGGTACGTACACCGTCATTCATCTGTCTCACTTCTGGCGCAACACATATTGAGCACATTTTCGATCATTTTTCCTCGCCCAACCGTTTAACATAAGTTTGAATCTATGTATGCTGCTTGCTTTCCGCAGCTTTAATCGTCTCCACCACCTCATTAGGCTCCTTCAAATCCAGTCTCCGCCACCTGGCGCTGTGCCGTGACCTAAGCCACCAAGAATGATTGGTGCTGCCTCAAAATTCCCGATTCTCTTCATCAATTTGCCGGCTTCGTGGGCCTGGAAGCCATCTGCTTCGATGCCGAAAACGTCGTCACTGGGTCGGCCAATCTGAATAAGGGGAATAGATTTGCCCGGACCTTGATGGCTGAACTCGCCAGTTTCCTGCCTGCTAGCAGGACGATCTTCGCAGTTTCGCAAGGTCGAACGACGAAGTCCAGAATCCGAAATCGAACGCTTGATCACGCACTGGGGCATGACAGACGCATCCAGATGGCCGGTGTGTAGGTCCCAATTGTCAATCTTGGACTTCACATGGTCAATTGAGGCAGATATATTGCGAGCCAAGTCGGCTCCCTTCCCTGATGGCAATTCAACTCGGTCGTTGCTCTCGGCGTCTCCTCCTTGGCGATCTGGCCCTCCTGTAGGACTCAGCCCTCTCATGTCACGGCTGTATATGCTTGATGTACACAGACTGTGCTTGCTTCTAGGTGTGAGGATCGGCTTGAAGATCGTTGATAGTGAAGAAGAAGAGTAACGCCGCGAGATTCGTTTGTTGGGTCGAAGCTGGGACCAAGACGCGAGTTTGGCACGCCCAGAAATTGAACGCCGCTTGAAAATCTTAGCCGGAGACCCTTTGGCTGCCTGGCACGGTCGTTTGCTCGGCCGAGCGTGTCGCAACGTATTGAGCTTCTCTGGGGACGGGAGGATCACTGAACTGGGTGTTCTCCTGTGTGCGTGTGATGGTACATTTATGCAAGGAGCCGCACCCTGTGGTCGAGAGGACGTTGCAAGACTCCGTGACTTCTTGGTAGACTGTGTTGGCGAAGTCGCTGGCGTCGATGTTGCTCTAGGGGTGGTGAAAGGATTGGTGGAGGGCGTGTAAGGCTTGGATGAGACCTTGTCCTTGTTGGCAGCGCTAGCCGCTCGATCGAACCAGTCCCGTATCTCAGCCACAGGAGTCTTTGGTCTTGTCAGTGTCCCCATTCTTTCCAATCCTTCCTGCTTCTCCGTTTTCGTCGTCTGTGGTGTTCCTGCCTCGTCACGGTTTATGGGTAGAATTCTCGTGATTGGCAGCCGACGGCGCTGTAGCGAATTGTGCGTCTTGCATTCCACAAGCTTGAGCAGCTCTCGCTGGGGTCGTCCAGGGGGAGTCTTGCATTCCGCGGGTAGTTTCATCACCGACATCTCTGTATCAGTCAGGTGAGTCGTACTCTGTGTGGTAGGGCAGGGAGTTCCAAAGGTATCTGTGGTTGACATCGAGCTTCGTTGTTCCAACTCTTGAAAAAGCTTGACGGGATGGACGAGTCCTCCTTTACGGCCAGAGCCCAGAGGGATGGGAAATCGCTCCAGCTGCCTCGTCAATGGTGGTGGTCTCCCTGCAGGCCTTGGCTTCAAGACAACCGGCTCCGGGACCGGGAGTATGTAATCATGCTTTCCTTTGAATGTGGTAAAGTTTCGCGGGTCAGTTCCTGCACCTTTTCTTGCTCTTTGCAAGTTGCCTTGTGGCATGTGTTGTGGCTGAAGCCTTGTTGAAAGCCAGCATTGAGCGGGGGTAAAAGGCCCATAACTGAGGCCGGCAGTGTTGCTTGAGCCAACTTGAAGAGGGCGATAGATTGCATTCAGCTGCGCAAGGCTGTTTGGGAAAGGGCTCTCAGTTCTCGGATCATAATGTTGGACCGGGTTTGGAGGCTGCTTTCGAAAGTTACGCAGCAGAGCAGGATGGCTCGGGAATCGAGGAGGAGGACTGAATGGTGGGTAACTTGGAGTGACCATGTATCGAGCACCTAAAGGATGAGTGTCGCGTCTCTTTCGATATTTTGGGAGGACGATGCCCCAGACCACGCATCCAAAAACAACGATAAAGGCGACGACGGCAAAGATGATGGAGAAGGTCCGGCCCGAATTGTCACCACGAGGGCGCAGGGCGTTTGTCGGAATGACAGCCATGGCTCGTGACGGAGATCAGCAATGAGGAAACCACACTAGAGGGATTGAGCAAAATGAATTGATCTGACAAGCTGGAGGAACATGGAGATGGTCTGAGAGGGAGGTCGTCGACGCCAAGGACAGGATGGCTTGAACGGGGCGACGGTGACAGTGAAAACGACGGCTTGTATAATCGCACAGCCAAAGACGGCAGGAACAGCGAGGTGCAGGCACAACAGGCGACACATCTAGCAGCATGTCGCACCTGCGCACTGGGAGCTGGATATTGAAACTCTTTCCTCATGAAGCCATCGACTTGTCTTCTATTCACTCTTTGTCACTTACAAAGTCGTCTCACGTTTCCAGTGGCCGTGCCGGCGACCTTCCCAGCGACCGGTTTTCCCATTGACAGGAAGATGGCAGGACCGGGGCCTCAATAGAATCGAGCCTAAGATCATCAAGAACAGTTCAAGAACATTACGCAGCCAAAATCACTCTACTCACTCAATGTTGGCTTCCACCCTTGAAGTCCGTGCGGTCTCGGGGTTGAGCACCAAGAACCCAACCCATACCACTCACCAGGCCGCTGGTCACCATGTTGGCAACCATGTCTCTTTTTCGCACCCTTCCACCGTCGTCTGAAACTGGAGAGCCCGCTTGCTCCCTTTGCGCATCGTGATGCATAGAGGTGTCCGAGCGTATCTTGAGATCTCGTAATCCTGTGGAACCCAGTGGGAAAGCAGCACTTTTCCGTAGAGCTGCTGCGGCGCCTCTGGCAACATCAAACAAGCCCAGCGGCGCCTCTTCCTCATAGGAAGGTCCAGATCCGACAGGTCCAGACCGCCGCGCCATGACACGCTTCGTTTCAGCTACGTCTGCATCCCGGTTGTCGAGACCAAAGGCTCCAGGCAGTGATGCGTCTGCTTTGGCATCAAATGCTCGCTCTTCCTGTACGGCTTGCGTTTTCAGCCCATCTAATTCTTCTTCATACCGGCGCCATGTAGCAAGGATTCCCGGTAGAGCTTCCCCAGAGGGTGCCAGCATCAAGGCCCGTGAGAGAAGTTCCATCCGCTGTGTCAAGCTGTCGATGCGAGCACTCAAACTCTTTGGTGACGCACTGGGTCGATACTTGCCAGCTGAATAGGCAGCGCGCCAGGAGATGTCGTCGACGAAACCAGAAGGCGCAAATTGCGCGAGCGATGTGTTGAGGCGTGTCGTGATATAGGCATAGGCTGTGTCGAAATCATTTGCCGCTAAGGCTGCCATGATGGCTTGATATGTTATCCTGTGCTCAGCGTCCAACAGACGTAATTGAAGAGGCTCCGAGTCTTCTGTTATCACATTCCCCCGGTTCGGCAGGTGGGCACGGACCAGATTGCGGGCTATCTCTAGAAGGTCGTCTAACTTGGTGTATGCTCTTGCGTCCTGTTCCAAGACCTTGTCTAACAGGGTCAGCGGATCTTTCTGCACTCGGATAGAGACAGGCTTGAACGGAACACCATGCTGTAATGTGAGCTGGTAGAATGATAGGCTGTGAGTGGCTTTGATCAATTGATCAATGTCAGATAGGCTAGGGGAATGGGGAAAGTTGGCCCGAAAAGCTTTCAGTATCTCGCTTGCCCGTTTCATGCCGCCGCGATCTCTGTTTCCATTGCTGGCATTGTCATAGGCCTCTAGGATTGCAGCAACAACACGGGCTTCAACTTCCGACTCAGAGAGTGCTGGAGAAGGGTTGTCCAGGTACACATCTTTGATGATGTTATATTGAGCAGCCTTCAGTAATGCGTCGAGAATTTGTGTCTCCACGAAACCGATGGGGAGTCGGGAGAGAAAAGCTATTCGCTGCTGTCCCGCCTCCACTGGCTGAATTTCGGTCCAAGAATGGAGCCACAGGAGTTGCCGTCGCACGGAACGCCAATCAATCTCGTACCGAGTCTGTAGAGGAATGTGTTGCAGCAGCCGACGAAGTTCATCTTTGTGGCGGCGTTCCGAGCCGAAGATGGTGACATGGGACAGTTCAGTTATGTTCCGTGACATGCTAAAGCCAGACAAGATCTCTGCCGTAGCCAGCAGCCCAGTCAGCAGTTGAACTGACGGCCCAGTCACCAGGGTGAAATTGTTGGAATTTTTGAGCAGGGCATTGGGCAGCAAGTCTGTCTCGCTGAGGCCGTTTACAAAATTTTCAGGCACTGAGATGTCCGGCCCAGACTGGAAGAGGTCGAGAGGTCCTAGATTGAGAAGCTTTGCAGCTTTGATGAGCACCTGTCTGCAGATATTCCTCGCGTCTGTTGAAGCGGCTGAGCATCCGTAGACAATAGCCATACCAGTCTGAGCAAACCGTGCGACCTCCTCATCCATGTCCGTCGGTTGATGGTTTTCAATTGGCCCACTCCAATCCACGTAGGCTTTTGCTGCAACATTAAATTCTGTCCTGCTCGTCGAGACTAGCCAGTCATACACAGATTCCCATGCTTCCACTTCGGCTGTGGTGTCTTCAACAGAATAATCGACTCTCCTTCTCTTTGCTTCGCTTGCGCCACGGACCCATGGCGATACCACCTGGTCGAGGTCTCTGGCTACATCAGAAGGATTTTGCCTTCTCACCGCGTATTGGAGAAGCGTTTGTATACCCTCAGCGTCCGATAGTGTCTCAATACCCTGCAGTCCGATCACATCTTCAATGTCCGGATAGAATTCATATTGCAGCCGAATGACCGGGACAAGATATGATTCATACCACCGTCGCAGATCGGAATCCTGTCCGATGAAATTTTGCACAAATTCCCCCGCTGGCTGAGCGGATCCATGAAGCTGTTCCAATATTTTGGCCCATTCGACCACCACATTTGCCAGCTCGCTGTGGGTATGTAAAGCCCTATGTTCGGGAATCGGTCGCAAGCTGAGGGCACGGATTCGCCGTAATGCCTCATTCCGGCTGAGGTTCGATATGGAGGGCTCAGGACTCGGCGTTTCCGGACCCCTTGCATCATCTGGTCGATCTCCAAGCGACTGCAGAAAGTTCACAAGAGTCAATTTTCCGGTACTTTCTGCAGGATAAAAAGAAAGTAGTAGTCGATATATCAAAGTATTAGAAAGGATGTCGGGCCTCCATCGGACGACTTTGAGCAGTGAAACCAGATCGCCTTCGGAAGTTACTTGGACAGCGAAAAGGACGATGTGAGCGTCCGAAAGCTCGCTCGAGGTCTTCATTTCGTGAGATCTGGGGACATAGTGCAGATAGTCCCCTTTACGGACTGCACGCGTAGGAGTTGTTGGGTGCAGGGCAGCGTGGAAAGTTAGCAAGTTCCTGCCAACAAACAACTTGCGTCAGGGTCGGAGATTCGGGCCAGTCTGAGCCTTGGCCTGCTTCAGCCTTGGCCGCGCTTCAACCTCGACCACCACTCCTCACACTACCCGACAATTCACATCTCAGCGCCAGCAACGTTGTCGCCACCTGACATTCAAGAGAAGTCTCTTCAAAGCAACTAACAGTATTGAAGATGGCGTCTGGCTACGGTCTGACTGGAGGTTAGTCGTAATTCCAGTTGTGCACCACCTCCGCTAGCTCGGATCCTCAAGTCAATTGAAGCTTCGTACTGACCAACTTTCTCGTCCGCAGGCGTCTCTCGATGCTTTCCTTTCTGGCAAGAGTACATGTCTTGCTATGTCATCAATCAACACGACCCCGAAGCCAGAGCCAAAGGTGTCTGCGCCCCGCGGTTAGAAGACTACTACGAATGTCTCCATCACAAGAAAGAGGTAGGGACCTGCTTGGCCATGTTGATAGCATAAAGCTTGGATGCTTATTCACCCGGTCTAGTATGCGAGAACAGTGGCAATACAAAAGGCACTACGAAAAGCAGAAGCAGCACATCCCCGCGAGAATGCGCCCAAGCTGGGCCAAATACGAAGTCTGGGTCTGATAGGCAAGGAGGAAGAAACGAAGTCGATGCTGGGCACGACACCAGGGACTTATTCCTGAGAACATATGAATGGCAAAAGATCGGGGTGATTATGCACAAGCAGCGGCCTTGCGGGGTGCCTTTTTGCAATATTGTATATACCATCAAGCTTCAAGGGAATGACCTCCATTCAAGCTGACGGGCGACGCGTCCAAATGCACCATGTCCATGGAAATTTACAGACCGCTCTTCGAACAGGAAGCTAATTGGAATGACTGCCATATTCTCGCAGAAACCAAAGACGATTGGTAATTTGGCCTCTTCAGACAACTGGAGTCCGTCTTCAGCTGCAAGGCTGAGCCATCCTCTGCTTATACGAGTACAACCTGGAGTGTGTTTGATATATTATCGCTCCCAAGCGGTAGCGAGCTGGGCCTACGCTGCTATGCTGGGGCATTGCAATCGCCTTTGGAGGGAAAATTCGCCCGCCGCTCATTCGTGCTTAGGTCCACCCGGTCAAAGACCGCATTTCAGCACGAAGGCAGTTAAGCAAGGGCGTCCTGGGTGTTCTCGCCTCCCTTTACATATCACTCGCTGAGAGCTTGGAGACACTGCCAGGCACACAGACTGTTGAACTTCTGCCTAGTACGCCCTGGAGTGAACGACGACGGGAAACACGAGTGATATGTCTGGCTGAAAAAGGATGAGCAGGCAGTGGACGGCCTTGACGGATGATAAAATGCCAAGACGCGCTTGCGAAAAGCTTGGGTTGCCGAGCTTGACCAATCTGATGCTAGCGCGGCCCTGTGGAGCCAAAGAGGGCGAATTCTGCCCAGGGAAGAGCAATCAGAGGCTAGGGGCTGATGCAGGCGGCAGGCGCAGCAAGCGAGGATTTAAATGCCATTCCAGACCCTCTTAAGCCCACGCTTCGCCCCCCCCCGATTCCAACTCTCTCAGAGGATCTGCCAGTGCCCTTCGCCGGGTACCAGACAAAGAGCCTTGTCTCATCCACGCACCCTGCATCCCCTCAGCATCAACGTTTTTCCGTCCCGGCACTCACAACACCGTGACCAGTTGCTCTCAGCTAATTCACACCGTCGCGTCACGCCCAACCTTCACTTCCTTTGAGATATAATTTTCACTTGGCAGAGTGTTGGCTTTATCAAGCCACTCGACCCCGTATCTCAGTTGCTTAGGTCATTCATTCATTTGATGGCTCGCCGGTCGCAGCCTGGCCGGCGTGTGGTTGAAAAGACGAAACCACCCTACGACACTTGTGAATACTAATAATAATGGCCTCTGGAACTTCGAGGTTGGAACCCTCCGCCCAGCATTTGCCAAGCATAAGCTAACCTCTTCCGTACAGACTCGATCGGCTTGTCACGTGCGTATCTCTAGCCTCGACTCGACACGGGAGAGGCTGACCCTTAGTATCATCTTTGAGGCTAACCTATATCACAGCTTGCTGGACAAGGGAAGCACCCAGCTCATTCGAAACACGGCTGCGCAACAACTTGCAGACGTCCAAAAACAGAATCCCGACAATCTCTTCGCATTACTCGGCAGAGTTCTTCCCCACTTGCAGTCCAAATCATGGGACACTCGCACCGCTGCCGCCAAAGCCATAGGCGGCATCATTTCCAATGCCGAAAGGTTCGACCCCAACGCTGACGATGCCGAGACCAGGCCCGAGCCCCTCAAAATAGAGGAGGTCGCCACCAAGATTGAAGAAAAGACTCCCGAAGCGGACGACCTTCTCCAGCTCAGTGCTCTTGACATCAAATTGATCCTCAATCATGGGAAGAAGCTGTTGGGCAGTGCCGGTAAGGAGTATGAATACTCTGTGGCTGGTATGAGCCCTGCTCAACGACTGGCACACCAGAAGCAGAGTCTCACCGCTCGACTCGGCCTCGGTGGCGAATACATGGAGGACGACTTGGTCAACGAGTACGACTTTGCAGCCAGCTCACAATACAAAGTTGCCACAACTCCGGGCCTCACTCGGGTGGATACAAAATCTGGAGTGCAACGACTCGGCAGCGTTGGTCCCAACCCTCCCTACAGTGCCGTGTCCCCTTCCGAAAACAACGGCCAATCCCTGCCCGATGAATCCGGCCTTAGTAAACGGCAGCTGAATCAATTGAAAAGGAAAAACAAGTCGGCCGCCAAAGCTGGCGCCAGCAAGATGCGCGTGGTTGATCTATCCGGGCGACGTCAGCCCGAACCAGGCCAGACGCCAGTTTCAGCAACTCCACATCCGGTCAAGCTCAATGGCCATGAAGACTCGAATGGAGATGCAAAGCCAGATTACTTCTCAATCAAGCAAGAAGGCACCGACGACACCACCGCACTGGTCTCCGAGTTCAAAGGCGAAACTGTTCCGGAAAAGCCGCTCATCCAACCCGACGAAAAGCATGCCCAGGACTGGCCTTTTGATGTCATGTGCGATTTCCTGTCCGTGGACCTTTTCGATCCCAATTGGGAGATCCGACACGGAGCAGCTATGGGCTTGCGAGAAGTTCTCCGTGTGCACGGACATGGTGCTGGCCGTCGATATGGCAAGTCCAGAGCTGAGAATGACCTTGCAAATCGCCGCTGGCTTGACGATCTTGCATGCCGCTTGCTGTGCGTTTTAATGCTGGATCGTTTCGGGGACTTCGTGTCTGACACAGTGGTCGCGCCAATCCGTGAATCAATCGGTCAGACCCTCGGTGCTTTATTGACTCAATTACCCGACGACTTGGCCGTATCTGTCTACAACTGCTTGCAAGAAATGGTACATCAACAGAACACTGGTCGGAAGCAACCGATATGGGAAGTATGCCATGGAGGCATGATTGGGTTGCGCTATTTTGTTGCTGTCCGCAAAGATCTTCTCCTTCATCACATCAACCTTCTTGACGGTGTTGTCGCAGCCGTCATGCACGGACTTGCGCATCCTGATGACGACGTCAAGTCAGTGAGCGCAGCAACCTTGGTACCTATCGCTGGGGAATTGACAACTATGCGCCCTGATGCTCTCGGTCAACTTATTAGCGTAGTGTGGGACTGCCTTCTTGATATGCAAGACGATCTAAGCGCCAGTACCGGTGCGGTCATGGATCTTCTTGCAACTCTCTGCTCGCACCATGAGATCTTAGAAGCAATGCGCATTAACGCCGCCGAGGACCCAGATCAGTCTTTCGAGAAGCTCGTTCCCCGCCTGTACCCTTTCCTACGACATACGATTACCAGCGTTCGGATGGCGGTGTTGAAGGCGTTGGTTACATTCTTGAATCTCTCGAACGTGAGCAACATGGAATGGGTGGGTGGCCGCGTGACCCGCTTGATCTTCCAAAATATGCTCCTCGAGCGGAACGAAGGCGTCTTATGGATGTCCCTAGAGGTTTGGCAAGCACTCATTTCTTTCATGGAACGCCAAGGGTTTTCCGCCTTTGTTGCTGAACTGGAGCCGCATATCTCACCGATGATAGGGGCCGCTGTTCAGCCTATCGGTCAGGCAAGAAGCCCCATTCCCATGGACACGCTTCTTCTCATCAGACCGTCGGGGGCTCCGATGGTACCTGCTTCGACGAAGCATCGACATACTCCTGAATCCGACCAGCAACCCAAGAAACGGCGAAAGGTTGAGAAGCCCGATTCAAATCAGCGCGTCTCTCACAATACCGATGGACACATGTTGCACGGTGAGGTAGATCTCGTCGGATTGGAGGTCATGCTCCGAACCAGAATCGTCTGCTCACTGGCACTGGGTCTTCTGCTAAGCAAACAAAGTGAATCTTCGATTGACTCATATTGGACTCACCTGCTCCCCTCTGTCAGTTCTCATCATTCAAGTTCAAGGCTGTTTACAGCAATGATTCTGGAAGAGCTCGCAAAGAACCAATCCAAGAAACCAGCAAATACACCGGGGATTGTTTCGCAGTTGCAGCAGGTCCTTGATGATGAAGGCAACAACTGGTATGCAGACATAGTGCCTTCGCTGCAAGCTGCTCGAGGACAGTGCCAGTCCTTGATCAGCGCCTTCCAGAATCAAGCGCATGTCTCTCGAGACAAGTTGCCGGCGATAGCAGTTGTCTGCCAAGGCGAAAGTGGCGCCGGCCCTAAAGCCTTCTCTCTCGCGGACGCCGAGAGGATCGTGACAACGGACTTTGATCGTCTTCTCAAAAGCCTTACACCAGCGCAGCGTGTTTCGGGAACACAATATCTAAACGATGCCCGCAGGAACGCTAAGACTGCGGTGGACGAAGCCAAGAAGATCAAAGAAAGCCGAGACATCGCGATAAAGGCCACGATTGCCTCGGTGCTGGTTCGACTAAAGGAAATTCCGAAGAAACCTGGTCAGTTGATAAAATGCATCATGGACAGCATCAAATCAGAAGAATTTGAAGAACTGCAAGCTCGATCTGCATCAGGCGTTGCAGGGCTCATTGACTTCTACACCACGAGTCCGAAACGTGGCCCAGTGGACAAGTTAGTCTCCAATCTAGTCAAATTTACCTGCGTGGATACCTCGGAGACTCCAGAGTTCGGCCCCAACGCCGCGTTTGAAGACATTGTCCTGTCGTTGCGAAAGGAAGAAGATAGAAAGGACCATCCAGATGCTGCCCGTTTCGAACAAGAGGCAAAGGAGGCCAGGATCATGCGCCGGGGAGCCAAGCGTGCTCTTGATGAGTTGGCGCAATCATATCGTGCTCGGCTCCTTGAGAGACTACCTGTGCTGAGATCACTTATCGAAAGTCCGATCCGCGAGCTGATCGAGTCGTCTGATCCAGCCACTCTACAGGTCAACGAAGAACAAGGTCAATCACTAGTTGATGCTATGTCAGCTTTGCGTACACTGTCTCCTACCCTCGACGCCGGTCTCCACACTTGGGTCTTGTCGTTGAGCCCGCTTATTGGAAAAGCGATGAGAAGCAGGCTCTCTGTCATAAGATACAGCGCTGCTAAGTGCTTTGCAACGGTCTGCAGTGTCATACCCGTTGAGGGAATGACAAGGCTCGTGCAGGATGTCTTGCCTAACATCAGCAATCCTCTTGACTTGAGGGATAGACAAGGGATTACCGAGTGCGTTTATCACCTCATCCAGGCCATGGGCGACAGGATTCTGCCATATGTGATCTTCTTGATTGTACCTGTATTAGGTCGAATGAGCGATGCCAACAACGACATTCGTCTCCTCGCCACTACATCCTTTGCCACGCTGGTGAAACTGGTGCCTTTGGAAGCGGGCATCCCCGATCCGCCAGGAATGCCGGAGTCATTGCTCCAGGGGCGTGAACGAGAGCGTAAATTCATGGCGCAAATGCTTGATCCGAAAAAGGTCGAGCCTTTCCAGATCCCTGTGGCGATCAAAGCGGAACTACGACCTTACCAGCAAGACGGCGTGAACTGGTTAGCGTTCCTCAACAAGTACAACCTTCACGGCGTTCTGTGCGACGACATGGGTCTGGGTAAGACTCTTCAGACCCTTTGCATCGTGGCGAGCGATCATCACATGCGGGCCGAGGAGTATGCCAGAACTCAAGCTCCCGAGATGAGGCGGTTGCCATCTCTTATTGTCTGTCCACCAACGCTCTCGGGCCATTGGCAGCAGGAGATCAAGCAATACGCACCATTTTTGACTTGCGTGGCGTATGTCGGACCACCGGCGGAGCGCAACGGTCGACGTCCTTTACTCGAAAAAGCAGACGTTGTCATAACCTCCTACGATGTGTGCAGAAATGACAACGATATTCTCACACCCATCACTTGGAATTACTGTGTATTGGATGAAGGCCACCTAATCAAAAACCCAAAGGCGAAGATCACTCAGGCTGTGAAAAAGCTCGTCAGCAACCACAGACTCATACTTTCTGGCACGCCGATTCAGAACAATGTCCTGGAGCTCTGGTCCCTTTTCGACTTCCTCATGCCGGGCTTCCTTGGCACAGAGAAGGTCTTCCAGGATCGATTTGCAAAGCCCATTGCAGCCAGCCGCAATGCGAAGTCATCTTCCAAGGAACAAGAGGCTGGAGCTTTGGCGATTGAGGCCCTTCACAAGCAGGTCCTACCATTCTTGTTGCGGCGTTTGAAAGAGGAAGTCCTCAATGACCTACCGCCCAAGATTCTGCAGAACTACTACTGTGATCTGAGTGATCTGCAGAAGCGTCTCTTTGAAGATTTCTTCAAAAAGGAGCGCAAGACAGTGGAGAACAGCATCGGGTCGGCGGATAAAGAGGCCAAACAACACATCTTCCAAGCCCTGCAGTACATGCGAAAACTCTGCAACTCCCCGGCGCTTGTCGTCAAGGAGGGAAACAAGCAATACGATGCGATCCAGAAACAGCTCGCAGCATCCAAATCCAGTTTGCGCGATATCGCTCATGCACCAAAACTGGGCGCCTTACGCGACTTGCTGATTGATTGTGGCATCGGCGTAACCAATGACTCAAATGACATATCAGCTGCCAATTATGTGTCTCAACATCGAGCATTGATCTTCTGCCAGATGAAGGAAATGCTTGACATGGTACAAACTGAAGTTTTGGGCAAGCTTCTTCCGAGCGTGCAGTTCTTGCGACTCGATGGGAGCGTGGAAGCCACCAAGCGTCAAAACATTGTCAACCAGTTCAACAACGACCCCAGTTATGATTGCCTTTTACTGACGACCAGTGTGGGTGGTCTTGGGTTGAACCTTACGGGTGCCGACACCGTGATCTTCGTGGAACATGATTGGAATCCTCAGAAGGACATTCAGGCGATGGATCGAGCCCACCGTATCGGCCAGAAGAAGGTGGTCAACGTTTATCGCCTTATTACCCGCGGTACACTGGAAGAAAAAATCCTGAGCCTTCAACGATTCAAGATCGACGTCGCATCGACTGTTGTCAACCAACAGAACGCAGGCTTAGGGAGCATGGAAACGGATCAGATTCTGGACCTGTTCAATCTCGGGGAGGGAGCGGAAGGTGGTGGTGAGCCGGGCGGTGCAAAGGACGAGGACATGGTCGATCTCGAGACCGGTGAGGTCAAGAAGAAAGGGGAAAAGGGGTGGCTTGACGATGTCGGTGAACTCTGGGACGAGAGGCAGTACGAAGAGGAATTCAATCTCGACTCGTTCGTGCAGAACTTGCAAAAATAGGATCGGGCATGATTTGGCAGGATGCCAATCTTGGAGCTGTACAATTAGGTACTTTACAGGGTTGCCCCGTGCTCAAAAGTGTTTTGTTGGCAGGATTGGATCAGTTATCGTTGTCACCAGCCACCGCGCAGCCCAAATTGGAGCTGGCAGCATCATGCGCTGTCGCCGGGCCATGCGCAAAAACAGTAACATAAGTCTTGTAGCTGAACAAAGATGTATTATTGGTCAAGACACACAACACACACACACACACACACACACACACACACACACACACACACACATTCCAGGGCCTGACCCAGCTCCCGGGAAGTGGCACATGTGGCTTGCTGGCTTCAGACGGGAAAGTCTTGGTCCATACTCGATATAGGAACTGCAAGTCCGGTGATGCGCAAGCCTGCCTTGCTTGGGCCTCCCGAGTACATGTGGCTCTTCGCAGCCTTGTCGTTGACTTAAAAAGGGACCCCCAACCACGGGGCTCGATAGCCGGATTCGCCGACCGGAACAATACGTGAGATCTGGGATTCTGGACGGCCTCGAATAGAAGGTGCTCAGCAGATTAAAGTGACAAATCGGGAAATAGTAGCGACCCTGCCTAAGATCTCAGGCGGGACATATCTGATGGATCTGATGGGAGACCTAAATCGACCAGGTGGGGAGGGGAGGAGGGTGTCGTGCTGGTGGTGAACGGAACGGCCCTTTTGGAGGAGGAAAAAAAGAACACTGACTGATAGTGACTTGCCTGAGGATCCGTTTGATGGTCCCGTCCGACTCAGGGATGGGAAAAGAAGGAAGGACCTTTTGGAGCTCACGATTGTAGGATGCGGTTTTTCTGGCAGTGGAGATGGTCTGGCATTGTCCCGCTGAGAGCCAGCCGGCCAGTGCTCAGCCGGTCACAGTCACACGGCTAGAGGAGTAAATTGAGTGAGCGAAATTCAGCCAAGCTCAAGCTTCCACTCAGAAACGGGAATGACATTGGTGACATTGGTCATGTTGGTCGTATTGGGTAATGCTCCCAGATGGGATATTGTTGATATTTTGCCAGGCGATAATTCATACCTACAGTACACACAGTACAGTAGTCCAGCAAGATAAGTCGCCAATGCTTCTGCGGTCAGCATAGCCCCAGTCCTTGCCCCTCAATTTGTCGGTCGGCTGGACGATGGTCCGGGAGACGACGGAAGAGTGGCCAATGAATATACATACCTCAGACGCTAGCCCTTTCCATCTACGGCTTAGTTCCCGGCTAATGAGAAAACGTGCTTATCAACCTTATTGACGAAAATAGAAATATCCGACTGAGCCAATGCCGTCTGCGCCCTCCTTCCACCACCTTCGCCTCCGCTTTGCCGCCTGTCCAGCCTCCAGCCCTCCTCTGGGTGCTTTAGTCACCTTGGTCAAGCGTTCTACTCGCTCGGGACCCTCTGCTCTCGATCTGGATGTTCGCTATTTTTCTCTGTCCATACAACACGTGGCGAGGTTTTGGTGCCCTTTGCCCTCCTTGCCCTCCTTACGTCGTAGCCTCCAATCTGCGGTGCCCCCCCTTTGACCATGGGCAAACCATGGGCGACGGCCCAAAAAAGTGTGAGCACTAAACCTTTCCAGGATATCGCCTTGAGCTGGCACGCTGGCAAAGCGGCGATGTCATGCATGGGGACAAGCCTACCTGAGAATAATGCGCAGCTGGCCTTCCAAGGTTTCTTTCTTGCTTTTCCACACCAAACCCAGACCAGGTCTTATCCCTGTATAGGCATCATGGTGTTGTCTTTTTGCTTCCCGAATCCTTGCCTGCTACAGCCATGCATGGCCATCCTCGGCCAATGTTGATATCCACAGTAAGCAAAAGCCTCGCTAGCCAGGTAGCTGCCGCAGAGAGCTACTATCTGCCGTTTTGCAAATCGGGGCACGTACGGGGCGAGATGCCACATTCCGCATCTCGAAAGCAAAGGCACGCAAGAGATGGGACATAACATAAAAAGACCTCCCACCCTCCTCTTCGACAAGACTTCATTCTCTCATTCATACAAGCAACAAACCAACAAACAAGCCAATCTTTTCCCTTTTTTTTTTTTTAATTTCATATTTCTTTTTTCCTTGCTGTTATCACACGCTCTTTAGCAAACCAGCTAACTATACCAACTACTTTCTAATCCAACAATCACTTTAACACACCAAAAAACCCCCCGATCCAATCAAAGCAAATCAGATCAAAAATGCATTCTAAGTCGCTTCTCGTTGCTGCTTTCGCTGCCGCCGCGGCCGCGACTCCTCTGGGAACTGGTTCCAGCTGGCAATCCAGCTCGTCCAGCAGTGCTCCTCCCTACCCAACCTCCACTGGAGGCTACTCCATGACCACCAGCTACTACTCGTCCGCCCCGACCGGCTACTCGAGCGCCGCTAGCTACAGCAGCGGCGGCAAGTATTCGGCCGGTGGTAGCTGGGGTTCCTCCAGCACCGTGCTCGGCAACCCTACTGCCAGCCCCAACCCGGTCCCGACTGCCGGAACCGTTGGCAAGCTCCTCACTGAAGACACCCGCGTGGCTCGCTTCAAGGAGATCCAGTCCGAGATCGCCGCGGGCAACCTGGCCTTGAAGTTCGACTTCAACCCGGCCGCCAACCCGGCCGTCACCGCGGGTAAGGGCGGTCAGGTCGACCTGGCCAACCGCGCCAACTTCCCCGTCCTGACGGACCTGGGCATCTCGGCCGCGGGCATCTTCTTCCAGCCCTGTGGTCTCAACACGCCGCACATCCACCCGGACGCGACCGAGTTCTTCACCGTGGCCACCAACAACAACATCACCACGGGCTTTGTGCTCGAGAACGGCCTGGCCACCGAGTTCTCCACCTCGCTGACCCAGTTCCAGGGCACCGTGTTCCCCATGGGCTCGATCCACTGGCAACAGAACAACGACTGCACACCCGCGGTCGCCATCGCCGGCCTCAACTCCGAGGACCCCGGCGCGAGCTCCATCGCCCAGAACTTCCTCATCAACACCGACTCGGCCGTTGTCGACGCCACCCTCGGCTTCCCCAAGCAGATCGACTCCAGCAACTTCGCCCAGTTCAAGGCCAACATCCCTGCTTCCTTGGCCCTCGGTGTCGAGGAGTGCCTGATCCGCTGCAAGATCAACTACTAAGCGGCGCTCAAGCATGGCGGGAGGACAATGGGACACGTGTGATGGACAATTGATATGTTGACAGACGAGTTGATATGACATGACAAGCGGCATGGATGATGAGACGGGTGTCAAAAATGAGCATTATGGGTTTTCAATCAATCAATCACATCATGGAGGCATAGCGACTGGCGTTTTTGTGTTTCTTTCTCCCTCCCTCCTTCTCTCTCTCTCACACACAAAAGGAGGGTAGGGAGACAGGCAGCCGACAGCATTAGATAGCATTTACATTTGAAATCGGGACTTATTATCCAAGAAAAACAGACGCGCGTTCCTTTTTCTGTATCTAACTATTATGGGCTAATAACCGAACTGACAAACTGACAACAACTAAAAACCGGAGAAGGGAGAGAGGATTGAAAGCTCTGGGACCGATAGAAGGTGGATGTCGTCCGTATGCAGCAGGTGGACTTGACAATGTTCATACTGATGTTCCCAGTATTTGAGAGAGTCTCGGAGAGAGACGGCGGAAGTTCAAGTTTCAAGGAAGTTCCGGTTCGGCCGGCGCGCATCGATCGCCGTCATTTCCAAATCATTGGAGGCTTGCTCGGTACAAGTCTGTAGATGCCAAGTTCATTGCGGTTGTGGCGCACCCCCCCAGTGCCCTCGACTGTGCAAAGGCTGGATGCGGAAAGTGCGCCACAACTCGACTGGGAAAGCGTATCAGACTATTAGCTACATGGTGGATTACACGAAATGCACCTTCACCTGGTTGACCTGGTTGACCTGGCTAGTGAGAAATCACCCAAAGGGCATGGGAGTCCAGACCTCTCTGTCGTTTCGAGCTCATGATGGTCGGGTAGGTATATAATTGATAAATTCCCTAGCGAGTCGAGTAGTAGTAGTAGTAGTAGTAGTAGTAGTAGTAGTAGTAGTAGTAGTAGTAGTAGTAGTAGTAGTAGTAGTAGTAGTAGTAGTAGTAGTAGTAG